TAGATGACGGCTTGCCACAGATCCCAGTCCACAGCAACGTCGCCGTTGCTGGACGGGCCGGCTGTGGCGCCAGACACCGTCCCTGGAGCTAGGCTCGGATTGGGGCTGGCTGGCATGGGCGATGCGGGAACGTGCTCGTCGCCGGATGACGACACGGGAATGCCGAGGCCGACAGCGCCCAGTTTTGGCGAGCCGGCACTTTCTGCAGAAGCCGTGTTTGCGGTCCGTTCCTCTTCGGAAGATGTTCCAGCACCACCGGCGCCCGCTTCTTCTCTTTGCCGGATCATCTTGAACCGATCTTTTAAACTGCTGCGCCCTGACCCCCGGCGGGGATCGGACTCCTCCTCCAGCTTGCTGAGCATCATTTCGGGATTGCTCGTAAGGGTGGCCACAGAGCTAGCCGTATTCCTCCGCGGGGACACAGAGGGCGGCGACACTTGGGAGAGAGGCGGTGAGATAACGGGTGCGTCCTTGCTGGTGTTTCGCGACAGCCACGAAAAGGGACTGGTCAGTTTCCGGGTCGCGGCTGGGGGCGGGGCGCCGACCGGGGGGATGGAGGGAGAGATTGGAGGCGGTTTGGAGGCTGTCTCGCTGGAATTGGATGGAGACCACGGGATGGAGGGAATGACGCTTGTGAAGCTGCTAAGAGACAGCGTCTTTGAGGAGAGGTCCTTTTCTGGCACAGCAGGAGGGGATTTGGTGGCAGTGTGGTCGTCGTCAAGATTGACATTATCAAGCTCTGCAGAGTTGTCGGCGTCAAGATCGGGGAGGGGCGATGACTTTCGTCGATTCCCGTTGGCCAGGCCGTTTGTTACGCTGTCAGCAGCAGGTGCGACGGCTGAAGGTGGCGAAGGAGCAGTGTCTTCTTCAGCCTCGACGGCCGCGTTTTCACTAGCCTTTGAAACACCACGTTCTTTGTCGTCTGCTGCGTTGTTGTCGTCTTCGCCGGGAGGTGGGTTCTGGCGGCCACGGATCTTTTGGAAGGCCTTCTCGAGCTCTGACTTGCCAGGATCCGCGCCTGGGGACGTGGACGATTTTGCGAGTCGTGAAGTGGAAAGAGACGTTTTGCGGTTGGTTAGGGAACGGACAGAAGACGTATCCTGGGCGTCTTCAAAGGTGTCCTGTGGGCAAGGCCGTGTACGACGTCAGCGATCAATACAAACAGAGGCTGGGCAGGACGTTGGATAAACGACGACGCTGCCCTATACAGAGAAGACGAAAAGCGAGATGGTGGCTTCGGCTGTCCCACAAGTTGTGCCAGCAACGCCACGTATGGAACACAGAATTCTTGAGCTCTTGTTCATGCAAACGCGTAGACAGGCCTGCCGGGCTATATGTGCACGATTTAATGCAGATCATGCTGCCGGCCACGTCGGATTGACGCTGGGGGTGGCGGAAACACAAAAAAAATGACAAGGAGAGAACGCAGGCAGACACGTAATGCCCCTGCAACAACAGCCACCACTCCACGATATGCCCGAAAACAGTTCAGAAGGAAAGGAACGAAGCAGTGTGACCTTACCGTCTCGTGGTCGGAGCTGTCAGGCGACGTATCAACCGAAGTCACCTCAACGGGCGACACCAGCTCGTCTTTGCGGTCCGACATGGCTGCCGTGGCGGAGGATAGAGGATGCGTGGTGTCGATCGGGGGAGGGGGACGGACGGGCGAGACGGGATTCAAATTCGACGATCTATGGCAGAACGTTGCAGTAGTAGTATGTTGACAATTGAGGGAGAGTAGCGAAAGGGCGAGAAACGGCGGAAATGGTCAAAAGGCGGTCGAACTGACGACAGACGGGAGAGGGCTGCGAAGGGAAAACGAATGTCGGCTGCAGCGAGACAGACTGGATGGGTGACTTATTTCACCAATACCGCTCTCGCACGCGGTCGGGAGAGGCAAAGATGTTGTGTGGGTAGAAAAGAGCGGCGTGAGCAACGGAGGAGGGGGAAGGAAAGCTGAAGCTTTTTGGCAACCTCAGAAAATCATCAAATAATAATAGTCGTTCGTTCCTGTTTCTCAAAATGGGGAAACGCGACACAGCCCTTCTTTCCTTTCTTGGGCCGTTGCTCCCACACCAAAATGAGATCCAGGTGCTCCTTCCCCTTGCTGTCAAAGGGACTACGCATGTGTCTTTTGCACAGCAGGACAGGCAAGTGCGACCCACCCATTTCAGGAGCAAGCGTCGCATTTTTGCGGGACCAGAAACAACGAAACAGCACTACCAGGTCGCCGCTTCCTAACTAAAGGGGTCAAAGAAAAGGCCAACAAACCACCGTCAGGAGAGGACGTTACAGCAGAGAAAACGGCGCACCGCCGTCCAGCGTTGGCATGCAAAGGACAAAGGAAGGAACGCCTTCTACTTTAAGAAGGCTTTCCAAGTGGAAGCTGCGACCAATGTACGAATGAGGAATACAAAGAGAAATACTACACGTGATTCATTCGGTGCTGTGTCTGTCTGCAGAGGAACAACGGATTTACTTTTCACACACGATATATCGATCCCATCGTAAATCAAGACCATGCACGACATCACACATTTGGACATGAAGATTTTAGATCTCAGATCCCAGAAGCACGGAGGGACACCTGAGTGCCAATCCAAACAGGTTTCCGTCCAATCTTGCCTTTTATTCATGGGCCTCAAGGTGGGCAGCATAAATTGCATCATATTGCCTCCGCAACATACGGCATCCACCAAAAGGGATGCCAATGGGAGTTTGCCTGTGGTCCTTTTCATTGCGCCTTTGTAGCCTATGCAATCAGGGGCCATGCGGTGTGCGCAAGCGTGGTTCCACCAAAGTCTATCCTATGCAAGCAAAGGATCAACCTCCTTTTAACAGGGGGGCGACTTTTTTTCATTTCTGTCAGCCGTCAGGCAGCCAACAAATACAGAATGGAAGACAAAGGGTAGGGGTAGTTGAAAGAAACCTGTTATTTGGAAATAGTTTTAACGTCACTGAAGCGCTGGACAGCTACGTCTACAGAGAGAGCGGCGCAAAACAAAAGAACGAGGACATCACAATCAAATCAGTCCAAGAACGACGTTTGTAGTTTGTGCAATTTTTTTTGGTTATTGCATTGCTCCAATGAGACGATACGGTATAAAGTAAAGAGGGCAATGGGCACAAGAAGACGAGGCGCCGCAGCGTCCGCAACAAAAGGCGCCGGCCGGAAATATTCCATCCGGTTGGGATGACCTCCTCTCGAGACGCCGTCGGTCGTCCTCCGTCACTCTTGTTCCGCTTGCATTGCTCAATGAGTTTTCGTGTGTCCGGACATGTTCGCTCTGGTCATAGTTCAACTGTGTGTGCAGATAACCAAAGGAATCCCATCCCCGTTCCCCCAAACGCCTGGGTTTGTCTCCTTTTTGTTGGGCCGTTGTCGTAGGTTCTTTTGCACCGCCGCACGCCATCGTTCCATATATCAACTCAAACGCAAAAAGCAAATCGGGCCGAGCGGGCCGAATTTACCGGTGCAGCTTGCGCTGGTAGAAGGCAAGCTCCTCACCCTCGAGGATGTAGCCGTCGCAGCGGCCAGACTGGCCGGGACGGCTGGAGACGACAGCGTACAGGCGACCGGCCTCGAACTGGCGCTCGAGGGCGTTGTCGACCTTGCCGGACGCGGCGAAGCGGGCAGCCTGCTTCTTCTCGACGGAGCTGGACTTCTTGGCGGGCTCCTCAACGGTGCCCTGCTTCTGCTGCCGCCGGCGGCCCAGAGGCTGGCCATAGTGGGCCTCGTACCACTGACGGAAGGGAGCGGCATCGATCTGGATGACGGCCGACTTGGTCAGGGTGTTGGTGCGGACCAGCTCGTTGTTGGACGGGTGGTAGGCGACACCGATGACACGGGTCTTGCGGGTGCAGCCCTCAGAGGCCCAGGCGAAGTTGCCGGAGTCGAGGCGCAGGGCGCGGTACTTGTGGTTGCCGCCACGGGTGCGGACGGTGTGAATGCGCTTGGCACCGATACGGGTGTTGGCGGGCTGACGGCCGGCCTCGAAAGCGCGCTTCTTCCCTATTGGCAAAGGTCAGAACGTATGTCCACGGTGAAATGAAGGGTAGCGGGGAGGGACGACGGCCGAGAAGAAACACGTCTCAGAAGAAATGTGCCTCTCCTCGTCGTCGCCTCTCCCCTCTTCTTTTCCCAAGTCCGATACGGGCTTTCGAAAGAAAGTATCACATCCTCGTCCAAACAACACTTGTATATTTGTTCTTCCATCGAAGTCTTCAACGGTATCAACGGGGGTTCGACGCACGGTAGTAGGCACGCTTCGCGCCGGAGGCGGAGCGCTTGTGGCGAGAGTCTCTGGAGATACCCATGGTGAATGTCTGTCGAGAAGGAAAACCAAGACGCAAAAGTTAGCAAAAACGTCTTGTGCGGATGTTGTCAGAGACAATTGCAAACAGACGGGGGCGAAGCACAAAAGACCAGGAAGGTATCGTCTTTCGTTCGATCGAGTCCTCGAGATCAATTGCGGCTTTCTGTATTCGACGTACCTTACGCCTGGTTGTCGATGGGCGGTGTTGTCGTGATGGTTGGGGTGGGAAAGAGAAGAGAGGAGCGACGTTGCAAGGCCGAAAATTAACTGACAAGAAACTTTTCCGTGCTGGACAGCGAAAATTGCGGATCCCTCACAAAAACTAGTGCGCACAAAACACATTCGATTTTTTTTGAGACGGGCGGGGCAAGAAACCTAGCGATGCAACTTGGTCATGTGATAGATTATGTAATTTCTGAAAACGGCGGATCCCATTTTGGTCCTTTACGATGAATTGTGCCAAGTATGAATGTATTCCGTATGTAAAGTTGTATTCCGTACAGTGGACTGTGCTAACAATATTCAGCCTTATAACCTCCACTGCGCGAGCGCAATGCATACCAGCATTGTCCAAAGTCGATTTTGGATTCGGCTCGGCTTGTCGTAGGAACATGGACGACCGCCCTCTAATTATTTTCACTTACGCCGTTTTGACCTTGAGCTCCGTTGTCACGCTTCGGATGTTTATATCAGCAACTTGTCGATGTTGGCGATTAGGTTTTGCAACTGGCCGTTGACGTCGGCAACCTCAATCTCGACTGACGGCTCATTGACTAGACCGACAATCTCATGAGGTGGAATCCAGTCCCATCTGTTTTGGATGTATATTTCTGGTTCGTAGTACTGACCGCCGTTGCCTTGGTTTCCGCCGCGCAAACTCGTGGTGCCAGACGGTACCGGGCCATGCGGCCATGGAAACCTGTGAGGACTGACTCGACCAGCACAACAAAACTCATCTGTGGTGGGCCACGGTGCAAAGTGCCACTCGGAATAGAACAGACCCTTGTCTGGTTCATACGGCACAAGCCTGTCGGAGAATGTTGTGTGCACCCCGAGCACTGTGGTTGATCCATCGGTTGGTTGGAAACTAGGCTGCATGGTCGAGGCCGCACCGAGACGTGCCTGTCCTTCGAGAACGTCTCTGCCACCGTGAAACTGCTTAGCGGATTTGGGCTGGGTGGGCTGAGATGCACGCCCTTGCACCGTCATTGCACCTTGCTGTTCTGTGTCCGCCTCCTGTTGCATCACAACAGCCTGCCATCTCTTCGCTTCTTGGTGGCACTTTTGGCGGTCGCGAAGCTCTTGGATAAGTTGTTCATACTCGACGTCCGTTTTGGGCAAGAAGGGAGAAGCGCCCCAGCCGTATCGTTGAGCATTATGGTGCAGTTCCGCAAACTTCATCGCGGCTAGGACCGGACCTGGCGAGTTGGGTGCGCGCTGCCCATGACTGCTAGGCGTCGTCCTGGCAGTGGCAGCTGCGCTTCTCGTTGGCGTGTTAGTCAACGGTCGGTGCCGTGTGGGTGTGATTCTGGGAGGCGTGCACCGTGCTCGCGCAGGTGCGTGGTTCGCGAGTACGTGTGTCGGGGCCCTGTATTGAAGATACTTTTGCTGCGTTGGAAACGGCTGCGTGCGCAGATGAGGCCTGAGAGTAGGCGTGACCTTGTGTGCAGACATATTTACGGGGCATTTGGGCCGACTCCCGCGGCCTCCGTCTGCGCTCATAAATACGGCATTTGCATCATGCCGGTTCACTAAAAGATCGTCTGAGGTACCGATGGTAAGATTCTCGTCTGCACTCTTCCCTAGAAGGCCGAGGCCGTCGCCCAGAGCATTGCCCAAGCCGTGGCATGACGGAGACGTATCGCGCGTCTCACAGTCGTCTGAAGTCGTGATACGCACAGCGAGCTCAGTGAATTCATCAGCTTGGGTAGTTTCAGCAGTCTTGGTGGCCTCCATCTCCAGGGTAGTGGTTTTACTCTCTTTGTCTGAATCATGGCCGTCGTCCATCTCACTATCGTTGCTGCTGCCGGTTGTGTTGCTGCTGCTGGCACCTGGTCGGACAATCGTGCCAGTGCTCGCCAAACTCGCACGAGGACTTCTGGGCTTCCGCAAGATGGGAAACGGCGGGGGCGGTGGGCGTCGATCTCCAATCCTAGCCACATCAGCGTAGCTAAGGGACGACAACCGCGGCGAGAGGGCGTTTGCCCGCGGAGCCCAGTCCAGAGCAGTGGGTGACAGCCGCGTCGGTTTCCCTGGCCGCGCCTGGCCGGTCGCAGCTTCGGTTGTGGGAGCCGCGCTTGGCGAGACGGCGCCCGTGGCTCCCGGCTCAGACAGGAGACGCCGTGCCAGCGATGTCGGCCGCGTGACTAGTGTCATTGGTCGGCCATCGATGACTGTGGCACGAGCAGCCGTCGTGCGTTTGCGGATGCCAAATACGACATCGTCAGCTTCCTTCTGACGCACTGCATCACCAAACGACGGCCAGTACTGTGGAAGCCGGGCACCACCAGACAGATCTGTGGCCAGCGACTTTGCAGGGCCAGCCACGCTGGGCCGAGAGGGCGTGGTAGCTTGTCGCCAAGACAGAAAGTGCGGGCTCGATTCGGCACTGCTGGCGGCTGAGCTTGTTGTCCTCTGGCCGCGCACCGATAGGAACCGGTTGGGCGTGTGGGCGCCTTTGTTTTGGTGATCCATGACGCCGGAAGTCATCGGCCAGTTATGTGGTCGATCTCATATTCGAAACCATCGCCGGTCTGACAAACTGGTCGCATGGACAGAGTGCGGCCCAAAGCCTGCAGCGCGGGCAAAGCCATCTTGACCTGGCGATGCGTTTGAGTTGTCTTGACGACTGTTGGGGCGTGAACAAAGGTGTCAGTGCAGTTGCATGGCCGTTGAGCAACCGCCATCTCCATTCTCGTCTTATTAAAAGCCGGTGCAACTGTTGCCTTGGTGGCTCCTTCTCTGTCCGCACTTGTGCCATTTTATCTTCAGGGAAAGCACCACTTGTGTTCTTTAAACAAAATGGTGTGAAATGGTGCAAATGAATTGATCGCTCTTTCTGCCATGAACATTAACTATGGCCCTGCCAAAACATGCGTCGCAGGTGCCAGAGAAAGAGCGCACGACATCATGCGCTGACCACAAATCGACTTACACCGTATCGGGCAACTTCAGTGGCTGACGCCGCAACGTAGTAGCTGTTTAGTTCTCACAGGCACCGGCACAAGGGACGATCGCCCTTGCCGTTGGGACCGATCGGCCATTAACCGTTTGGCTTGCTCCTGCTCAACAGAACGGAGATGAAAAGTCAGGCACAGCCAATTAACGTCTCTCAATGGCAGGTGCCTGCCCCTTTGAACAGCTCAGTAATCGAATCCAACATAATAGGAAGGCGCCGAGGTTCCCAATTTTATCGGCTTCTGAGAGCAACGCTTTGTTGGGGCTTTGTCCCCTATTTCTCGTCTTCCGTTTCTCTCATTTAATTTTCTGTGTTTTCCACAACCACGTCATTATCTCACCCCCAACTCCAACAACACGAGCTTCGAACCGTGCGTGTGCCGATTCAGCGTCCAGACAGTATGGCCGACAAACTCACACTCGCGGTATCCAACCGCGCCAAATCCGGCACGATCAAGAAGCTACCAGCATCGATCGACATCACGACGTCGACCACCATTGAGGAACTGCAGCAGAAGCTGGCCAAGGCTTCGGGCGTCAGGGACTACAACCGCATTGGCATCTTCGACCCAGTGACGCGCAAGATCATCCGGGACCGCCGCGCCGTGCTGGGTGCCCAGGAAAATGTCGTGGCCTCCAAGGCCGTTATGGTGCAGGATCTTGGTACGAACTGGAGCTTCCTTGCGGTGGCAACTATGTTGTTTTGTGTAGTTGTATGTCCCCCGTTACTGACAGAAATACAAAATAACAGGTGCTCAGGTTGGATGGCGGACGGTGTACCTTATCGAATACGCAGGCCCGCTCCTCTTCCATGCCCTATTGTTCTACCTGCGTCCAATCATCCCGCTGCCGCAGGCCTTGAGCCGCGGCCAGACGGCGTCCCGCAGTGACCCGATCACCGACATCCAGCGGCTCGTTTACATCCTGTTCCAGCTGCACTTCGTCAAGCGTGAGCTCGAGACGGCGTTTTTGCATCGCTTCGCCGCCAACACCATGCCCGCCCGCAACATCGTCCGCAACTCGGCGTTTTACTGGCTCCTGGCCGGCTTTGCCTGCGCCTGGTCGCTCTACGCGCCCCTGTCGCCGTTCCGCGTGTCGTCCCAGTTCCCGGCGGCTTCCCCGCCGCGCTCCGGCTTTGGTTCGTCGCCCCTCGACTATGTCGGCATCGCCCTGTACGTGTTTGGCCAGATTTCCAACTTCTCGGTGCACTGGCACCTGGCGCATCTGCGGTCGCCCGGCGGCACGGAGAAGAAGATCCCCAACGCGTTTGGCAGCAGCCTGGTGACGTCGCCCAACTACATGTTTGAGATTCTGACGTGGTTGGGTGTGATTCTGATTTCGCGGGACATTGTGGTGGTCATTTTCATCAGCGTGGGCATGCTCTACATGCGCATGTGGTCGCGGGACAAGGAGCGGGCGCTGCGCCGTCTGTTCCCCGACAAGTACAAGAAGAAGAAGTACACCATGCTTCCGGGCCTGATCTAAGTGGCCGTGGCGACGATGGCCTTCAGAGGGTTGCCCTTTGTTGGCGAAGCGGACAAAAGGCCATTGCAACTGGACCAGGCCCAGAATCAGTGCCTGAGAGAACGGACAGAGAGATAATGGCGTTACTGTCGGATTTACGGTACCAAAAATGGAGTTTCCCCGGGGGCATACGGGCGCTTTTTGTGAGAGGTTTGCACCTGATGTGCTTGATTCATAACATCAATAGGGGCCGTTCATTCGGAGCCAAAAAGCCAAAGGCAGAGAATATGGAAGACACCTGCAAAGCAGACTTTTATCATTATACATTCGAAAACGAAGTGCATAAGCGTTACTATTAATACACGAAGATCATTTCTACTCATCCATCTTGCTCATCATATCGTAGCGTCGTCTGTTACCGACAAAGTCTCAGATGCCATCGACTCTTCGGTCACCTTCAACTGTGCTGTCTCCGTCACCGCGGAGATGCTTTGCTCATGGTCTCTCGGTATGTCCTCTTCTTGCTCAACATGCTTCTCGTGTGCATCTTGCTCCGCGTTCGACTCCTCTGGCAAGCTCGGGGCGTTCTCCACAGCCAATCGCTTGTCGTTGACGCGGGTGTTTTCTGGTGCAGCGTCGGCCGTTGAGGCACTTTGCGCGTCTGGTGCTGTAAGAGAGACACCGTCCGTTGGCGCCTCATTGGCTTCGGTTGCAGCGTCTCCCCCCACCTCCATAATATCTGTTTTCTGTGTTGGTCGGCCGGCAACTTCCTCTAGTTCCTGGCCCTTGTCTTTCGTTTCGTCGGCGATGGCGTCTGCCGCTGCCTCGTCAGCCGGACTTTGCTCCTCTCTTGACCGTACTTCGTTCGATGCCTCGACATGGCTTTCCTTGCTTCCGTCTGCAGTCGGTACGCTGGCTTCATCTGTCTTGAGAACACCACTTTCTGGGGTGTGCTGAGTTGAGTCCGTCTCGTTTCTCTCAGTAGCAGCCGGCGAGCCGTTGCCATCGTCTGACTTAGCAGGTGGTGCTGGAGGCTCTTTTGGCTCTGCATCGGGTACCGCTTCATGGATTTGTGAGCTGCATGCCGTATTTGTGGTAGCATTGGCCACGTCGTCAACCTCGTCCACTTCCATATTCTTGCCTTTTCCCTTGTCTTGCGTTGTTGCTGTTAAAAGGGGACTGGTCTTTGGCTGCTCGTCTCTGGGCACAGTCTCTTTCCGTCTGCTGGAGGATGGGAGAGCACGAACATTCTCCACAATATCCTCAATCTTGGCCTTTCCTTTGCCCTTCTTGTCCAGAGGCATTTCGTCAAGAGCCTTCGACCGGCTTGGACTTGCTTGCCGGCTTCTACTCCGGCTCCTGCTGTGACTTACACTACGGCTTCGACTGCGACTGCTGCCGCTATAGTAGCTGCTGCTCCAATACGTTCCGCTGTCGCTGCTGCCGCCGTCGCTGTAGACGTCGCCGTCGCCGTTATCACCAGCCTCAGGCCCTGCCTCCTGTCGAGCCGCTCGCCGCGCCGCACGCTGTGCTTCTCGTTCTACGGCCGCACGCTCGCGCCGCTCGCGCCGCTCCCGCTTTTCGCGCACCAGCCGCAGCGTCTCCTCGATGGCCGACAGCCCCTGGAACTGCATCTCGGTCCAGTTCTGCATGTCGCCCATCTCCTTGAGTGGCCCCGTCATCTCGTGCACGAGGTGCGCCAGCCCGTCGTTGGCTTTGCGCAGCCCCAGCACGGCTTTGCCGAGGTCGCGCTGCTGGCCCTCGATGGCGCGCATGTTATTGTGCATGAGGACGGCGCGGCTCTGGAGCTGGGAGTCGAGCAGGTTGGCAATGCTGGCGTCGAGGGCCTGGCGAGCCTCGGCGACTTGGCGCTGGGCGCTGGCAGAGGGGAGGGATGGCTGAAGACGCTGAAGGGGCGGCGGAGGCGGCGGCGGCGGCGCGGCTTGCATCGACCGCGGCGCCGACGTCAGGGCGGCCGGTGCAGTCGCAACACTTGCCGGGCCAGTACCTTGGCGACTCGTGGGGGGAAATTGGTGGGCCAGGGGCTCTGCGAGTGCGGCGCCCGTTGCTGGTGGAAGCAGGGGCGCTGCTGGTCCTGCAACGAGAGGGCCGAAAGGGCCTCCAGCGACGGGCGACACGGACGACACAGACGACGGTGGCGCCGCATTAGGCGACGCAGCAGAGACTGTTGCAGTCGACGTGGTAGACGGTGTCGCTGTCGACGACGAAGGAGCGGTCGTGGTCGAGACACTATCTGCGCGCCTCACGACGCGCAACATCGACTCATCCCGTGTCGCCAGCGAAGCGACGGCCGATGTCGCCGGCGCGCCGCTGCTGTTGCCTGGCACACTGACGGCATTGACGGCACTCAGGGACGCCGGTGCGGCCCGTGGTAACGAGAGGCGCGACAAGAGCGGGGGCAGCGTCGAAAGAGAGTGTGAGGCCGCGCCTCCCGATGCAGGAGGGGACGCGGGGGCCGGTGTGGAGGCAGAGGCAGGCTCTGTCATTTTTTTTGGAGGGAAATTATGTTGAGAAAAATATGTGCCAAGGAAGTGCGAATAATACGGCGTAAATTGAGAATGCGTTTGATATCAGAAACCCACTCTCCGACGTCAGCGAGCAAGCATGCGCCTCTTACCTTGGAACGATTTCACGTCGGCGAAAGAGGTTGGATGGCGGATGCCGCCTGGGCTGATTGGTGGGAGCTTTCTCCAGCTAGGAGTGGGCATCATCATGCAGGTCTGGTTGGACGAGCTCTGCAGCATCCGATTTAGGTGCAGAACCTCGGGCGCATAAAAGGCTGTGTATGGTTCGTCTCGCGGGTCGCGTGCGGTGTGTTAGTTACGGTTGCTGCCCGCAACTTAAGTTAAGTAGCAGTTTATATTGTTTTTACACTCCGTTCGCTGCTCCTTTATGACGAAGCTTTGCTTTTTTACAGAAAATACACAGCAGAGCCGTAGAGACATGGAAACAGTTGCTCCGTATCTTGCAAAGACAGCCTGTCCACGGTTCCCTTCCTGTCCCTGCACCCTGCCCAAACCGCCTCGAGGATTGTGTTTTGTTCGCATGGATGCGTTGAAACGTTTCCACCGTTCCCATCCTCGCTCACCGTCCGTCCATGCCCAAATGAATCGTTTTGTTCGTAAGTGGTGTTGGCTTATTTGCACAGCCATCGGAAGTCCCATTCTCTTGTCTCTCACGCCCCAAGATTCAAATCCATATTCAGGAGAGAAAGAGGAAATGTAGAGAATCCAGTATGCTTGAGCTCGTAGATGTCGCTTTTGATGGTGAGACCCAAAATAAATAAAAATTAAAAAATAAAAACCGCGTCAAAATTGAATGCCTCTAGAGACGACTAGTTCTTCAGCCTGCGAAGGATGGAGCTGCCGGTGCTGCTGGCCTTCTTGGCATCGCCGTCAAAGATTTGCAGGAGCGTGTCCCAGACCTGGCCGGGCTTCTGCGAGGCGTCAATGGCCTTCCAGATGCCCGTCTTGCGGTAGTACTCGACGACGGGGGCCGTCTGCGCGTGGTAGGTGGCCAGGCGCTTCTTGAGGGCCTCGGCGTTGTCATCAGAGCGCTGGATGAGCGGCTCGCCGGTGACGTCGTCGGTCATCTCCTTCTTGGGCGGGTTGAAGAGCTTGTGGTACGAGCGGCCGGACGCCGGGTGCACGAGGCGGCCGGTGATGCGGGCCACGAGCAGGGCGTCGTCGATCTGCAGCTCGACGGCGTGCTGCAGGGTCTGGTTGCGCTCCCGGAGCATGGCGTCGAGGCCCTCGGCCTGGGGCACGGTGCGCGGGAAGCCGTCCAGAATGAAGCCGCCCTTGCACTCGGGGTTCGTGTTGAGCTCCTCCTTGATCATGCCAATGACAATGTCGTCTCTGACCAGGCCGCCCTGGTCCATGATCTTCTTGGCTTCCCGGCCGAGCGGCGTCTTCTTTGCGACCTGCGAGCGGAGCATGTCGCCGGTGGCCTGTAGGTAGCAAAACGATGGTTAGCAAAAGACGCGACAGGGACAGCAACAGAAACAGCAACGAGAGCGCAATTGCCCTCAGCGCCGGCCCAAAACATACCAGGTGGCAGCAGCCGAACTTCTCCTTGATCTTGGGAGCTTGCGTGCCCTTGCCTATGCACAGTCAGTCATTGTCGCAGCGGTTTGCAACGTTCGCAGCGATCGTAAGCTCTTTGCCCAGCTTCGTCAAGCGGCGCGCAAAAGACACGGAAAGGGTCGGGGAAAAGGCCGTACCGGCTCCGGGAGGGCCAATGAGGATCATGCGGACCTCGTCAATCGTCTTGGTGGCACCGGCGCCGCCCAGGTGGCGGCTCTCGAGGTCCTTGATGCGGCCCTCGAGACGGGCGACAATATCGTGCAGGTGCTGCACCTGGTCCTCAATGACACCCATTGTTGGAGAAATGTGGCGAAGGGAGGGGAGGGGAGGAGAGGGGAAGTCGGAGGCGAGACAAGAGAAAAAAACCAGCGAGGAGTCTAGGAATTGGTCGTGGGCGTGAATGTGAAGAAGAGCGCAGAGGAAGAAATCGAGAAAGGAAAAGGAGAGAGAGAGACGGAAAACGAAGCAAAAGTGCAGGCAAGAACAAAGACGGAGAGAGCACGGAATAAGTGGAGAGTGCTGAGAAACACCACACAGAGAAAGAGACACAACACTCGCAGCAAACCGGCAGGAGCAGTCCACCTAGGAACAGCCAATGCGATCTCGGGGGAAGGAGCGAAGAAAAAAGTGTTTTAGCGCATTGGCTCAGGGCACGACAGGAAGGCGCCAACCGCTACAGGCGCCGCAGCAACTAAGAAGGCAGGTGGGGGTACTCGCGTCCGGCCTGCGGGTACCTGTGCGCGCAGATCCCGGCCACAGGTACAAGGATGGTCACGACAGGTACCTCACGCCACTTCCGGCTAAACCTTGCTGCTCCAGTTACCCGAGCTCTCCCACTTTGCAGCTGTCCCTCATGGCCGAGGCATCTTACAGAAGCTTCAAGCCTGAGCATTCTTCTTATGCGTATGTGTTTCTGTCCGTCGATGTTCCATATGGTCTAGGGCCCCCGGGTGAAGGGACACCGACAGAAAACGGCTACAAAAACGGGCACAGATGGAAGAGTATGATTCGTGCGCCAAATTCGCCTGTGAATTTACACCATACAGGCCTGGGCAGGTCGCACAGCCTTGGCCGGTAAGCATTGTATGTGAGCATTGTACTATTCGGTCGGCATCTTCAACTTGCAACACCGTACTACGACGTAATTACTTCGTGTGGTCGTTCCCTCGTGATCCATGGGATGTGCTTGTTCAGATAGTCACGTGTTTATGATGATTAGTCATTGTGTGATCCGTTGGTCAAAGTGCGCTAGTCCGAATCAGGAACTGACCTCCCAACCGCCCTGTCCCAAAGGCAGCCTCAGCAGTACGACGCCTCGTGCCTTCCACGACCATGATTTTGCAGCATCGCCAGATTTGACGCCACACTCCTGACAATCTACAAACAACGACGAACCCCCACGACCCCGACCCACGGCGACCAAGAGCACACGGGCTGCTGCATCCATACCCCCTGTGGCTCGTTTTTGGTCTGTTGACCTCAATTGATCTGACTCTGCTGCCTTGAAGCCACCCTGAAGCTCAACCCCTCCATCCACCACTCAACGAACCTCTCCCTCCCTTTCATCCACGATGCCGTCGACGACCGCCGAGACGCTGTCGCTGGTGACGCGCAATGTCTCCGTGGCGCCGCTGGTGCTGCTGTCTGCGGTGGACCACTTCAACCGCAGTTCGGCCACCAAGACACGAAACAAGCGGGTGGTGGGCGTGTTATTAGGGCAGAACGACGGCAAGAACGTGCGGGTGTCCAACAGCTTTGCGGTGCCGTTTGAGGAGGACGACAAGGACCCGTCGGTGTGGTACCTGGACCACAACTACATCGAGGCGATGAACGACATGTTCAAGAAAATCAACGCGCGCGAGAAGTTAATAGGCTGGTACCACTCGGGCCCCAAGCTGCGGGCGTCGGACCTGGAGATCAACGAGCTGTTCAAGCGATACACGCCGAATCCGCTGCTGGTGATTATCGACGTGCAGCCCAAGGAGTCGGGCGTGCCCACAGACGCCTACTTTGCCGTGGAGGAGATCAAGGACGTGAGTACCCGCGCCGTGAGGCGGACGCAGCCACACAACCACACACCACGCCAATCTAACAGAATGCGTCCCTGAACCATGACTGACCCATATAGGACGGCACGACCACGGCCAAGACGTTTGTGCACACCCCCTCCATCATCGAGGCCGAGGAGGCCGAGGAGATTGGCGTCGAGCACCTGCTGCGGGACATCCGCGACGTCGCCGTCGGCACGCTGTCGACGCGCGTCACCAGCCAGCTGCAGTCGCTCCAGGGCCTGCACCACCGCCTCGGCGACATCCAGACGTACCTGAAAAAGGTGCTCGACGGCCAGCTGCCCGTTAACCACGCCATCCTCGGCAACCTGCAGGACGTCTTCAACCTGCTGCCCAACCTGTCCACCACGGCCGCGGCCCCCTCGTCCCGTACTGGTGCGGGCGCCGCGGCGTCCACATCCACGTCCACGACCACGCTCGGCGGCGGCGAGGGCGACCTGGCCTACGCCATGAGCGTCAAGACCAACGACCAGCTGATGGCCATCTACCTGAGCTCGCTGATCCGTGCCATCACGGCGTTCCACGACCTGATCGAGAACAAGATCCAGAACCGGCAGCAGCAGGAGGAAAAGGACGCGGCCAAGAAGGATGCGGCGGCGGCAGCGGCCAACGGCGAGAGCAGCGGGCCCAACGGCGCGGCGGCGTCGGGCAGCAACAAGGACGGCAAGGACGGCGAGAAGAAGGACGACAAGGCCAACGGCGTCAACGGCGACGCAAAAGAGGGCGACAAGGAGAAGAAGTAGACGAGAAGAGAAGGCGGAAGATGCGGAAGATGCGGAAGGCGCGGAAGCAAGGCGTTTGCCAGGATGCGGGCGTCACGGGATCGGACATGCGGAATATCATAAACAGCCGTGTCTGGTGTGCACAAGGGTCGTCGCATCAGATTCGTCTACACCAAACCAAATGCCATTGTACAATTTACATGCGTCAATTATCTGTCCAGTACTAGTATACATTTTGGGTCGTATCTGTCCGACCTTTTCTCATAAAACGCCCGCCACAATACCTGCCAACGTTTCAGGCGAGCAAGCACAGTCGTCTTTTGTATCTGTCGTGTCGTCTTCACCGGCGACAACGTAAGCGTGCAGGACAGTCCACTCTTCGGCCAGCAGACACGCCAAGAGGTGCTTGCAAGGCGGCGTGCTAAACGCCAGCGGGAGGTGAGAGAGGGCGTCTTTCAGATGATGCTGAGCCGCCTGGTTCGTCTCGGCGCCGCCTGGCGTCTTGGACGACAACGCCGTCGATGCCGCGGTCTGGAGTGCAAAAAAGGCACACGTGCAGTGCCATGACCGCAGGTGGACCACGTGTGGCCGGTCGCTGCCGCCGCGGATCTGGTAGAGAGAGGGTTGTGTAGAAGACGCAGAGGCAGCGGTGGAGGCTGCGGTGGACGTTGGCGCGGCTCCTTTTGGCTGCTCGCGACGACCGCCCCACCGCACAACGCGACGGCGGTCGAGCAGGTCCAAGGCAGGCAGCACCAGTGACGGAAACAGGACGTGCAGCGTGGCCAGCAGCGGGAGGTGGCCGTCCATGCTGCCTGGCATTGTGGACGAGGCGATTGAGTGAATGAGTTCGGCGAGGACTTGCCGCGGCACCGGCAATGCCATGTCGGAACGATCAGCCATGTCGTCGTGAAAGCAGCATCATCGTATTGTTGGCCGTTGCTGTTGCCATTCGTCCGTGTACGTTATTGTTGGGTGTGGGCATGGAGTACGGCTGTAAGTTGTGATCGTACATTTGGCTGCTATTTTACGCGGTGGGTTAACTCTGCCGCATGGCGTTGTGCTCCACTATCGCCTCCAACGCCGAATTCGCTACACCTACCAACTCTACAAACCACAACACCCTCACGAATTCAGTCTCATATCCACTGTCTTATAATTTCATTGAAACATTTGCCTAGCCTGACATAAATACGCTTTTTATTTCATAACCATCCCATTTGCCTTACACCCACTCGCGCGGGTTCCGCAGCACATCCAACAGACGCTGCTCCCGGCTCTTGGGCGCCGGCTCGTACATGTACTTCCAGCTCGCCGTCAGCGGCAGGCTCATCAGGATGCTCTCGACACGCGGGCCGGGCGTGTTGAGGCCAAAGGCCGTGCCGCGGTCGTGCACCAGGTTGAACTCGACGTAGCGGCCGCGGCGGATCTGCTGCCACTCCTTCTCGGCGTCCGTGAAGGGCATGTCCTTGCGGCGCGCGATGATGGGCGCATAGGACGGCAGGAACGCGCGCAGGCCGTCCTGGACAAACGAGAAGAGGCTCTCTTTGTCGGCCGGGCCCTCGCCGGGCGCGCCGCCCGAGGCCTCGTCGAGGTCGTCAAAGAAAATGCCGCCGACGCCGCGGCTCTCGAAGCGGTGCTTGTTGTAAAAGTACTCGTCGCACCACTTCTTGAAGCGGGGCCAGTAGCTTTTGCTGTGGCGGTCGCAGACGTCCTTGAGCGTGCGGTGGAAGTGGATGGCGTCCTCGTCAAAGAGGTAGCTCGGCGTCAGGTCGGCGCCGCCACCAAACCACCAGACGCCCGTGCCGTCGGCACCCGAGGGCGTGCCGTCCGGGTTAGCCGTCTCGAAATAGCGGTAGTTGAGGTGGACGGTGGGCGCCATGGGGTTGCGCGGATGCACGACGAGACTCAGGCCGGCCGCGAAGAACTCGAGCGACTCGGGGAGGTCGGCGTCGCTGCCGGCGCCGCCCAGGTTGCGGTGGTTGGCGCGCATGCGCAGGATGCCGGCCTTGGGCAGCTTGCCGTAGACGACGCTGACGCCGACGCCGGCCTTTTCAAACACGACGCCGTCCTGCATCACACACGTGATGCCGCCGCCGCCCTCCTTGCGCAGCCACTCGTCCTGGCGGAACGTGCGCGCCGGGCGGTCGCTTTGGCCCTCGACGGCGCCGCCCGCCGTGGCCACGCCGCCGCTGTTCTCGATCTCGGCGAGGCCCTTGATGATGGCCTGCTGCTGCTCCTTGATGAACTTCTCCATGCGCAGGCGCATGGGCGACTGCTCGTTGATGGTGCCGTTGTTGTCCCGCCGCGTCTGCTCGTCACGCTCGGCCAGCGTGGGCGTGTCGCAGCGGATGGGTTCCTCGACGGCCTGGTCACATTAGCTGGGTTGTGTGATCCCATCGATGGCATGAAAGGAAGCGGAGACAGGAGCCCACCATGTTGTATGCAAGCAGGCCGCCGCCAAGGGCAAGGCCAGCTACTGCGGCCGCGATCGAGGTCGCAGGTGTGACAGAGGATGCTAGGGAAGACGGCGAGGACGTAAAGCCGCGCCGGGCTGTGCTGTTTGCGGAAAACGTGAAGAAGTTCGAGCTTTTTCCCCGTTTGGTGCCAGCGAGTCGAGCAGCGGTGTTACTGCTCTGCGCAGCAAGACGCAGCGCATGCCGTGTCGACGCCATGGCGATGCAATTCCTTTTATAAGAGACACAGACAGTCTGAGGGGAAAGAAAGAATGGCGAGACCACGGCGGCCAAGGTCCCAAATGGGCAGAGAAACCGAACGATGGCGTCGTCCGTACGTCGACCAATTGCCGTTCCCTTTCTCGTTTCGTGCTCTCTTTGTTTCTCCGAATTCAACAGGCGCTCATGCGTCTGTCCGTCCGGGGAAATACCAGAGACGTCCCTGTACAGGCTGGGCGAGAGCGGGCCACGTCTGCTGAGGATCGGATGTTTTGTGACATGGGAGTCGGAAAAGCTGAGCTCTGGCCATTTGCCAATAGCCGCTACTCTTTTAGGTCGTCAGAGTGGTGTGTTGGTGGACGGTCCCGGCGTGGCGTGCATTGAAGTGCCGCGCCCGTTTAGCTACATATGTGGCTTCAAGCTGTTATGCATCTATGCGTCTGCGTTTTCACCCCAAACTGCAGCCCTCCCCGAGGACTGCGTTAGCTATGTGAAGAATGAGGCTTGGCCTCATGAGGGTCTCTGTGCAGAGTCGTGACGGCTGCGCGTTCTTTGGCTCTAGACTTCCCTCTTCGCCTCGTCCAGCCACGATTGTGGATGACTCGCCGGCCAAAGACTCATCCTCGATGGCGAGGCCATCGTCATGGCAGGCTGGGCTGGCAGTATTCTCAAAAACTCAAGACCTACGACTCGTACATGCTTCGCATCTCGCCCGAAATCGTACATGCATTTGTCACCGGACACGTCGCGTCGAGTGCTCTGGGCTGCTGACCAACTGAGCAAATGGTGGCACAGAACTGCCTTCGATGTGATTCTCAGAGGTCGAGTGGGTCACGTGTATGAATGCGCCAATCACAGGTCGCAGACTGGCACTGTGCAAAGAGGCACCAGGCAGCGTGAATGGCGTTTGCCGCTGCGTGGGATGTCGTCGCCAGTCACGCAAACGCCAGAGGGCGTTCAGTGGATGGTCGAGCGAGCGTGCCTGTCCATCGCCGCCTCGCCCCCCCTAAACCGTGCTTGCAGGCGCATGTTAATAACGCGCCCGCGTCATCTTCCCCCGCTTTCTGTCCGCTATTCCACTGTAACCAGCCCTGTGGTTAGGATTAGGCTACCAACTCGTCATTCTCCCAGTATCACCTGGCCCGCGCCTGCCGTTTCCCGCCCTGTTGGCTAACAAGAAGAAGGAGCCACCGTCCAAAACCGAGTCATCCTGGGGGCTCGCCTGCCGTCTGTTTTCCATTCCCTCTCCTTCCCTTTTCTCTCTTCTCTTTCGTTTTCTTCCCTTTTTCTCCTCCTTCATCATATTTCACATCTCAATCCCCATCATCCTTATCATCACCACCGAGTCGACCTGGCTTTTTGTTTTGTCGTCCGCTCACAACCCTCCCGACCTGGACCCCCGCGACCCGCACACCATTAGCACCTGGGACCGACCCCACTTTGTCGTCCGCTGCCTATCTCGTCATCTCTCTGCCCGCCATTTGCTCCTCGCTTCTCGCTCCTGGGGCACTTCCTCCGTCTTTCAACAACCACCATTTTCAAACCGTCACCATTTCCGAAAAACTGCACCCGTCGCCCGTCAAGATGCGTTCAAAGTTCAAGGACGAGCACCCTTTTGAGAAGCGCAAGGCCGAGGCCGAGCGCATCCGCCAGAAGTACGCGGATCGGATTCCCGTAAGTGCCCGTTCCCTTTGCGGTGTCGCCATGTATTCGCGTTTTATTTTTTTTATTGTATCGGCTCCGTTGTCTAACATCGCCAGGTTATCTGCGAGAAGATCGAGAAGAGCGAGATTGCGACCATCGACAAGAAGAAGTACCTCGTGCCCGCAGACCTAACCGTCGGCCAGTTCGTCTACGTCATCCGCAAGCGCATCAAGCTGGCGCCCGAGAAGGCCATCTTCATCTTCGTCGACGAGACCCTGCCGCCCACCGCTGCGCTGATGTCTAGCATCTACGAGGAACACAAGGACGAGGATGGGTATGTCTTCCCCCCCCAGCCACCCTGCAAAGCCTTGAAATGGTTGTGATCATAATGCTAACACATTCCCAGCTTCCTCTACATCCAGTACTCCGGCGAGAACACCTTCGGCGAGGAGATTTGAGCATGATACTACCCCTCTAGCTTGTCTGCATTCCGTGTCTTTGTATCGCGACGAACGGCCTTGACCTGGGTTTTATTATCTGCTGAATCGCGATGACGTACCTGATGGCTCTTCATGTTTGCAATGCTATCTTTCTTATTATTATGACGAGGGACGGGGAGCCCATGGGCCGAACCATCACCTCTGGCGTTGGGAAATTGAAGGAATAACACTATATTTTTTTACTTGATTTATTTGCTTTTTGGTCTTTGATCGCTATTCTTCTACTGCACACCTTCTTTGTGATTCCGATGCTTTCGCGTCGCTTTCGTGTCATTCTCGCTCTCGAACAATGACTAGCCTTTTCAGAGCAAGAATGTCTTGATATCATCTGCCTAACGGCAACGAACAATCCGGCATCGGGAGAGCCAGCAAATGTCGACGCCGAGAAGAATTCTCCTCTCACCGCCGCAGACACCGCTGCCGCCTTGCAGCCTCAGGACTTTTTTCGGAAGCCGGTGAGCTACACCGCCAAGTGGGTGGATGCCGTTATTTTCTGCACTATCCATTTTCTACTGCCGCTGCCGCTGCCTAGCCCTTGCAGCCTTGTCACGCTCGGTCTCCTGTTGCAGCCTATTGTGTCTGTGTCCTTTCGTTTTAAATATTTATAAATGTATGCTGTGTTTTTCCATCTTCAGTATCAACTACCAACCAAATATCCGTAACAAGAGTAGGGAGTGGCAGGCCTTAACCCTTCTATTGACATGGAGAGAGAGACCCTTGGCCTTCTCTGTCTCATGTTTTGGTTATTTTCTTCCGCGTGACGTCTGTCAACACATGACAACATTTCCTAGACAAATACGCATCCTAACGCGCTTTCTTTGTCGTCTGGCATCCAAATAGCGAAAAGCTTGAATCACGTGGTTAGAGTTTCTCCAATAACGTAACAAACAGCGAAAACGACCGATTAACAGCTCCCAGTCGCGAAGATCATATTGGGCTAATTAGCGCCGCAGCCTTGTCCATGCTGTGATCGTGGCAGTTATCGTTTACCAGGCTTTTGTATTGTTTGAATAGTCGGACAGGTACTTTTAAAAGTCATATGCCGTTTTTTCTTATTAACCCCTGTGTTGAAAATACCCACAGAGTTGACGTATTTATTTGTCCAGAAGCATAATTTTTTTTTAAAAAAAAGTCATGCAAAAACTGTGATATGTCACAGTTTGTTAAAACATCTCATATGAAAAATTCAGTCTGCAAACGACACTAGCATCACGAAGAAAACCTCACAGAACCATTCTTTTGATTAATTAGATTGATAAGCGCGCAAGTTTTCATCATACATCGCCGATTCGAGCACAAAGGAAGCAAACATGCTCGTTCGAGACAAAGAGGGACGCAAACACTTCAAAGTGGGATCAGAGAGAGCGAGAACAGACCAACGGTTTTCATTACCAGGCAATTAGGACACAGAAATCAGATCCAGCCACCCGAGAAAAAGCGACCTTGTAAACAAACTGAGGAAAAGCATAGAGTAACGGCAAGGGAATAGGCCATGAACCCCACAAAAGACGAGGGAGCAGTATATGGCAGAACGAGCAAAGGCAAAGTGAGAAATAAACAGAATGAATCAAACTGGCATAGAAACAAAACAACGTACAGCCAAATGCAAGGCAACGACCTCCTCCACATATCCAACCTATTCGAAAATGAAAGGAGGGAGGCCTGTCGCATTCGTGTGCAAAGGGAAGTCGACGAAGAAGACGAAAAAAGAAGCAGTGAAGCCAGTCATGCAAGCCCACCGGAAATTCCCATAAAATGACAATAATGAACAAAGATACACCGACGCCGACCTTTTTGTTCCCGCCATCGTCTGAAGCGCGAAGAAAACATGGGGTACAAAGGACAAACTCGACCAGGGAAAGAGAAACAAAGATGCAAAATCACAGATAAGAGGTGCAAACGAAACAAGACCGTCACGCAAGACCATGTATGCAACAAGATACAACCTGCAGTCCCGGTAAAAATCCCAGTAAAAAGCACATGTAACAACCAAAAATAAAACAAATAAATAGCAAAAGAGACCTGACAACAAGCACCCGCCTGGCACACGACAGCCCGGCAAGGTAGATGAACAGCACAGTAAGCTCGCGACAGTGGTGTATTTATGACGCGTTGACCTTCTGCTTCTTAGGCATCCGGGGTGTTGGTGGCTTCGCCTTGCCCTGCAGACCGTTGACTTGCGGGTTGCCAGCCGGTGTCGGCGCCGACGTCGGACCGCCGTTCACGTCGTCCTCCGTCTTCACACCAGACGGCCGTCTCCGTTTCGTGCCGGCAGGCGAAGTGTTTGCGCTCGGGCCGTTGGAGTTGGTGCCTTGCTGGCTCTGCGACGGGTGCATGGCTGGTGCCGGCATGGTGCCGGGTGCAGGGCTACCTACAACATGAGGTGAGCCCGGCGGGGGGAGGTGCGCGGCGTGCGGGCTGGCCCCAATAGGGAACTGACCCATGCCAGGTGTCCGTGGGCCGCCCTGCGGTAATGCGCCTTGGCCGTTGACGTTCATGTTGTTGGCTGGAGTCCGGATGACATTCTGGACGTACTGGTCCAAGGTGCTGAAGGCCGTCAAGCTGGGGTTTTCGTGGCTGTAACTGAAGAGGGGTGTCATGTGGCCCATGACTTCCACGACCTAGATATTGAAGTCAGTATTCATAAGCATGTTCATAACCATGTGCCGACAACAATCTCGAATGCAGCGACAGCAAATTCATACCTCGAGGAACTGGTTGACGGCCTCGGTAATGCCAACACTCTCCTTGATGCTCGAGTGGGGAAGCTGAAAATCCGGGGGGATGCTCTGGGGCGACTTCATCTGCTTGACCTTGCCCTTCTTGCTCATTTCGGGAGACTGCTTGTTGTCGCTCAGATTTATACTCCGCCATTCCTTGACCCACTTGTGGCCAGGCTGCGCAGCCTGGATGACCATCTTGCGCGGCAAAAACTCTTCGTGGTCCTCGCAGCTGAACTCGAACAGCTCAAACTTTTGCTCGGCATCAAACTGTACGCGCACAGAGCCGCTCGAGACAACCTGGGAGCCGTTGGTAAACCACTGCACAAAGTTGGCCTTGGAGTTTTCGACACAGAAGCGGTCGCTCTGGATGGGTTTCTCGACGAAGCCCTTGTCCATGACGAACTGCATCTTCTTGACACCGCTCTCAAAGTACGTGTGGAAGTACCGCGCCAGAGCAGAGCAGGGGATTTCGTACTGCTTGCTGGTCTTTTCCTCGCCATCGACAATGTGTATCGAGTGGCGGAAGACACCAACAGGCGAGAAGAAGCGGTTGACAAAGTCGACCCAGTACGCAACATCCTCCTTGCCCTTGGAGCCGGGGAAGGAGCCGAGAGACTCGCTAAACTGGGTCAGCCGCAGCAGACACTGCATCCGCATAGGCTCGCGCTTCTGCTGGAGCGCGGCATTGGCAGCGGCCATGTGGTGTGCTTGCTGTAGAGCAAGAGGGTTCTGCTGCAGCATGTGATGTTGCATCTGTGCCTGCATCTGTGGGGTGACATGCTGCGGCATCTGTTGCGGCATCTGCTGGGGCGGCTGAGGGCCACCCGGGCCCTGCTGCTGTGGTTGGGGTTGGCCTGCCATCTGCGGGGTCATCTGGACTTGCATACCCTGCGGTCCGCCGTTTTGGGGGGGCGGGCCACCTGGCTGCTGGCCGGGCTGTTGAGGTGTTTGCGGCTGGCCAGGTTGACTAGGCTGTTGTTGCTGCTGGGGTTGGCCCTGCTGGCCCGGCTGGCCCGACGGCCCTGGCTGGCCTGGCTGGCCTTGCTGACCGGGTTGACCGGGTGGACCGGGCTGACCGGGCTGGCCGGGCTGGCCGGGGCCGCCTTGTTGTGCTGCCTGCTGGGCCTGCTGGGCTTGTTGAGCTTGTTGTGCCTGCTGGGCCTGCTGTTGAGCTTGCTGTTGTGCTTGCTGTTGTGCTTGCTGCTGGGCCTGCTGGTGAGCCTGCTGCTGCTGGTGATGTGCTTGCTGCTGCGCCTGCTGGGCCTGTGCCTGCTGGACCTGCTGGGCTTGCTGTTGGGCCGTAGCAATCGCTTGCGCCTGTTGAACCTGCTGAACCTGTTGAGCCTGCTGAGCCTGGGCTTGCTGGGCTTGCTGGGCCTGTTGTGCCTGTTGGTGAGCCTGCATGGCCGCGAGGTGGGCTTGCTGGACCTGGAGCTGATTCGGGTTGTGTGCTTGGTTGTTGAGTTGGTGTTGCGAAATGGCGTTCTGCTGGGCGATCATGGCCTACCAAGTTACCAAGTTGGATCATGGTTAGCTATGGGCCTTATGTATTTTATGTATTTGTACGAGATACAGATCCATGGGGTTCGACATACCTGAGTACGCGGGTCCTGCGCACCCCCTTGCGCGCCCATACGTCTCTGGAGAGCCGCGATCTGGCTGGCCTGCATCATGCTCGGGTTGTACATGCCGGGGTGCTGCTGCTGCATCATCATCTGCTGCGTGTGGCGCTGTTGCTGCTGCTGCTGCTGCAGCTGTTGCAGTCTCTGTTGTTGGAGCTGTGCCTGAAGCGCTGGGTTGTTGACTACTAAATACAATCAGTACGCTGACACGTTGGAGCAAGAGGGGCGATGAGGAAAAGCCATCATCGGAAAACGTTGGTCATCGAGACAAGTGGAGAACGTACATGCCATGTGGCTCATTTGTTGCTGCTGGAAGAGCATAGCCTGTTGCTGAGGACTCATATGCTGGATATTGTGGCCACCCGGTCCGCTGACGCCCGGCGGCATACCCGCCGCCATCATCGCGGCTGGGTTGATTTGGGGTCCTCCCGGGCCCGAGACGCCCATCTGTGCGGCGAGGTGTTGAGGGATGGCGCCGGGCTGACCGGGCTGGCTGGGGTTATGAGCCATGCCGGGCGCAAGGCCGGGATGTCCTTGCGGGACACCGGGATGCTGCTGCATCGCGTTCGGGTGTGGTGAGAACGCGGGTCCCATACTCGCCATCTTTGCTGTATACGCGCGCGCGGCCTAATCGTCCCCAAAACGGTAAATAGGCAGCGAGGCAATGTCGGCAGGCGATGTGGGCGACGAGAACAAGACAGGTGGTGATGCAGCGCGCCGTCGGACTTATCGCATGCGAGGGTGTGGGTTGGGAAGGTTCGAGAGGATCGGACGAAACACGGGGCGGGCTACCTCTGTCGTCGGTGGAAATAAGCAGGGGACCGAGCCGGAGATGGAATCGAATTCGTTTCGCGATATGCAAATTCGCAGAGTGCGCCAATGGAGGCAGAGAAAAGAGAGACGAAGACGCTGACAATGGATCCCAGATGGTGTCCTGGAAACCCGAAGGATGTCGCGGTTTTGCAGCTTCGCTAACGGTGCCGAGTGAGCTTTCGGCAGTTTGTCGCAGGAAAGGGCGTGTTGGCTCTGCAAGGGTTCTTCGCAAAGGTTCTTCGCACTTTTGTCACGACAATGGTTTTGCGAAACGAAAAGAATGCGGCGACGTTCGAAGAAGAAAAATGGCTGCCAAAGCACGCCACGGGGTGCGGTACAGTTTGTGTGTGATGCGGGATTCGAAACGTGAGAAACAAAGACGGGGGGAGAGAAAGAGGAAAGGTAGGTAGGGGTTGAGAGCCAGACCTGGCTGAAAGGGAACGCGACGACCTATTCAGTCCAGCAGTGAATGGCAGCCCAGGAATTCAAGATAAAAAAATCGTGCCAGAGAAAACAAAGTAACTGGCCCGTTGGCGCTTCTTCGTCTCCTTTCTCTATTTTATCAGGTCTGCCAGTGAGCGCCAAAAAAAGGAAGTCAAAGCGACCGTCAAGTTTCCCGCGATAGAAGACGAAACATGCGACAAAAGAGAAGCAACCAAGTCAGCGAAGAGGATGCAAGGGGAAGAGCGGAGCTGGGTGGAAAGAAATTGGAAGAAAGTGTGGGCGATATGGAATCGAACGGCCAGTGGAAGGCGATGATCGCCCGCGAAAGCGCGAAAGAGAGGGCCTCAGGGCGCAAGACCGAAGAATTAGTAGGAGCTTAGCAAGAGAAGTGAAGAAAAGAGGGCCTCAAGAGAAGCTTCAGGAGGGATAATTAGGGAGGTGAGTGGAGGAGAATAGCGCCCAAGCGATGGGATTGCGGGAAGATTGGGGGGGGGGGCCTTGCGGGTGCGCGGGAGAGGAAGCGCACGAGACGGACCAGGGAGGATCAGGAACACAAAAGTCTGGAGGCAACGAAGCCGACAGTAGATAGGTCAGAAGAAAGGGTGGAGGCCTGGCCAGTCCCAAAATTTGACTAGGAAGTTTGATGGCGTAAAAAGATACAGCGACGATTCGGTTCTAGAGGAGCCGACACCAGCGGCCACTAACAAAAAATAGCAAGGGTAGGTAACACCCACAAGAGACGACGGCTTCTTTGCAGACCCTGAGGCGTGGGAAGGTTGGGGAACTGTATGGCGAGGGCAGCGGAAGAAAAGGAGATCAAATGTGAAGCTGTGAAGCTGTGAAGCCGAAGAAAAGGAGAGGAAAGGGGGGAAGGCGGGACATGGAGAGGAAGCAAAAAGTTTTCACTCTCGTGGTGCAACCGATGCGGAGGCAAAAAAGGAAGTCGACAATAGCGAGCCAACGGCAGTGCGTGTGGAAGGGGCGACTGTGCGCATGTGCGCTACTCTTGGTCGCTGCCTTTTGTTGACAGGCGTAACTGTCGTAAGTGACAATTGACGACGACGCCCAGAGTTTGTTGAAGGAAGGCGCAGAGGATGTCATATAACGCCACAGGTACGATTTACGGGGAAATGGCAGTTGCGACACAGAGCGAAGACTCGTTATACAGAAGTCGCGATTGTGCGAGAAGCAGGAGAATGGTTTCGTGCAGCATGGAGAAGGCAAGAGCGAACAACGGACAAGCGATTGGGCCGCAGAAAGCTGCGACGACAAACGGCAGGCGGGATCCACCAGAGCTGTTTTTGGAGGACAAACCCAAGGCAGGCGCAATTGGGGAGCAGACGGGACAAGGAGGGGGATGCAGAAATCCGCGACAAACAGGGGGGATGCGAGAGGTTTGTTTCTGTCAGAGAATGTGAACAGACGGAGGATGAGGAAGAACCGAGAAAGCAGAAGAAAGCAGCCAAAATCAAAGGCCACGACGAGGGATTCCGCGATTGCGGAAGAACGTGGAGGTGGGAAAGAAATGCGGTTAGACGTCGTTTCGAGAAGAGAAGGTGCGAACAGCGAATGGAGAGGGAAGAGCGGATGCTCGCACTCGAAATCTGGACACGCTCACACTGCGAGATTCTAATCTCTGCGGAGTACTCCGCACGTCGCACATAATTTGTATTTCATGTACTGCGTTTCTGCTGACGGCCCCATTCTGGAGGAAATGGGAAATGAACCCAGATGCGGCCTCGACAAGCGCGTTTTTACAACTGTACGATTTATGTACTCCGTATGACGCGTTTCTCTGATTTGGAAGGCGCCATGAATGTGCTTGTTGAAAGGGTACCTGCCATTTCGAGACGTATTGCAGACGACGAACAGCGTATTGTATCTTTCAAAGTGATCCGAGGCTCTTTCCTTTCTAGTTCAACTGTCTACGCCGCTGTTTCTTCCTCCTCTCTATTTTCACTATCCTTTTCTGTGTGATACTCATCGACATTGAAAACACACTGTTGGATCAACACAGAAGGCAAAGGCCCTGAGGCCTAATACGGGTGGCTGGGAACAGGCATATTGGGCCCTGCAGGAAGCGGGCCGATGCTCCAAGCCAAATTCAAAAGCGTGGCGAGCGTGGCAGCGTGGGTCAGACCACACACGGAGAAAAGTGGGTCAACATTAGTCATCTTTACTTCGGCTAAACTATTTTTCCTCTGCCGGGTCTGGCCAAATTTAACGGCGCGAAGAAGGAAGCTCAGAAGGTACGACATGCTGAAGGGGAAGAAAGAGCGAAAGTGGGGCAGCATATTTGCTTTGGCGAGAGACCCCAGCGGGCCCAGCTATAAATTTTTTCTGCATCCAAATATGCTTGTACCTTTTTTCCTTCCTTTCGTCTTTTCACTTTCCTCAACACAACAACCACCACTGGCCAGAGTTTGACGCCAAGCTGCACAGCTGGCTGTATGGTGGCAGACGAGCTGTCTGCCCGCTTCGAGCATAACGAGATTGTGCAGCTGTGTCGACTCTGGCTGCCACCAAATCGTGAGTCTTGTTCCTTTCCGACATCCATCACGACACTCGTCACCTTCTACACATGTCCCCTGTCCCTCCCTGGCCATGATGACATTCCAAAACACATGTCTTCTTTTCCCAACAGAATCGCCCATGAAGAAATTTTGTCTGTTTCCGGGCTCGTTCCTACGGGATCGTAGCTTGTTACGTGCCAGTATTGTTACGTCTGAGCCGCTCGTTTTTGCACATCATCTTTTTTCCGTGTGGAGAGGAGAACGTTGCTGACCAGTGATAGTCTTTTTAGATGTGTCGAATACAATTGCACTAGAACAGGGGCGTACGACCACGGCTGGGCCGTGAAGACGACGGGTTGACAAACGCCAACCCGTCGTGTGTATGAAACTAGGTCAGTTGTTTTTGATGCTTTGCGATTTGAGCAAGACAATAGCAGTCACCCGTCGACATACATTCACCTTCACTCCTCATCTACACTCTCCCGGTTCTTATGATGAAAATTATTCCTACATTCGCAGTTTCCACTTGAGTATCCTACATATAGAAGAGCCAATTTCTATTGGATGCAAATGAGGGCAAAGCATCTTCCTTGGATGTCTGATCAAGAACCACACCCAATCATTTCTGTTGTGTTTGGTGTGCTGCTGTTTGTCTGTGTCATCCTGTTCTGACACACGCTTGCTAACACTCGGCAATAGATTTCTTAAGTAATGCATGATTAAACGACGAGACGCCCGACACGACGTGCCATACGATATAGCTCGATGTGGCAAATGAAAATGAGACAATGGGCAGCAGAATTAGACAAGGAAATGGAGTGCAGTGGGATTCACCTCCAGTATAGAATGAATTCAAAACCCTTAATTTTGTCAAAAACTCCAGACATCAGTATCTTGTATATTTTCCATGTCCGTACTGTCCGTAAACAATCAACGCCAAATACCAAACCAGGAGATACGTTTGTTCGTGACCGTGTCCATAACTACGAACATGCGATCCACTTCACTCTTGTTCAGATTGTGTTTGTACATCAAAAGAATCCACACCTAGATTGGACTACGTCGTCTCTGAAACAGGCCCCAGGCTCCCTAGGCCACACTCAGGCCTTGTCTCGTCGCAAACGACTCGCCCCCGCTGCCAGCACCGCCAGCACCGCCAGCACCGCCCCCTGTCAGCCCCGCGCCTCGCTTCACCCGTCCTCCGACCATGCCGCGCCGGTTCCGTCCCGTCCGGCCGCGGCCCAGCCAGTTGAGCTTCAGCAGACGGCTCAACTCCTCGACGCGGCGGTTGCCGTCGTCGCCGTCGGGGGCGGCGGCGTTGGTCGCTGCAGCCGAGGAGGAGGACTCGCCCGCCACGCCCACACCGGCCAGCACGCTCATGCACTGCAGCATGCGGCCGACCATTTCCGTGACCTGTTTGCTGTCCTCGACGTTTTGCTCGCGGACGCTGCCGAGCAGACTGGCGCCGCCGGACGAAGGAGGGGGGCCGCCCCCATTGGCGTTGGCGTTGGCGTTGGCGTTGCCATTGCCGTTTGTGTTGCCATTGCTGTTACTCACGCTCGTGACCGTCGTGAGGGCGCCCCCGCTGACGGACGAGCTAAACGACGGCCGCGGCTCGTTGCTGCTCGCAAAGGAGACGTTGCTGATGGCGCGGGACCGGCTGCCGCTGGCCATGCCACCACCACCCGTGTCGTTGCTGCCGTTGAGGTTGAGGGTGGCCGTCCCGCTCGGGTCCAGCGACGACATGGCCGTGCCGGGCCGGTCGTTGCTGGTGGTGGTACTGCCAAAGCTGCCGTAGCTGTGCGCGGCGGCGGCGGCCAAGGACGAGTTGGAGCGGCCGGGGCGCTGCTGGATGGGAATGGGTTTTGTTTGGCTCATGCCCATGCCCATGCTCATGCTGCTGGGCGACGTCATCATGGTGGGCGAGGCGCGGGCCATGGCCATGCCGGCGAGCGACTGGGGCAGGAACTCGAGCGAGAGACGCGAAAAGATGGGTTTGAGCGTGTCGTAGCGGGGCAGGATGACCGTGTCGCGGTAGGACGCGAGCACGAGGCGGCGGACATCGAGGACGGCCGAGACGGGCGCGACGGCGGGGGATGCGGTCGTCGCGGTCGTCGCGGACGTCGCAGCCGTCGCAGCCGTTGCAGCCGCCGTGGTTGCCGACGTCGCCGTCACGCCGCCCCAAAAATCGCGCGCCTGTTCAGGCGTGAGGAGCGTGCCCGTGCCGGCAAACTCGAGATCAAGCGGCAAAAAGACGGCCTGCATGTACGGCAGAATGCTCGTAAATGTAAAGAGCCACAGCTCGACGAGGGCCGGGATCAGGCGGTCCTCGGGGGTCTGGCGCAGGGTGCGGTCGAGGGAGGCGAAGCCCATGGTCAGCAGGTCGCGCAGGTCCTCGAGGATGATGTTGGGCGAGCGGCGCTGGATGCAGTACTGGATGTGCATGACGACGACACGGTTGAGCAGCTCGACGGGGATGCGCAGGTCCTCGCCCTCAAAGATGACCTGCAACTTGGCCTTGAGGTAGGGCCAGGCGTCGTCGTAGCTCAGGTTGCTCGAGCCGTACTTGGCAGCGTCGACGGCCGAGTCGGCCAGCAGGCCCGCGCCGCCCGACCCATAGCTGCCGGGGCCGGGCCAGACGTCGCCCTGGACGCTGCCAGCGCCGCCGCCCATGCCGCCGCCCAGGCCGCCGAGCTCGATGCTCGCGGCGCGCGTGTAGTCGCCATTGGCGGCGATGTTGACGGCGCTGGCAGCAGCGGCCGCGGCCGCCGCGGCCGCGGCCTTGTCTTCTTTGTCCTTCTTCTTGTCGCGCAAGGCGCGCGCACCATGGCGCAGGTCCAGACCGCTCATGCTCTTGAAGGTGGTGGACGCCGGCCCGGGGCTGTTGGGCGGCAAGCTGAAATTGTAGAGGCTGCGCGGGGCGTTGGGGTCGGTGGGCCGCGAGTTGCTGGCGGCCGAGGACAGCGGCAAATGGAAGTCGTCCTTGTCCTTGAGCTTGTGTTTCTGGCGGGACAAGAAGTGGTGCTTCTTTTCCTTGCCCTCCTTGCCCTCTTTGCCCTCTTTGTCCTTGTCCTTGCCGTCTTTCCCGCCGGCCGTGCTCGCGGTGCTGTCCTTTTCATAAAAGGTGGGAGCGCCGCCCGCGGCCGTGCTCGTAAGACCGAGACCACCGCTGCCGCCGAGCGTCGCGCTGCTGCTGGACCCGACCAGCCCCAAGCCCATGCCCAATGGGCCCATGCCGCTGTCGGCGGCGCGGATGGTGGCGGCCGACGAGTTGCCCAGGCTGTAAAAGGACGACTGGCTGGACGAGTCGAGGCTGGTGGTGCTAAAGTTGGCGCGCTGCAGCGAGGCGAGGGCCGACGAAATGCCCATCTTGTTGGGGCTGGGCAGCGGCTTGTCCTTTGCATCGCCCTTGGTGGAGATCTTGCCGGGCCGCGAGAAGAGCTTGACCTTGGACTTTTCGGCCTTTTTCTCGGGGACGGGCGGGGGCGGTGGCGGAGGCGGTAGCGGTGCATGTTGTGCATGTTGTGCATGTTGTGCCTGCTGTGCCATTTTGGGCGACGGCGGCCCGCCCGCGCGCGAAAACACGACGTTGGCGGCCGTCTGCGCGGCCGACGTGTGGCTGCCGAGTAGGCCGTTGTGGTACGTCTGGTCGCCGAAGCCGCTCTCGCGCGGGGCGCTGGCCTCGGTCAAGCTCAACGTTGGCGGCACCAGGGGTCCACCACTGCTCCGCTTGTTCTTGTTGATGGTGCTGGTGTTCGAAGCGGCCGCAGCGGCTTCGTACGACTCGCCGGGTGCGGGCACCGTCTGTGACCGCTGGCGGGAGTGTTGCGGCACATGCTGCGGCGGTCCCGTCTGATGTTGGAGAGAGTGTTGTTGGTAGAGAGAGGGCGGTTGTGAGTGGGCGTATTGCGCATGCTGGGCAGGGTGACCTTGAATCTGCTGCTGCTGCTGCACCATGTGGGACTGCTGCGCTTGCTGCAGTTGCTGCTGCTGCTGGGGCGTCAGCTTGGCCGAGCCCTGGCCTTGAACTTGGCCTTGGCCTTGTGCCGTTCCCTGTTTGTGGTGGAGGACGGCCGCCTGGGCAGCGATTTGGCTCGCACTCATCTCGCGCCGCTCCTGCAAAGGCGGCGTGTTGACACCACCACGGGACGACGGCCGTGCGTTTTGCTGCCCCTGCCCCTGCTGCTGTGCATTGATGACCTGGGACAGGCTTCCGCCGCCGTTGGTCGAGGGCAGCGAGACGTCAAAGAGGCCGGCGGTTTGGGAGTGCTTGCGCGCGTGCGAGGGCTTGAAGGAGGCGATGGGGCTCGTGGGGGCGGCCGTGGCCGTCTTTTCTGCTGCCGTGTTGGTATTGTTGGAAGAGCTGCTCGCGGTCGGCAGCGTCAGTGGCAGCGGCGAAACGGCCCGCAGAGTCTCGCCGGCAGCAACGTTGAGTCCCGCAGCGCCAGCCGAGGCGGCCGAAGCGGCCGCTGCAGTGGAGGCGGCGTTGGCGTTGGCGTTTGCATTTTGCCGCGCGGCGGCGGCAGCAGCGACGGCAGCCGTCACGGGCGTCGGGCGGGAGAAGTTGCTGTGAGCAGGGGGCGCGGCTGTCGGTGGCGTTGATGTGCTGGCACTGCCGGCGATGCCCGGTTGTAGCGGCTGTGTTTGTGTTTGCTGTGTTTGCTGTGTCGGCATCTGCTGGCGCACCTTGTTGATCGTCAAGGGCGGGGGCAGCGCCGACAGACGGGGATTCTCATCGCTGGTCACGGGCGAGTCACGGCGCGGCCGCGTCGGCGGTGTTGGTGCCATGCGTGACGGTTGGTCAAACGTGGGCGAGAGGCTGGCGCGAGACGAGTTGTTCGCCGCCGTCGCTGCCACCAGGGCGGCCGAGGTTGGCGTCGGTGATGGCGGCCGCAGCGGCGAGAAGCTTCCAGGGCCTCGTGGCGGCCGTGCAGGCTGCATGGTGGGTGGATGTGATGGCGATGCTGGTTAGGGACGAAGAGAGCGAAGAGAGGATGGTCGAGGTCGTGCAATCTGGCGATGGCTTCGGTCGACTCGGCACGGCCACCCCGTCACATTGTGTGGCGCATTGGACAGGACCGTGATCGTGGTACACCGCCAGTCGGGTACGATTGAGAGGGGGCAATGTCGACGGGCGGAGGCTGTGGTACGTGAACTGGCAAGATCGAAAGGTTGAGACGTTGAGAGGTCAGAGGAGATTCGAGGGGATGTCGTCGTGCAGCTGAGGTTATCAACTGGTAACAGAGAAGCAGAAGATGCCGACGAGGCGTATCGCATGGACTACCGCGAACAAAGGATCCGAGTCGGCGCAATCGGTGTGTACGGGGGTGCAATGGGAGTGCAATCGGGATGCAATCTGGGGAAATGTGGCGATGCGGATTGTCTTGTTTTGGAGTGGGTGGAGGGCGTCGTAAGTAAGCATAATGTTGGCGCTAGGCTGACGATTATTAGCGTGCTGTGATCTGGGTGGGGGTGTGCCGGCAAGCTATTGCAGGAGCACGGTGCGGGGCCCGCTGAAGAACGCCCTGAAACAAACCTGCCAGGCGGGACGAGTGCTGATCAGAGAAGCGAGATGAGAAAATACGAGGTGAGTGTTGGGACTTTGTTTCTTTCTTTTGTTGTTTTGTTTTGTTTTTGTTTTGTATCGATTTTAAAAGAACCTTTTTTGGTTTTCATATTACTTTTTGACGCCAGTCAATGTAAAAGGAAGAGGAACAAGAAATACACTGTACAACTAAAAAGTAAATACATGGAAACAAAAAATAATAAAAAAGTCTTGACTTTTTGAACATAAATATAACCCGTCCCGGTACATCTGTCTGCAATTCTGGACAATGGCACGGTTTAGACACGAAGTAGGGGTACTGGTTTTGTGGTGTTTTGCTGCCTGTTCTGTATCGTTACTTTCAGTTGTATTATTTCTTTGTTTTATTCTTTTCTTAAAAATGTTTTCTACACCCAGCTTGTTTTTACCAGCCACCACATTCACATAGTCACACGCCCTTCGTTTCTCTGCTCATTTCATTGAGCAGCTTGCCGTACTCCCTGTGCACAGAAACTATTGGACAAGATAAACCGTCCATCGTCCATCGTCGTGCACGTTTGACCTGGAAGCATCCCGTCTCTTGTATTTGTGCTTCGTTTGTGCTTTGTGTGTCTTGTTTGTGTCTCGTCTCCTTTCCACCAGGCCTATCGCTGGCAGGTCCTCCTCTTGCCGCCGAGGCCCGGTAACGCGGCCTGTTTCGTCTTGTTTGCCGTCGTACGTGTGCCGACTGACGAACAAGTTTTGTGTTATTTGTGTTGTTTTCTTCGTGTAATTTGTGTTATTTTGTGCCGCCTCTGACGCCTTCCATTCTGCGTCTCTGGTCCCAGGAAGCACTCTTGACGCGTACTATCGTATCCTGGACGTATATATGCCTCCATACCGACTCGTGGATTTCGTCTCTTGTCCTTCTCTCTGTTCTCATTTTACCTTGTTTCTCTCCTCACCTCCGAAAAGAAAATCTTCACTCGTTTTATAAGCTTTTACAAACTGCTATACACAGATTTTCGAACAATTGTTTCTCGTTCACACCAAGATTGTCTTCAAAGCAGACAATAAAGGCACAAAAGCAACACTCTCTCACAATGAAGCCCTGCTCTGCTGCCGCTGCCACCGCCGCCACCGCCGCCACTCTCATGGCAGCCACGGCTGCGGCCCAGAGCTACACCACCATCGTCCTCACCGAATCGGCCACGTCCACCACCACCATTGTCCTGCCCGCCTGGCCGACCACGTGGACGACGGGCCAAACAGCAACGGCAACGGCGACGACGACAACGACGCCGCCCTCGCTGACACCGTACCCGGGCACGGGCACGCGGACGAGCTCGGGCACGGCCACCACGACCTCGCCGGCGACCGTGCCGACGGCCGGCGCCGATGCCATGATGGTGCTGGACCGGGCGGCCCTGGGCTCGATGGTCCTGCTTGCGATGCTGGGACTGGTTGTTGTGTAGGTTGATTGGGTTCGGTGGCCAGGGCGGCGTGCCGGACGGTGCGTGACGTCTGCCATTCAGACAGTGTGATACTGAACGGACATCGAGGGAGGACAACACGGAGGCACAGAAAGCACAGGCAGACTTTGCATAATGAAACGCACGTTGGGTAACAGCAAAGAGGCAGTTGGCAGACGTCGTGTTACGAGGCGAAGTGGGGAGGGGAATGAAAGGAGACACAGGTTTTGGCCCAATGATGCAAGTAATACTATCTCATTCATTTTGTTCATGTTGTCCTCTCCCAATCCGTCGCGCAAGCAGTCGTTAGAGGCCTGTTGTTTGTCTCGCCACTAGAATACGGTTGCCGTCAAGACGGTCCCACCATCTCTCGCCGTGCACGCAGCCCTGCATTCCAAACATGACGTGGTGTTGCCATGGCCATTGCTCATGTCGCTGGAGTTGTGCATGACATTCTGTGTGTTGTGCGCGGTTCAGACGACTTTGATGCGAGGCACAAAATTAATATTGACGTACGCGGGCCATCGGTGGTGACCGCATACAACGGGCCCCGGCAGCGGCGTTGCGCATTGGAGGAGCGTAAAGCGGGACCAGGATCATGCCCGCCCGTAGTCTTGTGAAGAAACCGTCCGGCATTCCTGGGTGATGTAGTGTGTCGACTCTGACGGCTTTTGGTGGCTGTCCGATGTTGGACGTCGCCACATGTCCTGCGCATCTTACAGACACAACATATGTCGTAGCCTCTTTGTCGATTTGGCCGAGCAGTGCTGTGTCGCTTTTGGCGGAAGCGAGCGACAGTCGTCGACATTTGGTGGCGTGTCGAGTCGGATGGCCCATTGCTTCTAAGACACCCACTGACATGACCGCCCCCCCTTACCACCACGTCTCTCTGTCTCACACGCGGCTCGGCATGTGTATGTTCGTTGGTCGTCCGCTGTTTTTCCGTACTTGTTCTTTTTCAAGCCACCACCAGCGTCTCGCTGGCTGGTCCGTTGCCTGGGCCTTTGGGAAGATTTTCCTGGGTTGGTTAGCAAGACGATTGCAACTCTCTACAGGCCCGACATATCTGCCCGCTTTGCATGTACGCCCGCACGCCTGCACGCTTGCACGCCTCACGCCTCACGCCTGCACTTACCACGTCGTAAATCACCCGAATCATCAGGCTGCAGCTCGGGCACACGGCAATGTCGTTGGACTCGTCCAGCAGGTCCTCCAGGGCAATCTCGAAACGGTCGCCGCACGGGCACGGGTGGTGGTACAGCCCGCGCGCCGCGTCAAACGTCATGTCCTCGATCTCGACCTCATCGTAGATGGCCAGCTCGTCGTCGTCGCTCATTGTGGCAATGTGGGGGTGTTGAGATGTGGTGGGATTTGCGATGTAGTTGAATCTCTTTTTTGGCAGCCGGTGTTGGTGAAAGGTTTGCGACGGCCTAATTTGTAATTTGGGTTCAAAGTAAATCGTACAGGCGCCTTCCCCAACTTTTCAGTGGGGCAAACTTGCCATGTGCACATACAGTCCACATACTGTATGTACACTGTATATGCCCCACAATTATCATGTAAGTCAACGACAAATGCATCGTCATTAAGTCACCGTATATTGGAAGACATCGATATTAAAACGACCGTACATGATATCCCATACTATAACCCATCCAGCGCCCCCACGAACCAAGATCCCACACTCCACAGCCCACTGCCTCTTCACGGCTGCAGCCCCGATACGTAGCCGTTGTTGGCCACCAGATTGTACGTCTTCAGCTTGTAGAAGAGCGTGCATTGGCGTGTCGCAATCTGGAACATGAAGGCATCGCAGCCGCTGTTGCTTGCGCAGTTGGACGCGCACGCGCCGACCGAGTTCTCCGACGACCACGACGAGCTGCAGTCGGAGTTGGTCGGCTGGATCAGCGTGAAACAGCGGACGTTGAACGGCAGCGTGTCCTTGGTCGGCGGCTTGCCCCCGCTGCCGCCCGTATAGCCTGTGGCCGTAATCGCCTTGTTGGTACACGTGGGCAGCGTCAGCGTGGTGGTCGCAGTGACCGTCTTGGTCTGCCGAATCGTCTGGGTTCTTGTCTTGGTGACGTCCTGTTCCTTCAACATCGTTGTCGTCGCAATCTTGGTCACAAACGTGGTCGTGGTCACGCGGGTGTATGTTGTCTTGGTCTTGGTCGACGTGGCTGTGACAGTGGGCGTGACCGTTGTGGTGCGTGTGACAGTAGTGGCCTGGACCGTGATCGTCGTGGTCGTGGCCTTGACGCCACCGCAGGAGCAGGCGCTGGCGTAGTGGGTAGCGTCGCCGCAGGCCGCTGCGTATGTGGGGACGGGGAAGGGGCACGTCGACGGCGGTGATGACGACGTGGGAGGCGGCGACGAGGTGCTCGACTGGCTGTGGCTTGACGACGATGTAGGAGGAGGAGATGAGGGGCTCGACAGACTCTGGCTTGACGACGGCGGCGATGACGACGGCGGCGATGGCGACGACGTGGGAGGAGTAGACGACTGGCTCGACTGGCTGTGGCTTGATGACGGAGGAGGAGACGAGGAGCTCGACGGGCTCTGGCTCGACGACGACGGCAGTGAAGGTTTGCACCGGTTGTTCCGCTTCTTCAGCCGTGGCTGCTTCCCCACCTCGCCGCCGCGGTCGCGGCGGTCGAGTGGCTGGCCTGTGTACACCGTCGTGGTCTCTTTGCTGGTCTCGGTGGGCGTAAACTTGGTGACGGTGACGACATCGGTGGCGACCGTGACCGTGTCGAAGAGGGTCTTGGTCACGCCGATGACGGTGTTGGTCTCGACGTCGGTGTAGGCGTTGGTCCCCAGAGTGACCCACGTCGTGGTGGTGGCGAGGGTCTTCGTGACGGGCTCCTTGGAGACGGTATCCCAGACGGTGATGGTATTGAGACAGTCCGTGGTGGTGACAGGATTGCAGGCAAAGAACGAACGGCAGTCGTCCTTGGCGGCCGAGTTGAGCGGCGGACTGCCACGGTTGGTGACGGCGTTGTTGCAGGCGTTCTGGAGGTGTCAGTATGGTGCTTTGGAAACATATGAATGACGAGATCGGGACGACATACGGGACGGCAGTGGTCATAGTCGCCACCACCGGCAGTAGACTGCTGGACCAGACCAGCGACCACGGCTAGGGAGAGAACGGACACTTTCATGGTGGTAGACGTGGTGAGAGGGCCTTTCCCGGGATGACAAGGGAAGGATGGTCGAAGGGAGAACATCGATAACGGGAGGGTTGCGCGTCCTTTATACACCGACAGCGTTCTGTCCTTCCATCATGCCCTAGATGGCCAATGCTTCCCGTTTTAGACGACGACAAAGACACCGTATGCCGGATCACGCTCAATCGGGCACTGCGGTTGGGCCATAACGCCTCTAGCACTCGTCTCCTCTCATTCATTTGGCAATCTCAATACCCTGCCAAATCCCCCGGCGGCCCAACCTTTGTCCATGAGGATGTGAAGGTCGGAACCGGCACAAACCCCAGTTAGCCAACCAGAGGCACATCCAATAGAAGCGGAGAAGAAGCGAACAAGAGAACAAGAAAACAAGGAACGTCGAGCACCCCCAACTCCGTCGATGCCAAGGTGACGCGTGGCCGAAAGGATCGGATACATGGACAAATCCAGACATGGCAACGTCCGTGACATTTACCGGTGGCTTGTCGTGTAATCCGGGTTGGGACCTTGGTTGTCTCTTCTAGTAATGGTAGTCGGGCTGGACCATCAAAGAGCAGGAAGGGGATACTAGAAAAGAAACAGATTTCGTCCCTGAATGTTGAAACTGCTCGGCAGTCGACGGCTTGCTCCTGGAGAGCCCGTGATACGACTGCAGTGAAGGAGGTGAGAGACAGTGGTCATTCCCGTCGTCGAGTCGAGTGCCTGTCCCGAACGGGATCAGAACCTCCTCTCCGCGTCTGTCTCGGCCTTTTCCTGTCCATTTCCGTCCCGTTTTCATCTTTCCATTGAAAGTTCGATGCTCGTGGTGGCCGAACCTTGCTGGCTCGGGCTAGATTGAGTGTCGTTTCTTTGTCGCCATTGGCGTTGGCCAGATGTAAATATTGACTATTGGTCTGCATTGGTTCGTTGGCTTGATCGTTGGAACCTTTAAGCCAGGGAGTTGCAAGGCACAGGCACACAAGACGCCACGGCGCCAACATGGCCCTTTTGCCGACCTTTCTTTCAACAGAACCATAGCGCGCCAATGTCAGCCAATAGTTCCGGGCAAAATGACGGACATTTGTTTGAAAGGGTGAGATCCAGCCGAAAACGATGGAGTGATCCGGTTGAAGCAAAACGTCCAAAAGAAACTACGAGATGTTGGAAAAAGCGATCGTAGAAAATGGAAATGGAAATAAAAATAGAAATGAAAGAGAGAGAGGAAAATACATGCAGAAGAAACTGTTGGCATGTCCAAAGCAAATAAAGGTGTTATTAGTAGAGACAATGTGTATTTTGGGGGGTCCAATAGCTATTTACAACAAGAAGTTACTTGCAACAACAAATGTCGAGGCCAAAACAACATAGCGAAGACAGAGGGCACGGCAAGGCGGTCTGAGTATACACGGGGTGCATAGTGTCCGTCGAAATCCAGATCAGAGACAAACAGCAGCGTAATACAAGAGAATAATACAAAAAAAAAGATAATTAGAATAGGATGGGCAACGTTTCAAAAGCAAAAGACTCATATTTGGCTAGAAATACGTGCAACGCAGAAATGGAGAAACGCAGAAACGCAGAAACGCAACAACAAAATGAAACTCGAAAGTGACGAGGACGCGCAGAGAAAAGCACTGTTGACAACAATCAGGTAAGAGAGCGTGTGTCAATAAGCACGGAAGCATTGACGATTCGGGCATGGCAATGAATAGTAAGATCAGCGAAAACGAAAACGAAAATTGCCAGAGGCCTAGGACTCGTTGGCGAGGAAATTAGCAGCCTGTGAACCAAAACCGTTAGCATGATTGCCTTCATGGAAAATGCCTGGAGCCATCGCCGCTCGCTTGACGTACCCGGTCCACATTGTAGTCGTATTTCTCCAGCGCGCTCAGGGCCACGGCACGCGGGTAGCCCATGCCCGTCAGCTGCCGCAGGATCGGGTCGTCGTTTGTGCTGTTCTGCGTGTCCAGCCGGTTGAGGGTGGCAGGTCGGGCAGCGTCGTCGGTGGCAGCAGACGGACCAGAGTCAGCGTGAGCCGATGCCGCGGCCGGCTTTGCTTCGTCACCCGCAAACGAGAACCAGTCGCCCGCGTCACCCGTTGCCGCCTTGGTACCATTAACGGCCTGCGCGGCAGCTGCAGCTGTGCCGGCCGACGCGGAGGATGCGCCGAGCGTAGAGAAGTCAAAGCTGCTGTCCCCGCCAAACGAGTTCTGCGAGTCGAACTTGCCCGTGGGCGACGACTCAAAGGTGGATTGGAAGTCGTCGAGCGCCGAGCGGTTGACGTTTGCAAAATCGTCGTCGGCCGATCCCTCGCGGGCCTCCTCGAGCCCCTCAAAGTCGTCGTCAAGATCATCAAACGCGTCGTCGTCCGAGGCGGCCATGGTTGCCGGTGCTGTAGCCGCAGCAGTGGGTGCTGCAGTTGACGCGACCGCAGGGGCCGGTTCCGGAGCCGAAGTTGCCGGTGCGCTAAAGATATCATCCAAGCTGGCGCTCGGGGCCGGGGCACTGAAAACATTGGGCGTGGCAGCAGCAGGGGTGGAGAAGATGTCCGAAGCAGCGGGAGTAGACTCTGCCGCTGCGGGAGAGGCATCCTTGGGGCCTGAACGGTCTCCGTGCGCGGCCTCCGGGACCGTAGCGGCTGCCAATGCTGGCGCTGTCTCTGGTGCCTTCTCGCTCTGGTTGTTCTTGGGCGACACAGGCGCAAAGTCGTCGTCGAAGCCGCCACCATCGCTATCCGAGTCGGACTCGTCGTTGTGCAGCTCAGAGATCGGCGGGAACTCCGTGTTGAAATTGGCAAAGGCCTTGGAGGTATCTGTGTTGACGGGATCTTCAGCTTTCGTCGCGGTCGCAGCGGTGCTGGGCGCGGCAGCGCCGGCAGGCGACTTCACCTCAAAGGCGTCGTCGTCGTGGCCAGACGGCTCGGCAGAACGGGCTGCCTTAAAGCTGGCAAAGGCAGACTCAAAGTCTTCCTTGGCCTTGTCCTGTTGCTGGTCCTTTGCCGAGAACGGATCCGACAGGCTGTCGTTCGCGACGTGGCCCTGGCTCCATACAGACTTGCCTTTGTCGGCATCGTCCCCGGGAGACGTCGCATCGCCAGTGCCGGAAACAACAGCCGCAACGCCGGCCGTCGCTGCCGTGACGGCAGCAGCTGCAGCGGCAGCGGCCGTGGCACCGAAGCCACCAAAGACCGACGACGAAGACGTCTGTGCCTCGGTACCATGGGAGGTGCTAGAAGGCACATCCTTGGATACGACTGGCGCGGGAGACGCGGCAGCGGAAGCATTGTCGACAGGCGGGACAGGCGACGCCACACTGGCGGCCGGGGACGCGACGTTGGGGGACGCAGAAGGCGGCGCAACGGCAGCCTCAGTGGCTGGTGGAGGCGAGGTGGTCGTGGTCGCAAGGGGATGGAAATACGTTTGGCTGGTAGGTTCGGCGGCAGCGGCGGTCGGTGTGGCATCTGTGCCTGGACGGTTGATATCCGGTGTCGCAGTCTCGGACGTCGGCGCCGTCACGGCAGAGAATGACGAGGATCCGGTGGAAGCGCCTGTAAACTGCGGCTTGACCGCGTTCACGGCGGCAGGGGCAGCAGGGACCACAGGGGCAGCAGCAGCAGCAGCGGGAGCAGCCGGGCCGGGGCCGAAGACGTCGTCAAATGACTGCTCACCAAGCTGTTGCGGCGACTGGCCTTGCGTAGGCGACGAGAATACGCCCATGATGTCGGAGCTGCCGGTGCGGCGGAAGAACGGGTTCTTACCCGACGCCGACGCAACGGAGGGACTGGCGGCCGCGGAGCCAGCGCTCGAGACGACGCTGGCGTTTTGTATTTGGCGGGCAAGGTCTTGGTTCTGGCGCGTCACGTCGTCGGCCTCCGTCTTCAGCTTATCGCGCTCGCTTTCGCCGAGGGACAGCTGTTTCCGGTTGATGGCCACGATGCCCTTTTGTTGACGCGCCTCAGATTTTAACTTTTCGATCTGGGGCTTGAGCTGGTTCACCTCGGCGCTGACGGCCTGGATGCGCTCCTTCAGGCTCGCGTTCTCCTGCTGGTCCGCCTGCAGCGCCGACGAGATCGTCTGGTGCTGCGTCTGAAGATCTGCATACGAGGCCTGCAGCGTGGACAGTTGCGTCTGCAGGGTCTTGGTGTCGCTGCGGGACGTCTTCAGCTGCTCCTCCAAGGCACGCACGTCGCGAGCCTCTTTCTCGTACAGGGTCCGCAACTGGGCCAGGCGCTGCTCAAAGTTCTTTTTCTGGGTGCTGGTCTGGCTCAGCTCGTTTTGCAGAGTCGAGCGGTGCGCGGACGTGTCCTGCATGTGCTTGGACAGCGAGCCGATCTGGTTCGACAGGTTCGCCAGCTCTGCGGTGTCATTGGACAGGTTGCGGCTCGCCTCGCCGTCGTCGCCGCCAAGAAGGTCATTGGCCGCGCTCTGCGCACCCGACGGCTGCTGGGGCAAAGGTGGTGCCGATTTGGCGGTTGCCGAGGGCGCCGAGCTGTTGGAGTCGCCCGTAACTTGCGCCGTCAGGGAACGACCAAAGGACGACGAAGGCACAAAGGGCTTGAAGGTGGTCGTGTTGACGGTGGGCGATCGTGTAGGCGAGCTGGGCGGGACAGGGCTGCTGCTGGTGGCGAACGGGTCGGACACACCTGCCGGGGCAGCCGGCAGAGAAGGTGTCGAGGACGCGCCCGTGTCGAGGCCAAACAGGTCGTCCATCGCCGACTTGGGCTGCGCCGGCGGAGGAGGAGGCGGGGCGACCGCGGGCGCTGGGCTGGCCGTCCCGACCTTGCTGCGCAGGCTGGGGGGCACAAGGTTGGGGGGCAGCTTGGCAGGCAGGGCGCTTGTGCCGTCGGTCCGCTGGCGCTGTTGCTGGATAAGATACAGAGCCACGGCGAACGTATCGCTCGTCAGATGTCCCTCGGAGTTCACGTCGGCCAGGTCCCAGATCTGTGCGAGCGTGTCCTCGTCCAGACCCGACCGTGTCAAGAATGGCACGGCTTCCTCGCCGGTGATGTAGCCCTTGCGTGTCTTGTCGAGGCTCTGGAACACGGGGTCCATACGCGCCTTCTCAGCGGGTGTGATGAGCCACTCGGGTCCAGTGGCAGCGGGCGCCGCAGCGGGCGCGGCTGCGCGACCGAGTGGGCTGTTGGAGAAGTTGGGCGGCGCAGGACGCGCGTGGCCCGTCAACTGGCCGGTCAGCTGGCGAGAGATGGAGGCGGTCGGGGCGGGGGCAGGATCCCGCCAGCGCCGAAACCGCCGCCCAGAGGGCTCTGCTGGCGGGCGACAGGGCTCGCAGGGCTGCCGACAGCAACACCAATAGTGCCGCCGGGACCGGGCGACGCTGCGGCCACACCGCGTGTCGCAGCCTCGTACAGGCCAGCCGGCAGCATGGCAGGCAGGGCGCGCAGCGTGCCCGACTTGGTGGACGTCAACAAGTGCATAGCAACGACGAACTCGGTCTGGACGAGCGCGCCGCGCTGCTCCGTGTCGGCCAGCTGCCAGATGCGGCCGAGCGTTTCGATGCCAAGGCCCGACTTCTCAAAGATACGCCGGGCCACGTCGCCCGACATGACGGACTCGCCGCGCGTCTGGTCTTGGAAAACGCGGGCATACTGCGCGGCCTTCTCGGGCGACAGTGGCGGCACGCGGGTCGCGGCACCAGGACCGGTGCCCTGTGCTGCCAGCTGCTGCGCGCCCGCTCCTGTTCCTTGCGCAGAGAGCGGACCGGCAGCCGGCCCTTGCCCTTGCGAGGGAAGGGCGCCCGCAGCAGTGACGACGCCTTCGAAGCGGGGGAGGGGGCCATGCTGCAGAGCGATGTTGGGCGAAGGCTCTCGGCCAGCCTGCGCGTGGCCGATGAGGCGCAGGGCGACGCCAAAGCCGGCGGGTGTCAGGAAGCCGCGGTTTTCTCTGTCGGCAATTTGCCAAATCTAGATGCGTTAGAGACACGACGAAAGAAGAACAGCCAGAGGGACTCATCGTACCTCGCCAAGAATGCGCGAGTCGAGTCGGGTCTTCTCAAAGAACTTGACGGCGACCTCGCCCATCACAATGCCGACGCTCTCGGGGTCGGCCTGGCGAAAGAGCTGGCCATAGACCTGCTTCTCCTCGATCGTGAGGTTGAGGTTCGTAGCTGCAGGGAAGAGAGCGAGTTAGCCAAGCGGCACTGCACGAAAAGAGAGAAGAGATCTTCCACAGCGCCTCCGGGCGTCGTGCACGTCACTTACCAACCTCGTCGGAGCCTTCGGAAGCCATTTGCGGGCAAGGGGGCGCCGAAGCTCAGTGACGAGAGAACGATGCCAATCGGGCGACGCTGTACAACGATTCGCAATGTATTATTCTGAATCGTTAAAGGAGGATGTGTCGAAGCTTGGCTTTCGTGGTGCTTGTTGGTTCGAAATTGCACAGCGTGCGTTCGTTGGAATCGGTCGGGCGAGCGAGGAAGAAAGGACGTAAAAAGAGTGGGTAGCCAGGAGGCAGCGAAAGCTCAATGGTTGGTGCCCTTGGGTGAGCTAAGCTCTGGTAGTGTCAGTGGGTTGACAGTTGATGTATCCCAGTATCTCCGGGAGGCGGGCTGGTCGTCGGAAGGAGATGTCCAGCCAGCAAGCGAAAGATCGCCGTCCGGAGCGGTTCGGAGGACGGCCTACCAAGAGAGCAAGAGACGAGTGGCCGAGGGTTCGGGTCCTCAAAGTGGCATCTCCTCGTCGAGATGGTGATCGAAGCTGAAGAAGAGGGCAAGCTGTGCCTGGCAGAACGGCCGCCAAAGCTAAGCCAGCTGCCGTTCAGGGGTAGCAACGGTTTGGCAGAGAGGCAAGCGATCGTCTCTGCAAACGGTCGTTGGGCGGGCACGTTGAAAGATAGGCTGAGAACGATGACCAAAAGGAGAGAGAAATGAGGAAGATGAGGGAAGGGAAATGGAGGACTGGGGGAGTGGGAAAATGCACGATGTCGGAAAAGGGAAGTGGCTTTGGGAGATGGCTGGGTCATCCAGGAAGGATCGCCGGCGGCGCCTTCCCACTCTCTTTACCTCTGCTTGCTTGCTGACCTTAGTGTCGCAGCCTGTCAATTGTGCCGTGCGGCAGGCGCGCAGACGCAGCCAAACACGGGCGCCGCAGGGGCAGCAGGTGCGTCCGGTTGGGACTTGGTTGGTGCGCCAGGGCGTTTTGGGGTGCTGGGGGACGTGTGTTCCTTCCCACTCAGAGCGTCCTAAGCCTGTTTGGGGCGGTCCATTGGACAGGAGATTAGAGCCGGTTCGGCCGTTTCTAGCGTCTCTCCAGCAGGCACGCACTCTGTATTAGCGCGAGGGCCGAAATGTGGAGGTATCTTACAGTGGAATAGGTATGTATCTTAGAGAGAGCCCTGGAGGTCAAAATGATTCCTCAAAGGAAATGCGTCTGAACCGAGTATACGTCGTACAGTGAGCAGGCACCATCCGACAATGGAGTTGGGTGTACAGCAGATGTCACAGCTCGGCCACGGTACCCGAAGAGGCATTCAGAGACACAGTTCAGCGGTGGTCGAGGCTGAGCGATTTGACCTCTCCATTCACATCTCAAAGGACACTTCAAGGCAATTTCAAAACCAAGGAATCTTCTGTGATGAACGACTGTTGCATGCAGGTTATGGAATGACAGCCGGTTGGCGCGACGGTGGACAAGGCTGGGTGTGGCGCGGGTTGGTTTTGCTGATGTAGGTTACACGACGTATGATTGCAAATATGACGGGGATTACGTGTTGGGGTCCAGCCTTGCCGAGAAGCGGCATAATGCGTGAGTGTTCATGCACCTTCACAGCGTCGGACGGAGCAACGGAGAAATTGTATAGACTCAATGGTGGAATCAAGAACAAGAGAGGGAAAAGTAGAAACAAAAAAGCAAAGAAAACAGGGAAGATAAAAAAACGCAACAAGATGAAAAGAGGTTGAGTTGAAAAAAAAGGGAAATGGCAAGAATCAAGAAATGAACACCTGCCAAGGCCAATCTGTTTATATATCTTCCTCTTTTCGCTATTACGAACATTGTATAAAAAAGGCCAGCGTCAAGGTCATGTCGACGTCAACGTCTCTTTTCCGCTTGTCAAAAATAAAAAGACGCTCCACAACCGTCCCTTGCACATTGCGTCGTCTAGTACTCGGCCTCGATCTCCTCGGCCTCCAGCGAGTCGGTGGCAACCTCCTCGTAGTCGCGCTCCAGGGCCGCCAGGTCCTCGCGGGCCTCGGAGAACTCGCCCTCCTCCATGCCCTCGCCGACGTACCAGTGGACGAACGCACGCTTGGAGTACATGAGATCGAACTTGGCCGACAGGGCCGACCAGGCCTCGGCAATCGCGGTGGTGTTGGACAGCATGCACACGGCGCGGTTGACCTTGGCCAGGTCGCCGTTGGGGACCTGCTGGGGCGGCTGGAAGCAGATGCCGAGCTTGAAGCCCGTCGGGCACCAGTCGACGAACTGGATGGTGCGCTTGGTCTTGAGGGTGGCCACGGCGGCGTGGGCATCCTTGGGCACGACGTCGCCGCGGTACAGCAGGCACGTCGCCATGTACTTGCCGTTGCGGGGGTCGCACTTGACCATCTGGTTGTTAGGCTCGAAGCACGACATGGTCATCTCCTGGACGGAGTTGGCCTCGTGGGCGGCCTTGGCGGCCGAGATGACGGGGGCGTAGGCGACCAGGGGGAAGTGGATACGCGGGTACGGCACCAGGTTGGTCTGGAACTCGTTGAGGTCGACGTTGAGCGAGCCGTCGAAGCGCAGCGAGGCGGTGATGGACGAGACGACCTGGGCAATCAGGCGGTTGAGGTTCTCGTACGTCGGGCGCTCGAGGCCGAGGTTGCGGCGGCAGATGTCGTAGATGGCCTCGTTGTCCACCATGAACGAGCAGTCGGCGTGCTCGAGGGTGGTGTGCGTGGTCAGGATGGAGTTGTACGGCTCAACAACAGAGGTGGCGGTCTGCGGGGCGGGGTAGACGCAGAACTCGAGCTTGCTCTTCTTGCCGTAGTCGACGGACAGGCGCTCCATCAGTAGGGCGCCGAAACCCGAGCCGGTACCGCCACCGAAGGAGTGGAAGACGAGGAAGCCCTGCAGGCCGGCACAGCCATCGGCGACGCGGCGGACCTTGTCCAGGACCTGGTCGATCAGCTCCTTGCCGACGGTGTAGTGGCCACGAGCGTAGTTGTTGGAGGCATCCTCCTTGCCGGTGATCATCTGCTCGGGGTGGAACAGGCTGCGGTAGGTGCCGGTGCGGACTTCGTCCACGACATTGGGCTCGAGATCGCAGTAGATGGTGCGCGGGACGTACTTGCCCTGGCCTGGACGGGAAGCAACATATGGTCAGCATACACGAGCGATGCCAACAAACATGGCACACGACAGTTCAACCCAGAGGACGTACCGGTCTCGGTGAAGAATGTGCTGAAGCCGTGGTCGGGTTCGGCAGCCTTGCGCTCCTCGGTCAGGTAGCCATCGGGCTAAAGAGACGAGAGACGAGAGACGTGTCAGTAAGAGGTCGACGGCGACGATGCCGAGCGGCAAGGGTCAACACAACACAGCACAGCGCAACACAACGGGAACAAACGTACCTGGATGCCGTGCTCAAGGCAGTACAGCTGTTTGGGTTTGTCAGCACACCGTTATTTCGTCGACAAAATTTCTCAACGTGATATGATATTTTCGGAACGTCGGCGGAACACGTACCTCCCAGCAGGAATTGGCGATCTGGCAACCGGCCTGGCCGACTAGATTGCAAAGACACAGTCAGTACAGATGCTCAAGTGCCCAAACACAAGAGAGATTGTGATGGTGGTTGATATGCAGACCGGGGACGGCCAAGATGCGGTGAAGGCGGTCACCTCCCCATGCCAGAACCCTCAGCAAATCCAGCCGAGCCCGAAACCCGATGAGCATCGCAGGAACGCGCGCCCGGCGCGGTCAAACGGCCGCCACGGCTGAATACGAGGCTCCGGAGAGAGGGTGAGGGAAAGAGAGGGCAAAGAGGCCAGACGACATACCGTTGATGCTGATGATTTCACGCATGGTTGGATATTTGTAGGGATCTTGGGGTCGGTGTTGAAGAAGGAATTGTGAGACCTGGAGAGGAACGAGGACGAGATAATATGCAGAGGACTGGGTTTTGGGGCGGTGGACGGCTGTCGAGAGATGTGGTGTCGGTCTGGATATGGCGTCCCGTATTTTTTTATGGTCCCCTGATTTTAAAATTTGTTTGTGTTGTGAGCGGTTGCAGTGCAGCCTCTCCGTTCTTTTTCTGGTTTATTTACCTATCAGGGGAACTGATTTCGGATGGGGAAGGAACCAGTAGCCAGTGTAGCCAGATAGGGGAGGAGGGGGGGAAGGAGCTTCCAAGGGAGGAAGAGGGGCGGCAGGAATGTGGTGGTGGAGGGGGGTGGAGGGTGCTGTTCCAGCTGTTGGGACCACTGTTCAAGCAGCTGAGACCCCCTGACGACCCAGGGACGACAGCGCGGCTCCCGAGAATAGGGTGTGGACATGTGGGGTAGGGACGTTGTGGCGGCAACTTTTTAGCAGGCAACAGCGTTAATTTCGCCGTGTTTGTTTATGGGCAGCTGCCATGCGGCCTGAGGACGAAGTGGGAAGGCACGGGAGTGCCGTTCGTTCAGCGTCGTGCGGTGCGTTAAATTGCACTGCGAACGATGTACAGTGGCACGCCCAACCAGGCAAGGCGCGTTTGGCCACTGAAAAGGGGGAAAGAGCGAAAGAGGGTGGACCGGAAGACATCGTCAGTAAACAGAGGACCCACTCTTGGCCCGTGCGCGTCAATGGCAGAAAACGCGCTTGCCCATTGTGTGAGTAAACAGACGGACAGACGACATGGTACGAAAGTGGGGTGCCAGTGGGAAAGCTCTGCTGGATACGACGTAAATACCAAGTGGACGTCCACACCGCCTTCCTCTTTTGTCCATGAAGGTGTGCTGTTGGAGCTGGTATTGGGAAGGAAGGAATAAACCCGCACCTGCAGCCGTGACTTCCTGGACATGCTCCGGCGGTTCGGGAACCACGACCAGAGTGGATCCCCGCTTTCTCTTGGGCTCTTGTGAGTATTGCATCGCAGCACCAATGGCGGCCCTGCTGGCACGGCCACCGCATGCGCCCTGGCTGGTGTGCTCACGGCTGCGTGCGCCAATACCGATATCCATAGCAACACCAGCCGCAGCAGCAAAGCCATCAGCACCACGATGGCTGACCACCGGCGCCGGCGAGCTCGACAGACTGCTCGACCGCGTCAGCCAACCTCCGGACGAGGAACAGACCCAGCCTGTTGTGCATGTTGTGCACTCGGTCGGCCGCAATCCGTATGCCAACCTGGCCATTGAGCACCGGCTCTTTGAGCGTGCGCACCCGCAGAGCCGCCTGCTGCTGCTGTACCGCAATGCGCCGTGCGTCGTCATCGGCCGCAACCAGAACCCCTGGGCCGAGGTGAACCTCAACCAGCTGTCGGCACGGGCACGGCCCACAGGTGTTCCACAAGCACCGCCGCTCGGCGACGTGCAGCTGGTCCGCCGCCGCTCCGGTGGCGGCGCGGTGTACCACGACGCCGGCAATGCCAACTGGAGCGTGCACATTCCGGCGGCCGGCTTCGACCGCGACCAGCATGCACTGATGGTTGCACGCGCCCTGCAGACGCTCGGTGTCACCAGCGCACGGGTCAACGAGCGGCACGACATTGTGGTGGGGTCCGGTAGTGCGGACGACGTCGGCGAGTACAAGATCTCCGGATCGGCGTACAAGCTGACGAACCGACGGGCTCTGCACCACGGCACCTGTTTGCTGGGAGCGGACTTGGCCGCTGTGTCGGGCCTGCTGCGTGCGCCTCCCGCGGCACCGTACCTCAAGGCTCGCGGCGTGGCGTCTGTGCGGTCGCCCGTGCGGAATGTGACGCTGGTGGGCGAGGACGTCGAGGGCGCCCATGATCCGCACGATCATTTTGGCTCGACGGTGGCTGCCGAGTTTGAGCGCATGTATGGCCCGGCGGCGAGCAAGACGGTCATCAATGTCGACGCCATGGCGGCGGATGAGAGTGGTGGCCGCGGCGGGTTTGCTTTTGACCCAAAGCTGGCCAGCGGCTACAACGAGTTGATGGTAAGAGATACCGCCTGCCCTTGTGCTATGAGACCGTGCATATCTGACAGAGTGTTCTTAGACCGCCGACTGGTTGTTTGGGCAGACGCCACAGTTTACGTTCTCCACGCAAGCCACAGAAGACGACCGGCGCGAGCGCCCTCTACGGCCGTTGGATGTGCCTCCGCACTTTGACCTGGCGTTCACTGCACGCCACGGACGGCTACAAGAGGTGACTATCACGGGCCTCCCATATGCCTCTGGCAGCGATGCGGCAGTCAGCAATAGCTCGGATATCGAGAAGGCGACGGCAACCGCCCTCGAAGACCGTCTCCTGTACGGCATCCGTGACTGGCGGGCCGTCCTGGGCGAAGCGAGCCCTGTTCCACTCGACACAGCGAGGGCATCGGCCACTGGCCGCTGGCTGAACGAGCTGTTTGGCGTGCAGTGTTATTAGGTTCTGGCGGCCGTGTACGAAACGACTTGTATGATACGGATCATCACAAACATCACAAGCATTAAAAGCATAGAAAGGATAGACAGGCCATTCATTGTAATACAAAAGAAACAACACACATATATATATTTATACAGAGACGCAGGCACGCTGGCAATACTGCGCGCTACTCCCCCGCCGGCCCCATAACGCCCCGCTGGAACCAGTCGGCCACGGTGCCGAACCGGTCGTCGCTGTTGCCCAGCTCCGTCTTGAACAGGTCGTGCCGCGTTGCGTACTCTTCCTGCTGCCGCCGGATGGCCCGCACCGTCGCATTGTCCTGCGCACACAGCGGGCACTCGGTCGACGAGCTGGTGCCCGCGCCGTAGTCGCCGGCGGCACCACCCATGGTGCTGCTGCTGCTGCTCTCGCGCCCATCGCCCTTGAGGCACCGCTGGTGGAACGAGTGCTTGCACAAAAAGTGCACCATGGGCAGCTCCAGCGGCAGCGCACACTGGCTGCAGCGCGTGGCCTGGAAGACGGCCGGCTTGGCCTCGAGGTCGGCCAGTTCGGCGCGGCGCTGCTCCGTCTCCTGGCGGAACGACGTGATGCGGCGCTGGTTGGCGGCGATCTCGCGGCGCTCGCGCTCAATGGTTTCCTGGAGGTAGGGCTTGAGCATGCCCATGGTGGCGACGGGGTTCTGGCTGAGCGTCTGGACCACCTGCAGCGGCGCCATGAGGCCGTCGCTGTGAATGCGCTCCAGCACGGCGGCCAGCTCGTCCGGCCCGGCCTCGTCCAGGACGCGCGTGCTCGACGTCAGGTACGCCAGCGCCGCCGTGTACAGCTGGGGCTCTTCGGGCCCGTACTTGTGCAGCGCGTGGAGGGCGCCGCGCGTGTCCTTGGCGGCGGTGTAGGAGCGGAAAATGTCAAACAGCAGGCCGGCCTGCTCCTTGACGAGGGTGGTGCCGTCGCGGAAGTTGGACAGGTGCGACAGGAGCAGCACGTTGGCCTTTTCAATCGGCACAGGCGTGTCGCTGTCGTCGTCGCCGTCGTCGTCGCCGTCGTTTTTACCTTCCCCACTGCCTTTCTTGCTGATCAGCGCTTTGGCCTTGGCCTCCCACGCCTCGCGGTGCTGGGCGCCCTTCTTCTCGGACGACTTTTGCAGGTACATCTCAAAGAGTGTGGTGTACAAGTCGGTGCGGTCGTCGTCGGCCAGCGGCTTCTTGTCCTTGAGGCAGGACTCTAGGAAAACAATAAACTCGTCCGGGTGGTCGATGAAGGACGAGAAGGCCGTCCTTGGCTTCGGCACCTTGTAGACGAGCATGGCTGCAGCTTTCGCCTGCGTGCTGCCGGCGTCGGTTGACGACGGTCCTGCCACAGCATCCGTGGCAGTGGCTGCTTTGGCTTCCTCTGCTGGCGTGGCTGCAGACGACGACGAGATGTACGGCAATGTGATGCGGCCGGCGAGGTTGGAGACGGCCGAGGCCGCGCCGTAGGCAAAGCCGCTTCCACCCGCGTCTGCTGCAGCGGCTGCTACGCCCGCAGCTGTCGGCACATCCAGCTTCGGCCTGTACTTGCCTGTGTAGTAGTCGATGAACAGCTGTGTCGCGTCTTTTGGACAGTGTTCAATGAGCACACGAGCGTACTTCATGAGACTCGAATATGCCTGTCATTGTTAGCAAAACCATACGAAAAAGATGAACGGAGGAACGGAGCACCCACCGTCTCGGCGTCGAGGTGCCAGATAAAGTCGAGGGCGTCGTCGTACTGCTTGGCGTCCTCGACCAGAATGTCGACGACGAGCTCGTTCTCGCTGTGCTGCTTCGCCAGGTAGACGGCCTGCTCGTAGTAGCCGCCCTGGCGGCACATGGCGATGGCCGTGTCCAGGTCGAACTTGAGGTCGCCCGGCGACTTGATAAACGCCTCCAGCTTGTCAATGTCCTTGAGCTTGGCATAGCAGTTGAGCAGCAGCGTCGTGTGGTCGGCCGTCGCGCGGTGGTGCTCGTGCAGCTCCTCGAGGTACTCAATCAGGTTGTGAATGCGCTGCGTGTCCAGGAACTTGCGGATCACCTGCGACGGCTCGGTGCTGTCGATGGCCTTGATGTACTGCACCATGGCCTCATCGTAGCTGCCCTTTTGGTACAGGTAGTCGCCAAACTTGCGAAAAATAATGTTCTGCTCGGCGCCGCCGAGCCCCGACTTGCGCGCCAGCTCAATGGCCAGGTGGTACAGGTTGCGCTGGTACAGCATGTCGAGGCGCTGCTGCAGCGACTTTGCACGGTAGAGCCGCACTTTCCCGTCGAGCGTCAGCACGCACAGGCTTCCCCAGAGCTGGAAGATGGCTTTGACGGGCGACAGCAGCGTCTCGGAGTGCGCGACCACTTTGAGGTCGGTCTCGAGTAGCGCAAAGGTCGACGTGTTGAAGAGGACATCCGCCGCCGCTGCCGAGGTGCCCAAGCGTCTGCGCAGGGCGTGTCCACCGCCGCCACCAACGCCTGCTCCGCCTGCTGCGCCTGCATGCCCGCCCCCCTTGTCGCCGCCGCCGCTCCCGCCACTGCTTCCCAAGGCCGACGCCGGCGACACCAGCGCCACGTAGTCGTCGTACACCGAGATCATGCTCTTGGGCGCGTCGTACGCCCGCGGCGGGCCCCGCCCGTCGATTGTGTAGTAGTAGATGGCATCGTCACGCGCGACGACAATGTCGTTGGTCCGCCGGTCGATGGTCATGCACCCGACCGCACAGCCCGTGTCCTCGACGGTCTTGGGCGGCTGGGCCTTGCCCCTGGCGAGGATGGGCAGTTTGAGGATGCGGCCGGTCGTGGCGATAAAGAGAGTCGTGGTGAGTTTCTCGTCGACGTCGAGCTCGACGCCCGTAATGGGCTCTTCGGATTCGTGGATGATGCGCTGGCGCGTGCCGGTGTCGTTGACGAGGTCGCCACGGATGAGCGTCACAGAGCCGTTGGCAAACCCGACGGCCAGCTGCGAGACGTCGGGGGTGGCGGTGAAGGCAGAGATCTGTCAGACGGTCAAACGGCGGTTAGTGGCTGTGTCATGCAGTCCATGGCGGCTGCGTACGTACCGGAAACTGCTTCTTGCCGTTGTTGATCTGGATGGTGCTCAGACATGTCGGCAGTCCTGTCTTCTTGGTTGGCTTGTCCAACGCCCACACCTTGAGCACGGGCTCAACGCTCAGGTCTTCCTGCAAATGAGTTAGCCGCCCGTCCCACTCGTTCCATAGCACGCCCCCTCTCGTCGACGCACCGCTACAGTCACCAGCAAGCTCGTGCCCTCGACTTGTCGCATGTGGGTGATGCTGCCGGCGTCGTGCGCCAGGAAGCTGCGCACAATCTTCCAGCTCGGGCCGACAATGCGCACGTAGCCATCGAAGCTGCCGAGGAACAAGCTGTCGGATCCGGAACACACGCTGGCAATCTCGTTGCCCTCGAAGAAGCTGCGCGCCTCGTCGTCGCCGGGTCTCGCCTGGTTGACATCGAAGAAGTCAAACGACTTCCACTGCGTGCGGGTTAGCGTGCCATCATTTGTGGGATTGTGCAAGGGCTCGGCTCGCGCTCGCAACGTACCGAGTTGGCCATGGTCACATTATCTTGTAGCGATGCCGATTCGGTGTTTGTTTGTCGCTGTGGTTGTGGAGGTCATCGGTAGGTCGTTTGGAATTGGCGGCTGTGGTTGCCTTGTCGTTGGGAGCTTAGCTCTTGGGTGCTGAAAGTGACGTTAGCAGACCCACCCAGCACACAAGGCCGCCTGTCCAAAGCGACGCTTAGTCATCAAGTAACACCAACTCTCTCCACTCAGTTGTTGTTATTACGAAAAGAACTCATATAAACAAGATGCAGTCTCTTTTATGCCAATAAATGCTCCCCAATGTATCCGGAAATTAAATTGTATGTTTTTTAATATTCAAACTATCTAGTTATATGTGGGTATATATCGTTATGTCGTCGTTTGTTGCAGCCTCTACGGCTTGCTATTTTCAGCCTCTGTCAGCTCTCAGTACAAGTTTGAGCTCTCGTCGAGGCCAAGATTCAACAGTGGGACCATGGACGGCCGGCCGTGTGCACATTGGAATGGAAACGAGCAGCGACGAAGCCTATCTGTCAAGTCGACACACTCGTCGCGAGTCAGAGCGTCGTTGAATTTAATAGCACCTAAGAAGTTAGACAAACAACTTACTTGAATTCGGTGCAGGGAAGCAGAGGCACTTACTTCGGCACGCCCTCGAGTTGATGAGGTCCAGGATGCCTCGTGGGCACCTGTAAAATCGGGCGGTCCAGTGTGTGTTGCTGTCCGATGCCGGTCTCCAGTCCAGGTCTGCCTCTTTGCGCTCCCATATCTCTTTGCGGATGAGATCTACGACCAGGCGAGGGTCTTGTGTGCAGCGGTCAACGATGCATGAAGGCAGAGCCGTCACTCGTAGAACCGTTGTATCTGCCTCGCGTGTCTCGTTCGGCGGCAGCATATCATATGCCACACCCCAGTGCCGAAAATAGGCCTTAGACCGTTCCAAGAGGGAGAGTTCGTCGGTCGAGAGTTCAAACTGCATGGGGCGTGACAGGACCGTCGCAATGGCACCTTCATGTCGGCGCTCTTCAAAGTAGTCCTGTAAAAGGGCTTCGACGCGACATCGCTCGTCTGCCGCATGCTGGTCAACAAGGATGAGCAGAGGCCCAGAATCGTCCGTCTCCGGCGGCGCTCGTATGAGAATAAACTTTTGGTCGACCTGGCCAATAATGGTGGCCGCCTCCAAACGGGCCCGCGAGAACTTGAGGTCGCCGCTGGTCAATGTGCTTTCGTCCCATTCTTTCATGTCTCTAGAGGTATCGCAGCAAGCCTCGCCCGTGTGTTCATCTTCTTCGTGGAGCGAATCAGGCTTAACAAAGAACATGCTCTGTTCTTCAGCGCTTCCGCCACGTGTTTCTATTTCGGGATTGGCGATAACTTGTGCCTGTGTTAACTTCGTCTTTGAGGATCTTGCAGACTTTGTTTGCGGCCACGATGAGAACAATGACTGTGCATCTCTGCTTCGTTTCGGGAGAAGCGGTGGGACTCTTTTCCCACGCACCTCAGCGGTCTTTTGTTTCTTTGTCGGTGAGCCCGGCGTGCCTTCTCTACTCCGAGACGGGCTTCCACCAGTGCTGCCAGATTGATAACATGTCGCAGGGTCTGCATAGAACCCGTGTGTCTTCAAAAATTCGACAGTGACCGTTCGCAGCAAGCTGGCAATAACTGCCAAATCGTGTCGTTGGTCGTCCAGCACGACATCCGCGGTCGTATCCCCATCCAGGTCGATGCCAAGACTGAACATGGGCCACCGGTCGACGGCCTTTCGAGGCCGCTGCTCACGCACAAAACTATCCATAGGGCCGCGTGTCGTTCGTTCGTCGGATTTCGTCAGGTCTGTCGCACCAAAATCCGACTCGGCAAAGATCTTGTTGATTTCGCTGTACAGTCGGTCGGCTGGGTGTGCCGCAGACAGCGGTGTTACGCCGATGCGGAGAAACTGGGCACGCTTCGAAGCAGCCGGATCCAGACAAACGCTACCCGAGACATGCACGCCGGAGACAGAAGCTCCGACGCTGACCCACGACTCGGGGTCCATTCTCTCACAAAGGCCGGCTTGTGCCAACAGATGGGCCGTTCGAACAGCAGGTTCATTTTCTTGGACACCTCGTAGAGTCCGTCTTGCGTCGCTGGCCTCGTCGTGAATCGTAGCAGAAATGCTCCCCGGCCATGCCAAAAGAAGGGCCGCCACGGACCGAATCAGGTCGTCCCAGTCCCGGTTCCACGCAGCGGAGTCAGGAAGCGGTCGCAAGCGGGCACGCACCGGCATGCATCCAAACAAATCGCGGACTGTGACCCGGGTCCCATGTGGTGACGCAAAAACAGTCTGGCTTGACACATCGGTTATATGCCGACGCAGCAGTTTGCCGTTGTGTATGGTCAATGTGCTCTCCGAGCTGCAGCCACGGCCCCGTGAAACGATCGTCAGCAGCGAGAGGTCCGCAACGGATGCCAAGAAGGTCCCATATCGGCCGTGTGCGCCTTTTAACGGTGGATACTTGGATGTATCTGGCCGGTCAGTAGCTGCCAAAGTAAACAAAAAAAATAAGTTCGCGCACCGACTAACAGTAGAGCTTGCCAAGGCCGCCGTCGACGCGAAACTCGTCTGGCGGTATACCCGCGCCATCATCCTCGACAACACAGCTTCCGCGGCCATAGTCAACCGACACGGTCACCCGAACGGCACCTGCATCGAGGGCATTGCGGAGGAGTCCCAAAACTGTGGCATTCAGCGACGCAACGGTGGCCGATGACTTGATCTGTGCCGCAACAGCTCCTGGCAACCGCTGGATCGACATGTCGTGCGTTTACATTGCTGTAAGCGGAGAAGAGGTCGTTTCACAGAGTGAACGTTGCTGGTATGGGGTTATGTAGCAACGTTTGCGAGTTGTCAACATCGCCACGACATGTGCACGCTTAACTACACCAAAAATGCGTCACGTGCGGGGCCCGAACGGAGGAGGGAGCTCATCGACGCGCCTGGGCCCTTGGCCGTGGTGGCGCTAATAGACCACTGACGTCGTCGCCCCTAACCCCTGAAACCCGCACAAGGACAGTAAACACTCAGCACCCCATTCGCCTGTCCAGCGGTCCCTGTGAACTAGTTTAGGCTGAACCAGGCATTTCTCCGGCGGCAGCGTCACAGTTGCATTCCAGAGTGTATCCTGCATTCTACATCTGCATCCGTCGGCACGCATTCTCTCACGCCCTACTTGGCCCGTTTCTCCACGACTCCGAGGCGCGACGACAGCCCAGATCTACCGCTAGACCGACCAGCCAACGTTTGCATCTGTCCTTTATCCATTTCACGCTATAGAGCGACCTCGAGGACCCTAGATTGATTGATCTTATCGACGACTATCGCGACATCACAACACGGCATCGCGACATTACGACGGTCGAAGTCAGCCTCCAGTCTCTTTCCGCGACACTCCATCGCGCCAGACGGATGGCGGTGACAGAAACCTCACAGGGTAGGCCCTAGACGGCTCTTCACCCTGGAGCAACTGTCTCTCACGGAGCTGTCTTGATACTGACTAGACGCAAACAGAACACAGCCGCACGGCTCGTCGGCGGCCATTTACTACCTGGGTCAAGAAGCTCGCACACTTCAAGGGCGGCGCGTCCTCGTCCTCGTCCGCCTCGGGTGCCGCGCGGCACCTCGGCAAGTCGTCGGCAGCCACCAAGAAGCGCCCGTCCAAGAACAACAATCCCTACCCGCTGTCTGGCCGCCTCGGCGTCATCGACAACCCCAACCGCTTCGCCAGCGACGGCGAGGACGAGAATGACGAGAGCAGCGAGCACTACTACAGCGGGCCGCACCGCAGCCAACCCTCGTTTGCGGGCCACAGCGGCGCGACGCCCAGCTCCATGTCCATTGGGCGCAGCCGCCGCAGCAGCCTGATCGAGTCGGCCAGCGACGACGGCCGGGCACCACCCACGGCGGGCGCTCTGTCGGTGGCGCCGACCGTATCGACCGACCACGGCACGCCGCGGTCGGTGCTGGCACCCAGTGCCGGGGCGGCGTCGTCGATTACAGGCACGAGTCGGACGATTAACGGTCCCGGATCGCGGCGCGGCGGCGACAGCACATTTTCGTCGCCGGCGCCGTCGGTACGCTCGCTGACGACGACATTGACAACAATACAATCGCTGGCTCCCGCAGCTGCTATGGGCCAGGCAAATGGTGTTGGTGGGGGCGGCGGCGGAGGTGCCGCTAGCAACGGCACCGCCAGCGTCGGCATGACGTTTAGCAACCACCTCGGACCGCCGTCTGGCCACGGCCACAGCCACCACCACCACACCGCGTCACAGCAGAGCAACGGCACGCAGACCATCCAGTTCCACCAGCCGTTCCCCAGCACCCCGGCGTCGGCCATCCCCTCGCACCTCACGCCCCTTCCCCACAATGCCGGCCCCGGCCACCCGGCCACCTACTCGACGGCCACCGCCAACAACCTGCTGACCGACAACGCGTCCATCTTGACGCTGGCGTCGTCCAGCAAGCGCCGCCGTCGGCGGTCCATTGACACCGACGCGTCTGTGCGCGCGCTGGCGCCGTCGTCGCTGTTTGGCGGCAGCCGCGAGAGTCTGCCGCTGTCGGTGCTGTCGGCCAACATGGAGGGCCCGTCGTCGACGTCGGCGCTGATGCCCAGCACGTCGGCCAGCAGCAATGCCAACGCACAAGGCCCTGCACCCGGCGGGCCGGTGGCGCTGCACGCGACCAACAGCCGCATGAGCGTCGCCAGCGCCGGCCTGGCGAGCCCCGCCGCGGTGGCAGCCGCCGCCGAGCGCACGAGCATCTACAGCGCCACGGGGACAGGCATGCTGGGCGGTGGCGACCGCAATAGCTTTTATGCGCGGCAGAGTCTGGGCGGCGGCGGCGGCGGCGGTGTGGCCGGCGACGGGGCCAGCATCCGCAGTGGTCGTAGTGGACGCAGCGGGTTCCTTGGCCACGGGCGGTCCGAGAGCATCACCGGTAGCATTGGTGGCAGCCTGACGAGTCCGCTGGCCAGTCCGCTAGCCAGTCCGCGCGAGACAGAGGCAGAAGAGGCATCGACCGATCTCATTACGTCTGTCGCGACCGTCAAGACTGCCGTCACGGACGACGCAGTCAACGGCGAGGCCGCCGCGAAGGCTGATGAGGAGAAGTGATGAAGACGATTCCGACGATCCGACGATCCAACGATACCTTGTTTCCGATTTGTCTTTTGCATTCTTTTATGTATTTTACTTTTACCCTGGCTTGCTGCACTTCTTCCCCGCTGGTTACTGCTCTGTTTACTCTGCGAACGGTTGGTTTATTGGGAGGATATCGGGTTGTATTTCCAGATGATTTCATCGTCTCTTTTGCCCTTTCTCGGCGTTTTCCTTGCGTAGTAGGACAGTGTACGACCTCATTTAATACATTGGTTCTCGCGGAATGCTCATCGTGCTGTAAACACTCCGCTTTCCGATGCTTCAATTTACACGGTTGTTCCTTCCACCGGTATAACATATGCGCTATTCCTAAATTGTACTAGCGTCGATTGCACTTGGCGCCTTCCTCATCGCGCCTTACTCCCGCGCCTCACTCCCGCGCCCCATCCAACCGCCTTCCGTTTCTATCGACGGGACGTGAGACGAGGCACGGAAGGAAGGATGCAACAATATTCGAGTTCGCGCGGCTGAAACGACATCACGTACAAAGTATCACTGCGCGACTTTCTCAGTGTGCGCCCTCGACGCCGCCCGCGTGCGCCTGCGCCCTTCAGGCCATGCTTGTATTACACGAACGCCATCCAGCTGCTCGCAGATCCGCGTCTCGGCCTAATTAGACCTCAGCGCGGACGACGAGCTTCTTAGGGCGCCTCTACGTCCAGTCAACTGTCTATCGCCACGACTCATCTCCCAACCCCGAATCTCCAGTCGTCTCTTCAGTCGACTCCTTCTCCGCGCCATGTCGTCCCTCAGCAGCGAGCACCAGACGCCTCGGGCCGGGTCCGTCTCGACCGGCCACCCCACGCCAGGGTCCGTGGCCACGCCTGGCCTGCCAACGAACAACGGCACCACCCCGAACATGAACAGCGGCAACAGCAGCCACGGCGGCCACCCCGTGACGGCCCAGCTCACCAACTTCCCTCCTACACACGGCGGCGCCGCACCGACAACCGTGCCCTCTGGGCGGCCGGTCACGGCACCACGGCTGAGCGAGTCATCCATGCAGATGGCGGCGCGGATTCCCAACATTCTGCCACACGAGCGCGTGTTCCCGATCCAGATCGGCTGCGAGTTGTTCAAGCTGTCGGGCGCGTCGCTGTCGTCGGATGCCCCGTCGTACTTCTCGCAGTACTTTGATTGCCAGATCAAGACGGCCGAGGCGCACGGCGTGGAGGACATTGGGACGGCGATCCGCACGCTCTACATTGACCGCGACCCGGCGACGTTCCGCGACATCTCGCTGCACCTGCAGGGCTACCACGTGCAGCCGCGCGACGGCACACACTTTGTGCGGCTGTTTGCGGACGCGCAGTTCTACTCGCTGCCGCGGCTCATCTCGCAGCTGTACGACGAGTCCATCTTCATGTCCATTGGCCACCGCGAGTTCCAGATCCCCCGCGACCTGTTCCAGGACCCGGGCAACCTGCCCAACTACTTCTCGCTCGGGTTCGCCATCTTCTTCAGCAACCCGGACGACCTGTTCCCCGGTCTCGACCGGGAGGGTCTGATCCGCCCCCCGTCGATCCTGCCCCCGGCCGTCCCCGGGCGGTCGGCCGACACCTTTGAGGAGCTGCTGCACCTGCTGCGCGGCTACCCCGTGCACATCCGCGACGAGACGCACCGGCAGACGCTGCTGCGCGACTGCCGCTACTTTAATTTCAAGGGCCTCGAGCAGAAGCTGATCCCGCACGCGCTCACCTACAACCAGGCGCGGCTGCGCTACGAGATGGCGCTGCGCGTCGAGGACGTGCTCAAGTCGGGCGTCTCCGTCGCCAACGAGCCGACGCGCGGGGACCCCCTGGCCGGCTGGGTCAACTACGCGCGGCCGTTTGTGGACGACAAGCCGGCCGAGCTCGTGCTCGAGATTGGCGGCGAAAACACCAAACTGCACTTTTTCCCGCCGGCCTCGTCACCCGCGGCCGCCTCGCCCGCGCCTGGCGGTGGTGGTGGTGGCGGCCGCCGTGGCACCCGCGCCGAGTTCTTCCGCGACACCAAGATTCGCATCGCGCGCCTGTTTGAGGTTGTCGCCACAAAGCTCAACCTCCCGCCCACCACGCAGCCGCTCGGCCTGCTGATGCGCAAGGGCGGGGCTAGCAGCCAGCCGCCCTCGCCGGGGAACACGCCGCTGAGCGACGACCTGGTGCGCGTCGTGCTCGAGCCCGAGACGGCCATTACGCTCGACGGCCGGCCGTTTGCGCTGCCGGAGACGGTGGCGGACGACACGGACGCTGCGGATGCCATCCTGTCTCCAAGCGGCGGCGGCGAACCCGGTCCTTCGCGCAAACGGCAGCGTGTCGACTATGCCGCGCTCAGCGGCGGTGGTTCCGCCGCTGCGGGCGGCGGTGCAGGCGCGGCGTGGACGATCAAGACGGGCTTGTGGCGGTTGCGGATCCAAAGCGTCAAGAAAGGCAAGAGTGCGGTGGAGTGCGTCCTGGTGGGCGTCAAGCTGGATGCCATAAGTTCGGAGCTGGCGCGCAACCAGGAGCGAGGGTTCTTGGGCGGGTAATGGATGGTCATGGCGTCCGGGTCGTCTTTACGTGATTTTTTCTGCTCTTTTACTAGCATGTACAGTGCCTTGGCCTACTGTTGGATATCTGGTTTTGGCTTTCATCTTGGCTTTCTGGTCCCTGAATTTATGTTTCATTATCCTGTCGTATGTTTGGCGTGTCCGGGCAGGACGCAATACTACACGCATCTGGTGGTCTGTCTCATGCATGCATCTGTCTCCGTTGTATTGTTGGCGACGTCTATTCAAAGGTCAGCTCATCTCGGGGACGAAACGACAGAGCAGCGTGCCAAGCTTTCAGGAAGACAAGGCTGTTGCCTGAGTTGCTTAACACCAACGGATAGCTACCGAAGTGTTGCAAACAGAAGACCGGACTTTATCTTCCAGCGCCAAAAGTCCGGTCTGCCCAGTAGTTCACATCACAGTGACCACACAGTAACTGACGCGGGGTTTTAGTCGCTCGCCGTAGCTCACTGGTGCCCCTACAAGCACCCCTGGCATCACCCGTAATTCCCGTCGGTCGGTTTGTCCTCTTGTATGAAGCCTCGCGTTAACAGTAAAAGTGGGGCCTCGTTATCGTTCCGCATCGTTCGTTCCACACTCGACTACTACCGTTAGGAAAAGAGAGCTTCACTAACACTCTACCAGACACGGACCGCATGGTTGCAGTCTTTTTCCGTTAGCGATGGCCATTCCGCCAACCAAAACACCAATGCGGCATGGCTGACTCGTTTCCCCGAGCAAATGCTGCAGCCTTACGGGTCTAGGGTATCAAAACGGAATCCAGCCTCGTCGTCGCCGGTCTTTCACGATTCGACCGCTGGCATAATGTTCATCCTCGTCGAAGCTGACATGTGTTTGCTCAACAGGAATTGGAAGAGGTCGTAAAACTGCATATAAGTATGCTCGCCACCCGTCTCAAGCTATCACTACGAAGGACCCAAATCGAATCTCCAACATGCACCAACGGCAATCTCTCACTTGAGAACAAAGAACACAGGAACACAACCTGGTCCAAGTCCAACATATAAGACTACCTCTGTTGTCTCTCTCCCAGCTATCACCCCTATCCCTTATCACATCTCTTTTCTTTCACACGCACACCGCTTCAACATGTCTCTCAAAATTGCCATTATCGGCGCTGGTCCCGCTGGCTGCACACTGGCTCGCCTGCTACACCTCGGCGGCATTGATGCCACTGTCTACGAGGGCGAGGCCAGCCCCAACTACCGCTCCCAAGGCGGCACCCTCGACCTGCACACGGCCACGGGCCTCGCTGCCCTCAAGGAGGCCGGCCTCTGGGACGAGTTCCTCAAGCACGCCCGCTACGACGGAGAGTACATGCTCGTCTGCGACAAGAACCTCAACAGCTTCTTTTCAAAGGGAAACGAGCCCACCAGCGAAACGGATCTCATGGGCCAGCGTCCAGAAATCGACCGCTCTTCCCTGCGCCAAATCCTCTCCGAGAGCCTGCCATCCGGCATGATCCAGTGGGGCCGCCACGTCAAGTCCATCACCACGGCGACAGCGGCGACCAAGGCGTCGATTACCTTCTCCGACGCGACGACGGCCTCTGGTTTCGACCTGATTGTCGGAGCCGACGGCGCCTGGAGCAAGGTGCGCGCCGCCCTGAGCGACCAGAAGCCGCTGTTTTCGGGCATGGCCCTAAACGAGCTGCACATCCCCGACGCCGCCAACACGGCACCCGCCCTCACCAAGCTCGTGCACCGTGGCAGCATCTTTGTGCAGGCCGACGGCCGCAAGGCCGCTATCCAGCAGATGGGCGACGGCTCGCTGCACGTCACCGTCGCCACGCGCCGCAGCGACACGCCCAACGTCCCGCTCCTGGGTGGACCGGACGGCACCACGCGCGCCGACAACTGGACCGAGACGTGCGGCTACGACCCCACCAGCTTGGACGAGGTCAAGGCCGCCATGCTGTCGCGGCCCGAGCTCATTGCCGACTTTGACCCGCGCCTGCAGGACTGCGTCACGTACGCCGCCGGCGACACGGTGCCGCGCTCGCTCTACGCACTCCCTGTCGGCTTCCAGTGGGACCACCAGCCCGGCCTCACCCTCATCGGCGACGCCGCCCACCTCATGACGCCCTTTGCCGGCGAGGGCGTCAACGTCGCCATGGACGACGCGCGCAAGCTGGCCGCCGCCATTCTCGGGGTGGCCAGTGCCTCCAGTGCCTCCAACGCCGTCCGCCACCCGGCCGAGCTGGACACGGCCGTTCACCACTTTGAGACCGAAATGTACGTCCGCGTCCAAAAGGTCGCCAAGCTGACCAACGACCTCCTGCTCGCCTGGTTCTACACGCCCGGTGCCCCCGAGTCGGTGGTCGCCTCCGTCATGGCCGCCCATGTGCGCTTCCACATGCCCGCCCTTGCGGCGCCCTTTGCCACGGCTGCCATCCACGCCTACTATTTCTTGTACAAGAAGTGTCTCAAGAAGGAAATCAAGGTGTGAGCAACGGTTGATCTTGTGTTCTTGTGTTCTTGTGTGTTTCATGATGAAATGATACTGTATTTTGGAGCGCTTTTGTATAATCTTCTCTCTTGTTGTGTTTGAACTATATAGCATTGTTTACTTGCACTTGGGACGAGGCTTGGTAGAGAGCGCATTTGTTGTGTCTTGCATTAGCTGTGTCTGGTATTTTGGTCTCTATTTGACGAGAAGACAGGTTTTCTGGCATTTTGTTACTGTACAAAACAGTTGAATTTCTTTCCCCTTCATTTTTAAAGATTCATATTTATATTTGGTGATTTTGTTTTGTGATATTTTCGATACCAGTACTATATTTTTTTATCATTATTATTTATTTACTATTATTAATTTTTTCTTTAAAAAAATCCTACGACTAACAGGCCGGTATGATGTTCCTTCATCTGCTTTAATCAACATTACACTGATATCCCCTTTTGCACCGCAATATACACCGTGTAAACAGTCACCTCTCTTCAAGATCATCCTCTGCCCCTTCCTGCCACTGCCCCTGTAAACACAGCGACAGGACGCTGTACGACAGGCCATTCGGCGTGTTCTGGCCCCCAAATTCATTACATAATCCCCGCATGGCCCAAGCTCCCAACCCAGCCACCCCTCTGTGGCGGTCTTCACTGGCCAAACGGACCCGCTTTTCAGGGGCTGAAGTCAACCTGAGCAAGGAAGGCGTGGTGGAGGTGCTCCTGCCGTGGGTCACACCGTTTCCCCAAACGCTCCTTCGCTTTGGGGCCAACAGGCCAAACGCAGCAGGCCAGGTCCAAACGACCTCCATCTGGCCCCCCTTTCGTTTTTCGTGTCTGACTCTCCGCAACAACAACAACCCTCGCAAATCCGTCGCCGCCCGCGTGTCCCAAACACGAACGACTCTCTGTTTCGTCCCTCCCTTCGTCGCGCCCGTCGGCCTCGCTCTCGTGTTTCTTTCGTGTCCCTTCGATTGCAGCGACATCGCAGACCAGCCAGCAACCCGACGAACCCCCCTGTTCGACTTTCATCAGAGACTCAACTCCGACACTCTCACAGCCACATCGTCTCGTATTGCTGCATCTATCTGTTTTACGACCCTCCGCGTCGCTTCGTTGTCTTGCTGCATTTCAAATACCAGCCTTTGCTCGCCTCGTTTCAAGCCGCGTCCTGCCAACGACTGAGCCTACCCCGTCTCGGGCCGCTTTCGCACGCTTAACCAACAGACAGCCAGCCGTAGATTTGCTTCAGACCGTCGATCCTTGTCCACCCGCAACGCTTCCATTTGACTTTTGCCTTTTGCCGTTGCGTCTTCGACCAGATCTCTGCACACCGCCCTCCGGCGGGGCCCAAGTCAAAGGACACCCCCCCGTACTACACTCGCAAAACACAGCTACCGATGCAGGGTCCCGGCCCGATGCAACGCCAAATCCATCGGCGCTCGCCGGGCGCCGAGAACGGCCAAGGCGGCGTCGGTGGCGGCGTGCCATCGAACATTCCCGCGCGCGTCATGTCGCCCGCCATGGCCGGTGCTGGCATGGGTGGCCCTGGTCTGCCACGGCCATCTCCGTCGAGTCGGTCAGTGGGTAGCGGAAGCGCTCCAGGTACCGGTTCTTCCGGCGCACGACGAGCAAATGTGAGTTCTATCTTGTACCTTGTGCCGTTTTTCTTCTTTCTTTGTTGCCGTTTGTTACTGTTTGTTTTTCTGTTTGCCTTTGGTATGCTTGTTGAGCTCTGTTAGCCCCCCCATTGGGTATTGGGTGGCGATCCTGCGGACGGACACTGCTCGTCCTTCGCCTGAACATGAAACGTTCATGCTATACCGACTCATTATTTGCCGCGCCAGCGAATCTCGTGCTTGGCAGGCGCTGATGCCACGGTATTTTCCGTACGCATCGTGGCTGCTGGCATGCACTCTTCGCCGCACAATTTCATTCACCGCGTTCACTTGGTCTTTTATCTTCTTCTTACAGATACTAATGGCTCCCCGAAAGACTTCGAGTGGCTCTGGCTCCGGCTCTGGCTCCGGCTCTGGCCCCGGCTCTGGCCCCGGCGCCAGTGGCTCCAACGCAAGCGTCCCCCTGTCCCAAATCGAAAAGAGCGTCACCCACCTCCTCGTCGCCACAAAACAGCTGCTCGAGACTTTGACGCAATGGTCGCGCGGCCAGGCCACCGACACGCAGGTCTCAGACGTCTACGTCCGCCTCGGCTACGAGTTCAACATGGCCTGTCGCGCCTTTACCGCTATCAACGTCGACACGTCCGATCTCGGCAACGTCCCCGAGCTGCTGCGCAACATCCTCGAATCCACCCTCAGCCAAGAGGCCAGTAGCGAGAGCCTCGAAAAGTACCTGCCCCGCATCCGCGACATCATCATCAACCTTCTGCACGGCCTCAAGCGCAAGCAGCAGAAGCTGCGCCAAAAGCAGGCCCGCGATCGCGAGAGCAGTACCACCGCCAGCTCCACCGAGTCACTGACAGCCCGTGCCAATAGCTTGAGCACGTCCGGGAGCGCCGGGTCGGGCCTGACGACGCTGTTGAATGAGGGCATCGATAGCGGCTACGGCGACCCCCAGGGATATCCGCAGTCGCAACAACAGCAACAACAGCAACAACAACCAGCACCACAGCTGCCGCCCAGCCGTGATGACGTCAAGCCCTCATCCCCGAACCGCCGCTTCATCCCACCACGCGACCAGTCGCGCGGCTCCGTCAACTCCGAGCAGTCCAGCTTGTCCAGCGCCACCATGCAGTCGATGCCCGTTCTCCCGGCGTATCCCGACGGAAGTTCCAACTCGCTCGGCACCAGCGCCTCTATGGGCGAGCTCAACATCGACGCCTTCCCTCCGCCGCCCCCGCCCAAGTCGCAGCAGAGCGCGCTCATGGCCCTCCAGCGTAACGGCGACCACCTCGAGCGCCGCGCGTCTCGACGCTACTCGACCTACCACCTTCAAAAACATCTCGGTGGCAGCATATCAAGCAGCGTGCCGCTCATGCCGCCACCGCAGACCACGCCCATCCCGAACCGCGGCCGCGGCGAGGTTCGCGAATCGATGCGTGCCGTGCAGGGCCGCAACGGCCGCAGCAACGAGTCGATGGGCAGAATCGGCGGCGGTGGATACGACTCGTCGCCCATGCGCAGCGTCCTGAGCAGCGACACGCGCGCGGACGGTAAAGACGCCGTGACCGCCATCACCACCGACATGAGGCGCCGCGACGACAGCCCCATGGCCAAGACACCGGACGACAAGTACCCGCTGCCCAGCGCCACGCTCACTGGCCCTCCCATCGACCTCATGCCTGCCCTGCCCGTCACGTCCTCAGGCGACGAGCAATCGCCAGTCCGGCGGCGTGCCGACAGCGGCGAGCCTCGGACCGAAGCCGAGCTGCGGGAACGTGCCCGGTCGATCAATGCCGCACAAGCCGCCCTGGTTGGCCAGGCACCGCCAACATCGGGCGTCGACGCTTCACCGCCACCTATGCCGACACCTGCGGCGCAGCCCGAACCCGAACCCGCCAGCAAGGAGCTGACCCTCTTCTTGCAGTACAAGTCCAAGGTCAAAAAGTTCGTGCTGCCCGAGGGTTACAGCGAACTCTCCATTGGCCGGCTGCAGCTCGCCTTTATCGAAAAGTTCTCCTGGAACACGCAGCAGAACGGCGCCGACCTGCCCGAGATCTACATCCAGGACCCCATCTCGGGCGTGCGCCACGAGCTGGACGACCTGGCCGACATCAAGGACCGCACGGTGCTGGCACTCAACGTCGAGCCCTTGGACGAGGTCAAGCGCCACATTGACGAGGGCCTTGGCTCGCTCAAGTCCATGGTGCAGCAGGTCAAGCAGAACGTGGACGAGCAGGGCGCCGCGCTGCAGCGCGTGTCGGACCGCCAGCAAGAGGCGTCCAAGGAGATGGCCCGCATGGCGGCCGCACCGGTGCAGCCTATGACGCCGCCGGCCGACTCGCCGCGCTCCACGAGCCTGGGCAGCGCGCCGTCGTCGTCCGCCATAACCCGCGGCGGCGTCGGCAGCCTCGGCAAGCGCTTCTCGAACCAGCAGATGGCTGAAGTGCAGAGCCTGCGGCGCGACCTGGCCGTGCTGCGCCAGACGTACTCCAACTTCCAGTCGGACGTCGAGAGCTCGATGACGGCGCTGCGCAACAAGGCGGCCAATGTCAAGACGGCCATTGCCGACACGGCCATTCCCGACTTTGAGGGCGGCCAGGGCCAGGCCGTTGTGGCGGCCGGCCGCAAGAAGCTGAGCGCCGAGTCGGACCGGCTGGTCACCAAGGTCGACGACCTGCAGGACCTGGTCGAGGACCTGCGCAAGGACGTGGTGCACCGCGGCGTGCGGCCGCTGCCGCGCCAGCTCGAGCTCGTGACCAAGGACATTACGCAGCTGGCCAAGGACCTGACCAAGATGGAGGAGGGCATGAAGCGCGACAAGCCCATCTGGACCAAGATCTGGGAGAAGGAGCTCGAGGAAGTCTGCAAGGGCCGCGACGAGCTGCAGCTGGCCGAGGATCTGCTGGTCGATCTGCAGGACGACCTGGAAAAGGCATCCGAGACGTTTGCGCTCGTCGAGCAGGCGACCAAGGAGCAGATGAAGGACGCCGGCGTCAACGGTGCGCCCGGAACCGGCGGGCCCGGCGGCGTCAACGGCTCGCCCAACGGCGGCCTCGTCGGCGGCATGTCGCTCATCTCGCGGCAGCTGTCGCGCGGCCTGCGCACCATTGGCGAGGGCATTGGCATGGTCGACCCCAATGCCGCCAAGGAGGGCGTGCTGGGCGAGGTGCGCGCCCTGCAGCCGAACCACGAGAACCGCCTCGAGGCCATTGAGCGCGCCGAGAAGCTGCGCCAAAAGGAGCTCGAGAGCCGGCGCGGCAACCCCTTACTGCGTGAGCTGACGGGCTTTGTCGAGGAGGGCAAGCTCAAGAAGTCGGGCGGCTTCGAGGAGGTGGAGCGGGCGCGCAAGGCCAAGGACGACCGCATCCGCCGCGAGGTGTGGGAGCGCATGAACGGTCCCATTGGCGGCGAAGAGGAAGAAGAGGAAGAAGGAGAAGAATACGAAGACGAGGATGAGGAGGGGGAAGAAGAAGAAGAGTTTGAAGAAGCCAAGGAAGAGGTCGGCGGAGACGAGGGCGAGCCGGAAGGCAAGGCGGCCAATGGCGATGGGCCTGGGCAGGAAGGAACAGCGGCCGCTGCTGTGTAATGAGAGCGAAGGCAGTCCCGCGGTCCATTCTTCTAGGTCAGAATTTGTTCACAGCCAGACATTGCGTGGCATAGAAAGGAAATGGTCGACGCCGGTCCATGGACGTTAAAGCACATATACCCCCGTTTTTATCCTTATCCCTTTATTCTTTTAGTTTTCCTTATTTCTCTCCAGTCGTTTTGCCGCCCTGTCGTCCACGGGTATTCCTCTGACTGCCGCATTCTTACATAGCCTCACACTGCGAGCGTCTTTTCCCTCTTTCCAGCTTTCTACGGTTGTTGTTATTTCATATTGTACGCATGCTTTTTATTTTGGAATAGTTTTAGTCCCCCGGGCAGCATAGTTTGCGAAGGTTTGCGTGGCAAGACGAAGAGAGGGGGATGATTGGAATATCATTCGAGACTGAATTAGCTATGCCAAGTATCATGAAATTGTTTTACTGACTGTTGCCTGTTATTCGTTATCGTGACAGAACCTCGCGTGCACCTTGATTCTCCCCTACAGATTCGCGGCCTGCGGATAGATAAAGGCCTCCCACGCACGCATCAGAGCCTTGGCCTGCGGGTCGCCCGGCGGCTGGAAGTTGGACGCAAACACCGCCGCTAGGCCGGCCTCGCGGTCCAGGATCCACGTCAGGTTGATCGCCCCGCTCCAGAACACGGCACCCTTGCGCCGCACCGGGTGCGACGTTCCGGTGACCAGCAAGCCGCCCAGGCTCCAGTCGTACTCCTTTGTATCCGGGACGTCGCCCGTGATCCATGCCGAGTCTTCTGTTTTGCGCAGCAGCTGCTGGCGCGACGCATCGGACGGCAGCTGCGGCGTGAACAGCAGCTCGGTCGTGGCTGACTTGGACGGCAGCAGCTTGCCGTCGTCGTGCAGCAGCGACCGCAGAAACACGAAAAACGACGGAATGTCGCCGTACATGCCCTGGCCACCGAGAGCGGCGGGCGCTTTGCTGTAAAACGAGGGACCGTGGACAACAGGGCTATCGGGCCCACCCTCGCGCCCGGGCAGCGACGGCCACACGCGCGCCATCACATCGGGGTAGCGCTCGGGATGGAATGTCAGAGCACCGGCTGGCAAGCCGAGCGGCGTCAGAATGTCGCGTATGACAATGTCTTCGAAAGGGACGAAGGGCAGCTTGGACTCGCCCGATGCGGAAAGAGCGGCGGAATCGGGAGCACCCGTTCCGGCGGTCTGGCCCGCAACTTTGGCGTAAAGACGCTCCAGCAGCCGGCCTGTCCAATCGATGCCTGCCCCGTATGTCCATCCCTGGCCCGGCTGGAAGGCCAGCGGCAGGCGGAAGCGCTCCTCGACCGACGGCGGCGCATGGCTCATCTTGGGCGGCGGTTCCAGACCGGCCGCGGGTGGCTGCTTGACGAGCCACGCGCGGTAGCGGATCAGGTCGGCCGTCAAAAAATCGTAGCCGACACCCGAGCTGTGTGTCAAAAGCAGGCGCAGCGTGATGGGCGCCGCGCGGGCTTCCAAAATGGGCGTGGCATCGTCGGCGTCGGACGAGAAGCCCTTGAGGACCGGCAGCGCCGCCAGCTCTGGAAGCAGCGGCGCGACGTCGGCGTCGAGATCCCACAGACCACGCTCAACGGCCTGCAGCGCGACGATGCATGTGACGAGCTTGGTCATGGACATGAACAAGAAGACGCTGTCCATGGCAAGGGCCTGTTCCTTGCCGGGCTCGACCGAGCTCAGGCCGAGAACCTTTTCATAGTGAAGCGAGCCTTTTCGCATTGTTAGACCGTTTCGCTTTGCTTCCTTGGAAGAAGTGACGACTACCCACCCGACTTGTTTTCTGCGAGGAGGACGACGCCTGGGATTGTACGGTTGGCCACCGCCTCAGCAATGACTTGTTCAAAAGATGCGGCCATGGTGCGAAACTGCTGTACAAGAGATGGCATTGCGCAGGATGAAAAAAAAAAAAATACGGGCAGGGCCCGGGTGTATAAAGGGCAGGGCCCGGGTGTATAAATGATTACAATTGAAAACGCGGCAGGATGACTGGCTACGACCCCGTTGCCCGTTCGTGTCTTGTGTCTGGTTGCTTGGCTGTGGGATTACTTCGGCTGCATCTGGCTGCTCTGCTTCCTCCAATTGCCGTACTTAATCGTGTTGGGCCAGGCCCCGGCTGTTGCATCGGATGGTACGGAACAATGAACGAAGAGGAGAAAGAGGAGCGTTTCGGGGAAGCTTCTGTGAGGGGTAAGGCCGACAATGGAGGCGAAATAGCTTGACTCGGTTCGGTTGGAGGTGTGTTAGTCGAGGCTTGGCTCGAAGATGCCACCGCTTGTGATTACAAACCAGCGCAGCGCTTCCAACACCATGAAGGTGAAGAATAGAGATCGTTTTTTATAATTATCTGCTGTTCTTCAAGAGCTATATACACCGTTCGCAAAACACATAAACTCGGTAAAACGAGAGACAGCTACACATACAATAGGAACCACGAACCAAATGCAAAAAGGCAGAAAATGAAAAACAAAACACCGTTCCCACCAGTCGACCAAGGCAATGAAAATGCCGTTGTAGCAAAGCAGAGCTGAACGTATGAAACAAGGAAAACAAAAATAAACACAAAATTTTAAAGAATACGACAGTGGGGAAAACAAAGACTACATTTGAGTCTTTCCAGGCTGTAAATTAACGGTACCGCCCGTAGTCGTCCTGCGGCCGGTGCCGGTTGCGCGGGTCGCGCGGGTCGTACGGCCCCGGCGGTGGTCCTTGGCCGTCGTTGGGTGGTGGCGGCGGCGGACCCCGGCTGTCATAGCCGACAGGCGTGTAGCGACCGGCATCGCGCGGGTCACGCGACGGTGGCGGTGGCTGGCCAGGGCCGCCCGGACCGCCCGGGCCGCTTGGTGGGCCGGCGCCGTACCGCCCGTAAGGGGACTGTTGTTGCGACGGAGGTGGCGCCGGTTCAACGGACCGCGGCACCGGGGACGGCTGGTAGCGACCGCTCAGCGAGTGCGAGTGCGAATGGGAGTGGGAGTGCGCGTGTTGCGGCGGCGGCGGCGGCTGTTGCTGCTGCTGTTGCGGCTGCATCCGAGGGTCCTGGGGTGCGTAGGACCCACGATCGTCCCGCATACCACCACTGCTGAGGTGGTGGTGGTGCGACGGCGGTTGCTGTTGTGACTGCTGCTGTTGCGCGCCCCATGACGTCGCCGGAGGCGGACCCTGGGACGGGCCGCCGGCTGCTCCGTAGTGGTGAGAGTGGGGTGCAGGCGGCGGACCTTGCGACCAGCCGCCGTCTCTGCCTTGCGGCACTGGATCGCGGCGACTCGGCGGAGGGTGGCCAGGGTACTGCGGTGTAGGCGAGGCTGCATGCGGCGGCGGGGGCTGCGACCCGTATCCAACGCCGTAGCCACCAGGCTGCTGCGATGGCTGCTGCGGATAGCTCTGTGACGGAGGAGGCGGCTGCTGCGATTGGTACGGGTGTCGGCTGTAGTAGTCGCGGTCGGCGGCGGTAGCAGACTCGACGGGCGACAAGACACTGGACCGCGCGCCTGGCCCAGCCATGCTGTGGACCTGAGGAGAGTTGTGCGCGGCAGGTGGGTACGGCTTCAGCGGAGGAATGGACGACTGAGACTGAGGCGGCGGCGGCGCCGGGTTGCGGCCGTACGGAGAGTACACAGGATTGCTAGGGTCGTGGTGCGTGGTTGGCGGTGGCGGTGGCGGGTTGCGACCCACCATGGATGGCGGCGGTGTCGACGACTGTGGCGCGCTGGACGATACATCGCTTACCCTCTTAGGTGCGGGCGGGTCATCGTTCAACAGGGCCATCAGGCTCGACGTCTTGGCTGGCCGGCTCGCCGCGGCAGGCGTGGGCGTAGGTGTCGACGCCGGCGGCGGCACGCTGCTGGAGTACACATCGTGCATGCCGCTGTGCATCGGGCGGCCGTGGCGCTGGTCGCCGCCACCCATGACTTGCGGGTGCACCGGCTCGGTGAGCAGACTGCGACTTGGCTGCTGATGCTGGATAATCGGTGCTGGCGACTGGCCGTACGGCTGCGGCGGCGTATGCGCAACACGCATCGGGTCAGCAGGACGGCTGCCGCCCATCGACTGCGGCGGGCCGGGTTCGTTGCTGCGGTAATGAGGAGGTGCACGGCCGCCCGGCGTGGATGACGCGTACGGATCGTAGACAGAACTCTCGGGCGGGCGAGACGACGCAGGATCGTCGGGCCGCATTTGCTGCTGCTGCTGCTGTTGCTGTTGGCGCTGGCGCTGGGCAAGCGAGTTGAGGCGCGCGTCGACCGCGTCGCTTGTCGGATCGGCCCAGGACGTCGTGGGTCGTGGCTGGCCGAGGGGTTCCGAGGCTGCTGCTGAGGAGGCGGCAACGGCTGCAGACGAGGGTGGTGGTGGAGGTGGCGGCGGAGGCGGCTGCTTTGGGGCCATACGCACACCGCCACTGCCAGACGAAGCACCGACAGGCGTCTGCTGCGGGCCTGGCGGTGGCGGTCCCACAGATCCTGCGCGCATCTGCTGTTCGTTCACGGCATCCCTGTCGTGGTAGGCTGCACCGTACGGTGGCGGAACGACCGACGTGGGGCCTCTTATTGGCCGCGCCGTCGGTGACATGGCTTGGCTACCTGCCGTCGCACCCTGCGGCATGAGGATGGACTGTGGTGAGTGCTGTGTGTGCGGCTGGTGCTGCTGGTGCTGCTGGTGCTGCTGGTACGCGACAGTGGGCGGTGGCACCTGTGCCTGCTGGGGCAGAGGCACCGCCGATACGGGCGCGGCTGGCTGCGGCTGGCGTTTGCCGTGGGACGGCGGTGTTGGCTGACCCATCTGGGGTGGTACCTGTGCTGCGGCACCACCCGCTGCCGATGCAACAGTAGACGTCGTGGGGGGTTGGTGGGTTGCGCCGCCGCCTGACTGGGACGGCAGATGGGGTGCTGGCGGTGGTGCCTGTGCGATGGGCACAGCCGGGATCAGACGCCCAAACTGCGACGGTCCGGCACCGCCCTCTGCCTTGACGTCCTCGACAGCATCGCCCGTCTTGCTGGCCGGAATACCAGCCGCGGAACCGGGCGGGGTGTAAATGCGCGACACACCACCCGTGTCGGTTCTCTTCCGGGGTACAAGCGGCGGCGGCGGCGGCGATGGCATCTTTTCGCCTCGGTGCTTCTTGAAGTTGGCCTCGTGGGCAATCGCCTCCCACTCTGCCTTCTTCTCGTTCTTCTGCCGAAGATAGTAGTTTTTGACCTGTGATATCGAATTAGCAAAACGAATGTCGCGTGCGCGCTGGCATTGTGCATTTAGTTCGTGCACGACTACGTACCATGACGGGCGTCTTGGACTGCATATGCACCGAAATCGCATACCAGTCCGTGCCAAATGACCGAAGAAGAGCCGGGAAGTCGTTGCACTCGGACACGCTCCAGTAGCTCGATGTCTGCGGGATCGGGGGCCGGTAGAAGGGCTTCGTATGCGCGTTGGGGTCAAAGTTGCTGAGGCCAATCTGCAGCGGCGGCGGCGGCTGCTCCGGCCGCAAAGACGGAGGTGCCAGCATGTCGCCATTCTGCGCAGCCGGCGTCAAGGCCTTTTCGACCATGGCGCCGTAGCCGAGACGGCCGTTGCTCGCGTCGCCGGCTGCCTTCGAATCTGCAGTGCCCAATGGCGTTGTGCCCGGCTGCGCCGCTGCAAGAGGAGGAGGGTGCATGCCGCTGTTGGGAGTGCCCGGTGGGCCGTCGTAGTAGTGCGACATTCTCGGGGCAGGTGGCGCATTGGGTGCCGGGATCGGCGTGATGGTCGCCGGCGCGCCGTCCTTGCGATGCTGTACTTTCGGCGGCATGAGCGACTGCTGCAGCTGCGACGGCGGCTGCTGGCTCTGCTCGCTTGGCGGCCGTGGGCTGCCCTGGACGCGTGAGTTGGACCGTGAGCGTCCAGACTTGCCCGAGCCGGCGGCCGTGCCGGGCGGTGTGGGTGCAAGGATTTGCGGCGTCTTGGGCTGCTTGGCCTCCTTGGTCTCCTTGCCCTCTTTGCCCTCTTTGCTGTCCTTTGGGCTGTCTTTGGCGTCCTTGGCGTCTTTGCCATCCTTGCCATCCTTGACGCCGTCCTTGGCCTCCTTGTCCTTGTCCTTGTCCTTGGGAGCGCGGCGCCGGTTCCTGCGGCCGTCGGGCTTCTCGGTGCCATCTGCGCCACCACGGCGACGGCCGGGTGTGGCCGCAGGCGTTGCGCTGTCCGACTCGGCAGCGGATGCGGACGCGGTCTCGAAGCCCCATGTCGGCGCAGCCGCGCGTCGCGGCCGACGCCGTTCGCCGTTTTCGCCCGTCTCGTTGGCCGTCGAGTCCTCGTTTTCGTCGGGGTTGCCGAGCTCCGAGACCAGCGCACTCGACCGCTGCTTGCCGCGCGTGCCCTTCTTGCGTCGCTTGGGCTGGCGCTTGAGTTTTTCCTTGAGATTCAGTTCCTTCTTCACCGTGTAATAGTACTGAATGCAGGCATGGAAGTCTCGGTTCGGCACCGCCTCGGCAATGCGGCCCCACTGCTTCGGAAACTCGAGGTACGCCTTCTCGAACAGCTCCACTTCCTCGGGCGTAAAGTTGATGACGGGTGGCAAGACTTGCCAGGATGTGACCATCTTCTCGGGTGGCAGGAAGCCAGACCGGTCGATAAACAGCGCCTGCATCCGTTCCTCGTCTGTCCAGTACATGCCGGGGATCGTCGCCTCCTTGTTGCTGGCGTAGCGCTCGTTTTGTGCGCGAAGCTCGCGCTCCTTACGCTCGTCTTCTTCGCGCATTGAGGCCTGAAGCACACGTTCGAGGTCTCGTTCCGTGGCAAAGCGTCGTCCGGTGCCACGGCCTTCGGGCCGCGCGGGTTCCGCGGGCGGTGTGGCCGGCGCGGGGATCTCGGCCATGCCGTGAATGCCCATGTACTTATCCCGGCTCTTGACGGCAACAATGTCGTCCGACTCTGTAAACTGCAGGTACTTGACATAGTTGTCGTGGTATTGATTCCTCTGTTGCTGTTGCTCTTCGGTCTTGACGAGATCGAGCTGCCGCATATGCTTGAGCACAAAGTCGTCCATGTCGGGCGTCGTGTCGTTTTCGTCGAGGGCTGCCCGGTTTTCGTACCATGGCGAACAGCTGTAGTCGGGCAGGTCCTCCAGGGGCGGCGTCTTCATATAAAACCGCGCCACGTCGGGGTACGACAGGTCGACTTCGTCCACATCGGTAGCGTCCTCGTCCTCCTCGGGCTGTGACGGGCTCGATGGGCGTGCTTGCTCGAGACCCGGGGGCGAGTCGGTCGACGACTGCAGCTGGGGCTGCACTCCGTTGCTGGTCGGTAGGCCATCGGTTGATGCTGCGGGGATAGGGCTCTGTGTCGGCAGAACAGGTGTGGGAACGGCACTGGCACTGCTTTCCGCAGCGTTGACCGCGGGCTTTTTCTCTGTCTTGACTGGTGACTTGGCCCTCGCCGTCGGTGATGTGGTGGCGGTAGGAGACAGAATCGGAGGTTTACTGGCGGCCATTGACGATGCGGTCACAGGAGCATTGTCGACGTCCATCTTGTCCGCAGCCGATTCGGAGCCGATCGCCGGCGCCTTTGGCGGTTTTGCGGCAGTTGAATCGGAAGCGGGTTTGCCTGCTGCCGTCGGCGAGGCACCGGCAAGGGTGGCGGTGGGAAGAGCTGAGACTGCCGGTTCCTCCTTAATCTTCTTCGACGCTTGGTCAGCCTTCCGCCAGGCGGCGAGGGTGTCCTCCGGAACCGCCCCAACGACATCCAGCAGCCCAATGTTCGCTTCGAGCATATCCTTGACCAAAAACGATTCTAGCAGGGCAGCACGGGCGACGCCCTCTTTGGGGATAGCTTCAGCCTGAGCGCGGAGCTTCTTGAGCTGCATCTCGTGCTTCTCAATCTCGACGTCAAAGTAGTCGTTCATGTCTTCTTCGTCGGAGTCGGACGTGCGATCGGGAGCTGTCGAGGCAAGCGACCCGCGGCGGACAGACACCATCAGTGCGTCGACGTCGACCGCAGGGTTTTGGTCAACCGCGACTTTGGAGGGCTCCGCCTTCGGGGCCGTAGCCGAAGCAGCAGAAGAGGCAGGGGCCAAAACAGTAGGCAGCGGAGATGACTTGACAGGGCCATCCTTGTTCTGCGCCTTGTCCGTTTCTTTCTCTCCCTTCTTCTCCTTGTCTTGCTTTTCCTGTACCTTGACGAACTCTTTCGGCGCATCCTTGCTCACTTCTGCCGGCTGCGCTGGCTTGGCTGCAGGCTCGTCTGGTTTGACGGCTGGCGCACCAGCTTTGACGCTCTCCTTACTCTTCTCGGCCAGGATGGGCGTGTTGGCTGGCTTAGGGGACTCGGATGGCTTCGTCTCGGATGGCTTTGGCGGCCTTGGCTGCGGCTGCGTGTTCGACTGTGGTGTCTTGCCCGTCACAGTTTCGTCTCTCTCTGTTTCCTTTTCCTTCTCCTGCTTGTTAGACCCCAGGCTGGTTGGTTTCGGCTGTGATGCTTTGGCGACGGCAGTGTCTCGTGCAAGAGCGGCGTTCCGGGCAAATATTCCGGTTGGCCTCTTGGTATCGGATATATTGGAGGGAGTCGGGAGAGGCGAACGTGCCGTCTTCTCCGCAGCTGGACGTGAGGCCGGAGTACCGTCGGCAATTTCACCAGGCTCGCTTTGGTCGGCGTCGAGCATCGGTGTGTCGGAAGAAAGCGCCGCACTGTTCTCGTCAGAGCGCGGGCGCTTGTTTGACTTTTCTGTGGCGACCTTGGACGACGGCGACGCAGTGTCTTTGTCTTGTGGTTGGTCCGCTACTGCACTTGGCGAGAGGCCGGGTTTGGGAGAATCAGCACCGGTAGATTTCGCAGCACCTGCTGCATCCTTGCCCGGGTTCACCCACTGCACACTTGATGCGCGCTGGGGCTTGGGTGGCAGCGGCTGCTGTAGACGCGGGCCGGTTGGGGCACCGCTCGTCGGAGGTGGCTTTGCCGGGACGGTTGACGACGTATCCGAAGACGAAGCGATTGTCGACGTTTGCGTCGTAGACGAGGTTGCCTGCTTCTCATCGCTTCCTGTCTTGGGCGTGGCCACGGATGTTGGCTTTCCAGTGGACGCCTCAGCAATGGACGGCGGCCGCGCAGGTATCGAGCCAAACGCAGGCGCCGAGGGGGCGACGGGTGGTGGTGATGCCGGTGGTTGTGCTGCATCACGCGTGATTGGAGGTTCGCGAGCGGACGGCTCACGAGAGGGAGGGTCGCGGGAAGCAGAATCGCGCGGCAAAGGCTCGCGGGAGATGGTATCGCGGGGCAGGGAGCTGCGGTCCTGCTTTGGCCACGGCCCATCGCGATCGCGCATGTCCCGCGAGTCGCGCGAGTCGCGGTCGTCGCGGTCGCGGGCACGTTGGTTGTCATCGTGGCCGTAGCGGTAGCTGTCGCGGTCGTCACGGTCGTTGCGCGGCCACCGGCCTTCCTGAGACCGGCTGCGCGGGAAACGATCGCGATCATCGTAGATACTCCCAGCGCGGCCACCGCGTCCGCGCTGTTCCCAGTCACCCTGGGGTCGTCCTCTGCCAGGCGCTGGGCGACCGCGACCTGGCGTGGAGCCACGGTACGACTGCGCTGAGTTGAAGACGGGGTCAGACGACGACGAGCCAGCCGACAGTGGTCCGTCGCGTGACCCTCGCCTTCCCATGGGCCGGTCAGAGGTATCGGACAACCCCCCGAGGGGAATCTCGCGGATGTCGCGTGTGCTTAGAATGTCGCGTGCGTCGCGCAACGGGGTGTGCAAATCGCGTGGATCGCGGTTGCTTCCCTCTGCGCGGAGAGGCGCATCGCCACGGACGTTGTCACGGACGTTATCACGCACGTTGTCGCGGACAGAGTCACGGACAGAATCACCGCGAAGCGAGTCGCCACGAAGAGAGTCACCCCGCGCGGGTGGGTCGCCGCGACCGGGCGGATCTCCGCGTCCTGGTGGTGATCGTGGGCCGCGACCCATGGTAGGCGGCGAGTTCCATCGTCCTCGAAACGGGGGATCTCGCCAGTCGCGGTCGCGTTCGCGTTCGCGACTGCGGTCGTCTCGAAACGGCGGGTCACGCCGGTCCCGGAAGTCGTCCCGGTCGCGCGGACCTTTATTATCGCGGCTGTCCTCGCGCATCCATCCACGGCCTGGGCCAGCACCACGGCCGCGTCCTCGAAAGTCGCCCCCAAAACCGCCGCCACGGGGCGCGCCAGGGAGGTCGCCTAGCGACTTCGGCCCGCGTGGTGGGTCCCGCGAGTTCGCATCGCGGAAGCTGTCGCGGTTGGACTGGAAGGGGGGCTGGTTGTTTCGGGTCTCGCCCGACAGGCGGCGGCGTTCGTTGTCACTGTACTGTCCGCCTCGGTCATTGTAGCGGTCCGAGGGCGACCGGTCTCGATCCCGCATAGGCGGCGGAGACCTCGAGCGACGGTCGCTGTCATAGCGCCCTGTATATCTCGACCTGTCGAGTTTTGTTAGATTTGGGAACATGACGGCGGCGGAGACGACTGGACGTCTGCCGGGCGATGAAACTGTGCGTGAAAAAATCTTCGATGTCTATGCCCTATGTCGCTGAATAACGAAGCCCTACTGTGAGAGGCCAGAAAATGCTCGCTGAACCAACACAACACATCTCGACGGCCGCACCACACCTCTGCATAAATGAGGCCACAACAGGATATTGCACGCAAGCAACGAAAGACTTACATCGAGACAGTCAGGGGACGGCCGGGATTGCGCCCTCATTCGCGGTAGACGGGCAGGTTCCCATCCACGGCGCCGGAGCGCAGTCCAGGAGCAGGGTGTCGTGTTGTCGAGTCGAAAAAGCACGATGGCCGTAAGCGTGTCTGTGGCGACAGGTAGGGTGCGCGGGCGAATATCCAGGCGATATTGTTGTCGTTGTCGGAGGTGTGTTGATGAAAGATCTGTCTTCAAAAGGGGGGCGGAGACGTACTCTCGGTGTGGCGCTCGCAAGAGGGCTGGGTGCTGACAGCTGAACAGTATGTGATACGGATACTGATAAGGTCTTAAAAAGAGGATGGTGAAGTGCTCTGCTTTCGCGGCACGGCCGATATGTTCCTGGATGCGAGGGGGCGCGTGATGCAAAAGGCAAGGTTTCGGCGTTTTGAGGTTGCAGGATGCAAAAACGCCCCGTGAGAATCGCTGTGAGGCAGCAAACTTGACGGGCAAGGCCTGAAAAACGCTCCTTCCCACGTTCGAAGCGATCCAATGCGTGGGTGGCCAATCACAGGCCTGCACCCCCAGTTTCGGCTGTTGTGGCCCTCACGCGCGGTGGTATCTGCGCTAATCCGGAAAGGGCTACCCAGTCGGCTAGTCTCAACATCTGCACAATTGGCAAGAACATTCTTTCTTCTTGAAGAGTGGCGGCGCGAGGCTATTGGCCAGGCAGGTGCGGAAGTCAAGATGACCCACTTATTTCGAGAAAAGGTACATGGGTACGAAATACAAAGAATGGAGGTACAAAGGCTGGCCGCACCTGCACTTGCAGCGAGGGAGGGCCTGGCCACCACCCAAAGAGGCAATTACCTGCAAAAATAGCGAAGAAAAAAGTTTTGGGGCGACATCGCTCGTAGCACTGCCAGATCGACGACGACGACTACCTGCATGTGCTCTGGGACGACTGCATCTGGGCGACGTTTTGGGTCCCCATCTTTGGTCTTTGCATTCTTTATGTCCATCTGAGTCACCGCAGTCGCTCGAGTCGCAACCATGACAGGATCAACAGCCCAATCCACGACAGGCGCCAACGCCACAGCGGCGGACAACCAGCCGCCGTCGCAGGCCACGGATGCCGTTCTCGTCAAGTCGACGCAGATGCCGGACGACGCGCAAAAGGTGGAGGAGCTTGACTTCAACAAGTTCAAGGGCCGGCCCATCACGGCCGAGGACCTGTACCAAGGCATGCGCTTCATGGGCTTCCAGGCGTCGGCCGTGGCGGACGCCATCCGCATCATCAACGGCATGCGCGCGTGGAAGGATCCCGAGACCGGCGAGGGCACGACCATTTTTTTGGGGTACACGTCGAACCTGATCTCGTCGGGCCTGCGCGGCGTGCTGCGGTACCTGGTCGAGCACAAGCACGTGTCGGCGATTGTGACGACGGCGGGCGGCATCGAGGAGGACTTTATCAAGTGCCTGGGCGACACGTACATGTCTTCGTTTAGCGCGGACGGCGCCGGGCTGCGCAGCAGGGGCCTCAACCGAATCGGCAACCTGGTGGTGCCCAACGACAACTACTGCGCGTTTGAGGACTGGGTGGTGCCGATCCTGGACAAGATGCTCGAAGAACAGGAGACGGCCAAGATGGCCGGCGACGACGAGGCATTCCACTGGACGCCCTCCAAGGTGATCCACCGGCTCGGCAAGGAGATCAACGACGAGCGGTCGGTGTACTACTGGGCGTACAAGAACGACATCCCCGTGTTCTGTCCGGCGCTGACGGACGGCAGCCTGGGCGACATGCTGTACTTCCACACGTTCAAGGCGTCGCCGCAGCAGCTGCGCATCGACATTGTCGAGGACATCCGGAAGATCAACACGATGTCGGTGCGGGCGAAGCGGGCCGGCATGATCATCCTGGGCGGCGGCGTGGTCAAGCATCACATTGCGAATGCGTGTCTGATGCGCAACGGTGCCGAGTCGGCGGTGTACATCAACACGGCGCAAGAGTTTGACGGCAGCGACGCGGGCGCGCGGCCGGACGAGGCAGTGTCGTGGGGCAAGATTAAGATTGGTGCCGATGCAGTCAAGGTGAGTGTCTAGGGATTCGCATGTGAAGGATGAATTTCCACGAGCTGGATTTCCGCCTTGTTTCTGAATGACAACTAACACAGACAGGTGTACATGGAAGCCACTGCATGTTTCCCGCTCATTGTGGCCAACACTTTTGCAAAGGAGCCTTGAGCTTGCATCGACACAAGAACCCTAACTGGTTTGGGAAGGCAAGACAACTCGGTGAAGCATGATGAAAGGACGTTTGTCATACTCTTGCAAACAGAGCCTTATGAGCAGTTTCAGAGACAGCACAGTGGTCGCCGGCAGAAGGACGGCCACTACGCTTGTCCAACGACGGCATGCTCCGCTCCCACCCCGGCACGACTCGACACGACGTTGACGAATCACAATGATGCCCGTGGAGAATTTTACGATTATAGAATAGACTGGCATAGTTCAACCCCGGACAGCCCTTTGCAATTGCTTTCAGGTGTCCCAATTACCTCCAGTCTGGGAAGCGGAGCTTAATTTCCTGCATGATCAACCAAGACAGACGTTGAGAGGTGCAAGGCCAAGCCAGAATACACCACAAGAATCAAATGAACAAACTACACTAGCACATAGTTTTTGTGTACAAGAAAACACCATAGAAGCATCCTAGATGGCTGTTGGTCGATGCTGTCTGGCTGCATATCTTACAGTGTATTGCTGAGCCGATTGCTTACCTAAATTGCCGATTCTATGCGCTGGCATCACGTGTGGGCTCGCTGTGGGGCAAATGAGGAGGCAACAGCACCTTCCAGCACAGCGAGCCGAGAGGAGCCAGTTGCCGATAGTTGCCCTACGGAGAAAGTGGGATGCCCGCGTTTTACACTGATAGCATGGCGGTATTGAGAACCTTCTCTGTATTTTTCACAGCCATACCATACCTGACGTACGACTGTTTCCTATTCTTTTTTCTTTTCTTTTATATTTTCAGTCGTTTCTCAGACGTACTCTGTACACACATCGCTGAGAATGAGGCTTTCTACGCAGTCGCTTGCACGCGCTGTTGCGCTCCAGAGCTGCAAACGGGCATCATCGGCTGCACCGTTTTCAAGAGCTGCATGCACCGGCGTGCGGCGATTTGCAACAGCCCAGTCGACGGCCAGCGAGGCCCAAGCAGCGGCAGCGGCAGCGGCAGCTTCGGACAACCACGTGCACATTGTCGAGGTCGGCCCGCGCGACGGCCTCCAGAACGAGAAGCGGGCGATCCCGCTGGCGACCAAGATCGAGCTGATTGAGCGGCTGGCCAAGACGGGCCTGGGGACCATTGAGGCCGGCTCGTTTGTGGCGCCGAAATGGGTGCCGCAGATGAACAACTCGGCGGAGATTCTCGAGCACATCCTGCAGCACCGGCTCTCGTCGCCCGTGCCAATATCCTACGCATTCCTCGTGCCCAACACAAAAGGCCTGGCCAACGCAACGGCCATCCTGCAGCAGCACACCGACCGCTACGTGGCGGACGTGGCCCAGGCCCAGGCTCATGCCGAGGCCGCATCCCCGGGTAGCCACGAGGCGACGGCCGGTGCCGAGACCAAGCCGTCGTCGTTTCTACCGGCCGTCGAGCTCGCCGTCTTTGCGGCGGCCACCGAAAGCTTCTCGCAAAAGAACCTGAACTGCGACATTGCCACGTCCCTCGACCGCTTCCGCGAGGTCATCCGCGCCGCCAAGCAGACCACCGCCGACGACGCCGCCGCATCCGGCACGCCCGTTCCGCTGCGCGTGCGTGCCTACATCTCCACCGTGCTGGGCTGCCCCTTTGAGGGCCCGGACACGGACCCGCGCCGCGTCGCCGAGATTGCGACCGACTTTTTGGAAATGGGCGCCGACGAAATTGCCCTCGGCGACACGACGGGCATGGGCACGGCGCCGCGCACCAAGGACCTGCTGCGCAGCATCACGGCCGCGGGCATCCGCAACGAAGACGTGGCGCTGCACTTCCACGACACCTACGGGCAGGCGCTGGTGAACACGGCCGTCGGCCTGGAGCACGGCATCCGCACGTTTGACAGCTCGGTGGGCGGCTTGGGCGGATGCCCGTACAGCCCCGGAGCGACGGGCAATGTGGCCACCGAGAACATGGTGTACTTCCTAGAGAGCCTGGGCATGGACACGGGCGTCGATCTGGACGCGGTGGCCGACATTGGCGCCTGGATCACGGGCGAGATTGGCAAGGCCAACGACAGCAGCGTGGGCAAGGCGGTGCTTGGAGCCCGGTTACGGAATGCGTAAGATTGTACGTGGCGGTTCACGTCTACAAAAGATATGGGGCATATATGAACAAAACGCAGCATAGTTTTGAATTTACCACATTCTCTTGGCCATGCCGGGAAGAGTGCACCCGTCCATTCTAACAATGGTAGCTTTGCCAATCACTTATGCCTCCAAGTAGTCCTCACACTTGTCTGACAACTTGCCCTTTGAGGCCCCTGGACGGTGTCGAGCAGAAAAGGTGACTGCGCGGTTGAATTCCACAGATGCAATCAGGGCGCTGGTGTTGTCGTCATCGCTCAGCAACACGCCACTGAATGGGGGCCACTCTCTCACTCTTTAGGACTAGTCGCCCCCGGATTCTGGGCTCCGCAACCCACCCATAGCCATGTACTGCAAATCTAGGCCCGCTAGGCTAAACTGGTAGCCCCCATCTCCCCCAACAGTCCTGTCTCACGCCACACCAAATCGTCCACTACATCCAATCTGACAGCCTCAGCAGGGGCGGGGTAAGAGCGACCGGTCGACTTGGAGGGCGTGTGTAAGTGGCTAAAACGTTGTGTCGTAGGTGGTCAGCTTCGTCAAGCTTGGCTCCTTCCTCTTGCTCCCGTTATCTCACCCAGAAAAACCTGATTAGTAGCAGGTGCGCACCTGCCCTCGGAAGGCATGGAATCTCCATGGGGTTTCCCCCTTGGAAGGTGATCTCGCTGTTTTGCAGCTGATCCTTCGTCCTCTCCCATTTCTTCGTCTTTCTCGTTTCGTTTCTTTTGTGTCCTTGTTGTCAAACAGACAAGCCCATTACCTCCACGTCATATCACCATTGACTCTCGTCTGTCCCTTCCGACAATCTCCTCCACGATGACAAAGATTCGTCTGGGAACCTGCTCGCCCACGCCCGCGGACTCGCCCCAGGCGTCGCTGGCCCTTCTCGAGACGCTCGCCCAGCGGGCTGCGACAAAGGGCATCGATCTCCTGCTGCTGCCGGAAGCGTTCCTGGGCGGCGGCTACCCGCGCGGCGTCCGTTTCGGCAGCACCCTGGGCGCAGACAATGCCGACGGCCGCGAGGCCTTTTTGCAATACTTTCAGCGCGCCGTCGACTTTGGCGATGTCGTGGGCGATGCTGGCGCAGGGGGTGGCGATGCCTGGGTCAACAAGACCGCGGCAGATCCGGAGCAGGCAACCGACAAGACGAAGTCGACGACGGCGCCGGGCGACGGAACGCGCGAGACGTTGGAACGGATTGCCCGCGAGACGGGTGTTTTTCTTGTCGTGGGCGCAATCGAAAGGGCCGGCGGCAGCCTCTACTGCGCCGTGGTCTACGTCTGTCCGACCCAAGGCGTCCTCGGCAAGCGCCGCAAAGTTCAACCGGTAGGTCACCTCTGCTGTCCGTGCCACTGCACTTCGTCTCGTTTCCTCTCCGGTATGGCTCTCGTACTAATCGGCAGCCCTCCAAGACCGGCTTGGAACGTCTGATCTGGTCGGCGGCCGGCCCCGCGTCGCTGCGTGCCGTCACAGCCCATATCAAGGGCGTGCGCGTCAACCTCGCCGCCGCCATCTGCTGGGAGAACTACATGCCGCTCGTGCGGCAGTCTCTGTACGCGCAAAACGTCAACCTGTACCTGGCGCCGACGGCCGACGGGAGCGACGCGTGGCTGTCGCTGGTCCGCACCATTGGCATCGAGGGCCGCTGTTTTGTGGTGACGTCCAATATGACGACGAAGACGGGCGGCTCCCTGGCGGCGGCGGCATCAGTGGCATCAGCGGCATCATCCGCAACAACGCAGCTGCCCACCAGACAGGCAAACGGTAACACGGTGACCGCCCCATCGACGGCGACGGCGACGACGAATACAAGTGGGGGGCCACCCGGATCCAACTCGGGAATCAACACCAAGATTGTCGACTATACGTCGTCGTCGCCCATGGGCAAGCCCAGACGCCGCAAGAAGTCGTTTGTCTACGACGAGTATGGCAACGAGATTGTCTTGTCGTGCGAGACAGTGGCGGAGGAAGATGTGGAGCCAACGACCATCGTAACGAACGGTATCGACAGCGAGGAGGACGCATCCGACGAAAACGCCAATGGCATACACGGCCTGTCGTCCGACGCGCCCGTGCCTCTGCCGCCCTTCCCCCACCTGCCGGTCGACAAAGCCTGGGAGCGCCACAAGCACGAACGCCGGCGGTCGTCGGTATTTGACGAAGACGACAACGAGATTGTACTGTGTCGTCCCCCTGACTCGGCCAACACAGCACGGGCCGAACAAACCATTGTCGACACGGCGCCTGAAGCAAGACCTGTTTTTGAACCCGTTTTTGAGCCTAGCCCGACGACCATTCCAACGCGAGAAACCGGGGGCCAGGATACGCGCGAGAAAACTAAAGCGCAAGAGACTGCGCCCAATGTCCCCGGAACGCGCGGCGGCTCCGCGATTGTGTCTCCTTTTGGCGAGGTGCTGGCCGGGCCACAGTGGGACGACGCGGATGGAATCATTGCGGCCGACGTCGACTTTGACGACTGCATCCGCGGGCGGCTCAGCCTGGATGTCGCCGGCCACTATTCACGGTATGTCGATGCTGTAGATTGCGGAATGTTACTGCATGGAAAGAAATGACTAACGTGCTCCAGGAACGACTCCTTCAAACTGTCTGTTGCGGGATTGGACATGAGTCCCCTGTCGTATTAGGTTTCGAAAGATACGAGGTGTGAGTGTGCGCAGAATGTACCATATACGTCTAGATGGGCCTTCATTGAGGAGGGTGCATAGTACAAATTGTAAAATGTAAAACGAAAGAATCTGTGCTTTGTGTCGTATTGTGAAAGGCACATGAGGCGCAAACCGCAACAAAACGCAAACAGTACAGAATACTGGCACGGCAAGTCAACGGTTGTATATTGATCGAGATATGGTCATTACTTTCCCGATCTTACATTGTGCAGCGGTTTCAATATGCTGCTAGTCTTTACCTCGTCCTAGTACGTTGACGTCTTGAATATGTCCGTTGGACTTGTCTACATGCACGAGAGCCGTATGTGTGGAGCACACCCCTGTCAGGTTTGGAGATCCTAGAGAAAATCAAAGTTTGTCGAGATTCGACCTAGATGTACTTAATTAAGGTCACATGATGCTATCTAAGAAAATGCCTGCATTATTATGGACGCACGTGATGTGTACGCGTATAGAAACTCTCGGCGTTCGTAATATATCCAGCAGAACCATTCCCAAAATCAGTCCATGCTCCTATAAAACACAATTTCTATCTAAGTAACAAACGGGGAGGTCAACAAGCAGACCAGGCAGAAACAAATAAAGGTAAACAAACGTAAGCAAATTCATATCTAAAGAGTGCGCCATTTACGATACCCTTCCTCCACATTACCGTCTTGCTTTTGGAGCAACGAGTCTCGTTTCCTTTCTCCTGTCAGGGCGTATCATTGTAGCTCTACGCTACTTAGCGGCGCCGTTCGTCGGGCTTGAAGGGCTCCATCTGGACCGAGCCCTGGCTGTAGTCCGTCTCGGCGCCGTTGCTGGCGTGGCGGCGGTTGCTCTCCACGTCGCGGCTGTGCAGGTGCTTTCCGCGGCCGTTGCTGGGGTGCGGGTCGAGGCTGCCCGGGTACCAGATGTAAAAGACGACCATGACGACGAACATGGGGACGGTGTCAAAGACATAGAGGGTCCATTCGTGCGACAGCGGGTAGCCGTCCTGGCCCATGGCGAACTCCACGACGCGGAAGATGCTGCGGACCATGATGAGGGCGGACACGCCGTAGAGCATCCACAGGATGCGCTCCCAGCGCACGTCGGCGCCGGCCCCGCTGCTGCTGCTGCGGACGGCGCCAACGGCCTGCGTCTTGAAGCGGCGGTGGAAGACGACGGCGGTGGCGCAAAACAGGCCAAAGAGCAGGACCTGCAGCACGAGGCCGCCGACGACAATCTTTTCGCCGGTGCTGGCGAGCGAGTCACTGGCCATGAGGCCGCCGCCGCCGCCCTGGACCCAGAACGTCACGATGTCGCCGGTGACAAAGAGGCGGGTGAGCCACTTGACGGGGATGATGCTGTAGTGGGCGCCGTTTACGGTGAGGATGGTGCGCTTGAGGACCATGTAGACAGAGGCAGCGAAGCAGGCGGGCGGCAGGAGCAGGCAGAGGCTCTGCACGATATAGGGCGGCAGCAGGTTGGTGCGGGAGTAGGCCGCGGAGCGGACAGCATAGCCGACGACCTCCACTGATGGGTGTCAGGAAACGCGGAGACAGACGGGGCAGTGGGGATCACTTACGAAAACCGCCGACGGCAAAGGGGATGCAGAACCAGAGACGGTTGATGTACAGACGGTAGGAGTGGGCAATCGTGAGGATGCCGTAGAGGACGCAGAAGAGGACGGAGGCGGGCAGCGACGGCAGATACTTCCAGGCGTAGTAGTCGCCGCCGTCGAGAGGCAAGAGTTTGGCCATGATGGTGGAATGGCGGGACGAAGCGGTTGAACGGAAAGAATCAAAGAACGTAGTGAAGGAGAGTCGTCCAGATCGTTATCAAATAGGTAGCAAGCGAAGTCGAAGGAGCGGAAGGATCGCAGGCGTTAACAAGACAAAAGGAGTTAACAAAAGGAGTCGGCGTGAGATGCTGAAGTGTTCAAACAAGGGTGTCCGCAGCATGGCTTGGGCCCCGAGGTATATATCGTCGCGATCGCTGACTCGCAGACATCGTGAGCTTGCATTGATGCCCCTGAACATTCGCCCGTATTACAAACGTCTGCCGCGCCGGCGAGACCCTCCGATAAGCACTGCCCAGGAGACATGGCATTCGATGCTGCGACGGCGGAGCCAAAATAGAGACCCGCCTTACATGCCAGCTGGCCAATCAATTTACATCCTATACTCGTACAACGCATCAGCGGAAACGCCCCACAGCGCTACAACTGACACAAAGAGACAGGGGTCCAGAGACCATCAGAACCCAAAATAGTAATCTGGAAGCCTGGCAACCGCGGACACGCCACGGTGTGATTGGCTGGCATCGAGACATTGTGGGAAAGCATGGTTGTCTTCCTGTCTTTCTCTTCTGTTTTTATTTTATTTTTATTTTTATTTTTATTTTTATTTTTATTTTTATTTTTATTTTTATTTCTTGGCTCCAAAGTTCCAGGCAGAATGTGGCCAGCTTCGCCAGATCTCTTCCCCTTTGTCTCGTATCGCTCGCATCGTTTGGGTCGTCTCGGGTTAGGGCGTCGAGGTCTTTTGTACTCTGCGCGTTGGCCGACTGGCTCGTGCCATCGGCTCTTCGTCCCGTTCTGTTATACTCGCTGCCTAATCTTTTCTTAGCAGCATTTAACTCTAACTATCTGCCGATCCCTCTCGGCTCCTTTCGGTTCCTTTGTCCTTTTCAGCTCCGGCTTGTTTTATAATTAACTTCTGACGCGTGCCACGTTTTTAGTATGAACTTTGTGTCTTTTTCCATCTAAAAATATCGCACCATAACGATGAGAAGGTGTGCTTCTGCCCCTTTCGCCTCGCAACCGGCCTCGAAATATTCGTCCGATGTTGTTTTTCATCTTACGCTTCGTGACCTCCGTCGTCGTCCCCGCCGTGGCCACCGCGACGATCTCGGCCCTGCTGCCCGTTCCGTGCGCCCTGGATCATCGCCAGTGGCCATGCGAGCAGCCCCTGCCATGCCGCCGGCATCGTCCGCGCAATGTCCTCGAGAAGCAGCGCACCCACGTCGCCAAAGATCCAGATGTCGCGGCACCAGAACAGCAGCACCGCGAAGTGGGCCAGCACGGCCAGCGCGGCCGGCATCTTGTCGACGATGCGCGCAAACACGCGCCGGCCGAGGACCAGCGGCCACATGGAGATGGCCATGACGAGGTCTTCCTGGCGGCTGGCCACCGGGCGGCGGGCGTCGTTGCGCGCGTCAATGGCCCACTGCAAGCGCGCAATGGCCGCGTCGAACCCGCGGCGTTCGCGCTCCGAGCTGGTCGAGCTGGCCGAGCTGGTCGAGCTGGCCGAGCTGGCCGAGCTGGTGCCGTCCGTAGCGAGCGCCGCGCGCACAGCGTCCCGCAGCGGCGCCGTCTCCAGGCCGTCGCTCAGAAAGTCCAGCCGCCGGATGACGTCCTGGATCAGGTCGGCCATGTCCGTCTGCATCAGCACGGCAAAGGTGGCCGACGTGACGGCGCGCAGCCCGCGGTAGGTGTGCATGTACGCAATGAACCGGTCGAGCGTGTCTCTGTGGGCCGCGTCGCCGGTCCCGTGGGCCCCGTGGGTCCCGTGGCTGTCCCCTGCCGTCTCGCCCGCTGCGCGCACGTCGCTCAACATGTGCTGGCCGATGAGCCAGCTGAAGAAGAAGACGGCCAGGCAGCTGTCGGGCGACGTGAGCGCCGCGTGCCGCTGCTCGTTGTAGATGCGCAGCGCGTGCGTCTGGTACTGCAGCGCCTGGTGCTGATAGTACGCCGCCTGGGCCGGCCGCGTCTCGGCAAGGTGGCGCGACGAGAACGCGAGCAGTTCGTTCATCAAGAAGGGCGTTTTTGGCGCCAGGTTCAGCACCAGGCGGTGGAACGTTGCACTCGACAGCCGCGGCATCAGGCTCAGGTCGCTCGTGTAAATGTTGTGCATCAGCTCCAGCTCGACCATGTTGGCGGGTGGGATAGACGGACCGTCATTGTCGCTGGGCGGGGGTACAGCCGTCGGACTCGCTGTCTGTGTTCTGGATGTTGGATCAAAGGGACCTGACGGTGGCGTAGACTCTGCTGCCGTTGCTGTCGGCGGAAGAGGAGACGGACGACGTGACGAGGTTGCTGTTTCTGATGCTGTTCTCGACGGCACTGACGGCACCGACGGCACACTGCTCGTAAAGGAACACGGCCGGCCTGCAACGCTGCAATTCACGCAAATTGGTCGATTCTCGTCGCACTGGCGAGTCAGAGTCAGTCGTAAGCTTCATGTCGTGTGTTCCGTTGGTGACTGTGCACTCACCTTAATGTGCCGCTGTTTGCACGCACGGCAGCCCCATCGGGACTTGCTGTGTGGCCGTCGGACGCCCTTCATGGATGGGATGCCAGTATGCCAGTGGGTGCTTTTCTTTTCTTTTCTTGTACTTCTTTTTTTTTGGACTTTTTTTCTTCTTTTTTAAAGGAGTCGCGAGGTTAAAGTGTAAGTTTAAGAATACCATAAAAGGAAGTTCCAAGAGAGAATGGAAAAGGCGGAACTAGTGCTGCAGAGAAGGCACATAGGACAGCATTGGCACACCACGAACTGCGGCTACATTACGACGTGCAGAGTGCATTGTCCCGTCAGGTCCTGGCCGGCATGGCCCCAGGAGAACGATGAGCGAGTGCGATCGGTAAGCAGGGATGGATGGCCAGTGCGCCGCACGAAGCTACAAGAAGAAACGCCACTGTCTATTGCTCTGTCCCATTTTATCTGGTTGCGTTGTCCCTCCCCACTCTTCATTTTGCTGTTTGCTGTCCTCTTTGCTGCCCACCTTGCTGCCCTCCCCTGCCCTTACTGCTTCACCTCCTCCGTCACGCCGTTGTCGGCCGGCGGCGCCACCGGCAGCGTCTGCGGCAGCGGCGGCAGGAATTGCCGCGCCGTGTGCCGCGCCTGCTGCGCCAGCACCGCGTCCATAATCACCAGCGCCGCCATCGCCTCCACAATCGGCACCGCGCGCGGCACCACGCACGGATCGTGCCGGCCCTTGGCCGCCAGCACGCCCTGCGCGGAGCCGTCGTACGTCGCCGTCGTCTGCGCCTTGCCGATGGTGGCGGGCGGCTTGAAGCCCACGCGGAAGTAGATGGGCGCGCCGTTGGAGATGCCGCCCTGCACGCCGCCCGAGTAGTTGGTCTTGGTCGTCAGCCGCGAGCGCGTGGCCGCCGCGCCCGGCGGCGTGGCCGTGCCGGCCGGCAGCGGCTGGTTGGGCACAAAGGCGTCGTTGTGGACGGAGCCCGGGATCTCGCAGCCGGCGAACCCGGAGCCCAGCTCAAACGCCTTGGTCGCGGGGATGCTCAGCATCGCGTGCGCCAGCACGGCCTCGAGCTTGTCGAAGCACGGCTCGCCCAGCCCGGGCGGCGTGTTGCGGATCACGCACGTCACCGTGCCGCCGATGCTGTCCTCGCGGTCCTTGAAGCCCTCAATGTACCTGGCCATGGCGGCCGAGACGTCGGCGTCGGGACACCGCACCGGCGCAAACGCGTCGACCGTCGCGCGGTCAATCGTCGACAGCAGCCGGTTGCGCGCGCCGGCCGCGGCCGATGTCATGTCGTCCTCGTCCTCGCTGCCCGGCGGGAACAGGTGCACCTTGCCGACCGACGACACAAAGGCCACAATCTCGATGCCGTACGCCAGCCGCAGGTACTTTTCGGCAATCGCGCCCGCCGCCACGCGCCCAATCGTCTCGCGCGCGCTACTGCGGCCGCCGCCGCTGCTCGCCTTGACGCCGTACTTTTCCAAGTACGTCCAGTCCGCGTGGCTGGGCCGCGGGTACAGGTCCATGGTCGAGTTACCGTAGTCCTTGGGCCGCTGGTCCTTGTTCATCACGCGCAGCCCAATCGGCGTCCCCAGCGTCACCCCAAACTCCGTGCCCGACTGCACCTCCACGCGGTCCGCCTCGTTGCGCGGCGTCGTAATGCTCGATTGTCCCGGCCGGCGCCGGTCCATCTGCGGCTGGATGTCGTCCTCCGTCAGCTGCATGCCCGGCGGGCAGCCGTCGACAATGCAGCCGACCGAGCGGCAGTGCGACTCGCCATACCTGGACACGAGACGGCGGTTAGTAGGCTGGCGACTTGGCAACGCAACAGCTTATAGACAGCTTTTAGACAGCTTGTAGACTGGCTCAACTCACGTCGTCACCCGAAAGTACTCGCCGAACGTCGACATTGCAGCAATTGGGGAGTTGAGAGGATGGAAAGAATTGAGGCGATGGACAGTAGTCAAGAGGGTACAGTGTGGACACAAGGACGGTGGGCTCGATGGCTTTTGTATTCAAGTCGTACACCGAGTTGGCGTCTCGTCGTGCGTCGTACGATGTGGTCCGTCAAATAGCTGTGTCGATTGAGTCAGAGTCTCTTTCTGGTTTGATCGCCCGACATTGGATTTTACTTTTTTCTCGTTCCTTCCCCCGCCATCGGCCCTAGCGCCGCTAAGGTACCTGCAGTTTGGCACGCCATTGCCTTCTGGATCCCAGGGACTGTTTAGCGGGCTGCATTTGCCTCCGCAAGTCGGGCCACCGGGCATGCCAAATGACTAATCAACATGGCCCAAGCTGTCATTGTCAGCTCCCCTATCCGTGCTGCTGCCATTCATCGACCGCTACGCCGTAGCTTCTCCATACTCTAAAGAGCCACTTTCGACATCAGACACCACAACAGCCGTTGCCTTCATCAACACACCGGCCATCCCACGCAATGACTGCCCTCGCATCCCGGGCCCTGCTGCCGTCATACGTACCGCCGCAGCAATGAACGACAACGACCGCGCAGCCGCTGGCCGGCCGGGCCGCTCGTCGCCATTTCCCTCCGTCGCATCATCATCATCGTTATCGACTCCTTTTCTCTCCGCTCCATTGCAACCACATCCACAGCGTCTCGGCGGCACGCCACCACTGCACCTGACCGCCCGCTTCCTCTCCCTCCCTGACGTTCACATCGACATACCCGACCCCGGCCGCGTCACCGTCGTTGGCCTCAAGACGCTGATTCGCAAGCAGCTCGAGCAAGCCGCGGCCGATGCTAACAACAAGGTGATTGCAGACACAAAAGGAAACGAAAAAGGAAAAGAAAACGAGCACCCGTCCTCCTCGCCCACCCTCCACGATGCCCACCGCCGACGCCTGCGCATCATCTACGCCGGCAAGATCCTGGCCGACGACGTGATCCTGGGCCACGTCCTGCGTCCTGTGCCGCCGCCTCCGCGCGCCGGCCGCTCGCCCTCGGTGTCGACCTCCGCTGCCTCGACGCCTGTTGGCAATCAGTCCACAAATACCAGCACCGCCGCGCCATGGGCAGGGACGGATACGCCACCGTCGGCGTCACCGGTCGAGGGCGTGGTGGGCCGGGTCTACGTGAACTGCAGCATCGGCGACATTTTGCCCGAGAGCGACCTCGCCGCCGAAGCCGATGCCGCAGCCATTGCCACAGCTGCATCCGCAGCCGCCTTGCACCACAACCGCGGCGGGTCATCCGCCGTATCTGGCATATCCGGCGCCTCGACGCCCGGGCCACGGGGCGGTGCCATGCGCCTCGAACCCAGCCACCGCCGGGGCGCGAGTGGCGGTGGCGGAGGAGACGCCGGCAACGGCAGCAACCATGCTGGACCGTCTTCGGAAACCCAGCATCCGCCACAGGCGGGCCACGCCGGCCGCAGCACAACGACCATGCCGGCCCCGCGCGGCTTCGAGCGCCTGCTGCAAGCCGGTTTCACCGCCGCCGAGGTCAACCAGCTGCGCCTGCAGTTCAACACCATCCAGTCCAATCGCTTCACGCCCGACACCATGCCGTCGCCCGACGCGCTGCGCACCATGGAGGACAACTGGCTGGACAATGACCAGAACGCCAACGGCACGGCCGCTGCGCCCGCGTTTGGCCGTGGCGGCGGCGGTGCGGGCGGCGGCGACGACGGCATGCCGCCTGTCGAGGACACGGGCCTGCCCAACATGCTGGACACCATGGTGCGCGCCATGGTCATTGGCTTCATGTTTCCGCTCGGCAGCATGAGCTGGCTGATGCGCGAGGAAGGACTGTGGACGCCACGCTGGCGCATGTTTGTGAGCATGGGCATCGTCGTCAGCCTCATGATTGGCTCCGTCAAGACGCTGGCCCGAGAGTGGTAAGAACCGTGGCGGGCATTGGACGATAAGGAGCCTCGGGCCTCACCGTTCTTCTCTTAATGAACTGTATATTACTTTGGAAGCGGTCATGTACTTTTTATTTCATCGTATCGGATCCACGACGGGAACGTTTGGGCGTTGGGCAATTCACATTCGTGCGAACTGATTAAATAAAGCTACAATGTTGGCGAAGATGTGTATTTTGTGTCAATTGCAATATAAAATTGGCATTTGCTATATAAAAAGAAATCCCAAACTCGCGAGCTGGCTAGGCAATGGAAAGCAAAACAGGAAAAACTCAAACAGGAACTAGTAAACAGAAACCAAAAGGAGCTAAAAGGCCAACATATACCAACTAGATCATTGCGGCCGTCCATCTCAAATTCGTATTATTCGGAACGTCTTGTCCATCGACCACCACCCTGTGAATTCTGTACTTGCTTTACAGCTCGTCGTACACCTCCGCAGCAACAGCAGTCGGGTTGGCCGCCGAGGTCGATACATCTGCCGCAGCAAAGAGTGATGCTGCGTTCGCATTAGCAGACATCGAACCGGCTGACATGAACGTGGCGGGTGGTAGCTGGGCCGGCTCGACCGAAGATTCCATGGCCTCAACCGTCGCTGTTTCCGCCATCGCCGAGCCATCAACGGTTGCCTCGGACGTAGCAGTAGCCACCGTCGTCTGCGTGGCCGTCTCTGTTGCGGTTTCAGTCACCGTCTCGTACACCTTGACTGTCATCTTCTCCACGACTGTCTCGACCAAAATGTCCGGCGACCCGACACGGCTAACCATCTCGGCAAGCGCTGATTCGGAGTTCGTCTCGGCCGCCAACGCCGCCTCGACGTCCTTTTGTTCAACGCCAATGCGGGCATCACCGGCATCTCTCACCGGTGCGAAACCAAAGTCCGTAGCCGGAGGAACCTGTGCTTGAACGGCTTGCAAGCCTTGGTCGCCTGCGCCCGGTGACCGCAGTGTGGCCAGCACAATGACAATGACGCTCAGCACCGTTATGGCGACGTGCTTACGGTCGCGCAAAAACACCTGGATAGCTGCAAGCAGAAGCTCCGGCAGCGATGCTGATTCGTACGGCGCATGGGGGTGGCTGGCATGGGGTGCAGCACCGTCCGTGTCGTTGCCAAAGGCCCGGTCGGTTGTTGACGATTGACGGCTCCGGCGTTCTTCACGCCGACTGTAGGCCTCGGCACTCGGCGATGGTGGCGATGGACCGTACGGAGACGTTCCGGCACCCATGTCTCGACTGGCCGCGGTTTCGATTGTTTCGGGTACATCGGACAATCGCGTGCTCTCCACGTGGCGTGACGGCGACGTCTGCGCTCCTGCGAGCGCCGTATGCGGCGGCGTCCGGCCATAAATCTCACGCAAGCGATCCTCTGCTTCACGTCGTCTGCGGTTGGCATCGGACGTGCGGTCCGTGGTGGTCAGTGCGGGTGGCTCGACCGGCGAATCTCGAAGCGGTGGCGACATGGCCATGGCACTTGGAGGTGACAGGTGGAAATGGTCAGCCATGGCTGGGGACTGGGACTGCGAGATGTCCTTCTGCGCTTCGAAGGGCTGGTGCTCTTCACGATCCTCGTGTAGGTCGTGCACGTCGGGCTCGTCAAGCAAATCATCGCCGTGCATGCCCGCCTCGTCGATCTCGTTCTCCGCCATGGCTGCTTGGACCGCGGCATCCGCCTCTTCTTGCTTGTGGAGCGCCTCTTGCTGCTGCAGGCTCCGAAGCTGGTTAAGCTCGCGGAGAAGCGCTGCGTCGGCCACGATGGGCTCAATCTCCACATCAACACGCTCCATCTCGCTCCAGCAAGCCGCCCACGCACCCACCGCCATCAGGCCATTGCTGGCGTACACCTTGACACGGAAAACGCGCTCGGCACCGAGCGACTCATAACGGATATCAGACCGGCAGGTCGTGCACCAATGGCGCTTGTTGGCCTCGCCTTCGTCCTTGTGGTCGTTGTAATAGCCATCGCTCTCATCACCCTCAACCTCGTCCTCGCAGTCATCCTCATCGTCGTCCGCCGGGCCCAGATAATGGCCGCACTCGAGAATCCGAGCCCGCCGCCGGACGGGCAGCTCCAGCGCCTCCAACAGTCTCTCTTCGAGCACCTCGTAGTCGTTCTGCGGGTGAGGTAGCAAGACACCTCGCTCGGCCACAGTGTCGGCACCAAGAGAGTACTCCTGCAGTTGACACCATGCACTATGGAGTCGCTTGAGCGCGGCACTTGGCTCAAACGACGATGTTGCAAAGTCATCGCCGTCATGGAGAGACACGTCGTTCTTGTTGTGGCCGATGTTCTCGTCGAACGTTCGTAAGACATCCGACCACACCCAGCGCGTCGGCATGAGCGTCGCGTGAAGAAGAACAAGCGGGGCTGGTTCCGGCTTGCGGAACACCTTAAAGCGTGTAGGGGTCTGACTTTTAGACGGTGATCCGGGCAGTGACGAATATGTGCCAACTGAGCCCATGCTCTGGCCGTCATCCAGGCCACTACCTGTACCGAGGCGCCGGCGGCGGGCAGCCGATCGGGGAGATACTCCGTAGATAACAGAGGGCGAAGGAGATGACATCTGGAGAGCCCGCACAGACGATGGCGTACGGAAGGCAGCCCGAGGCGTTCCACGGATGGTGTGGTGAACGAATTCGTCGTCGTGTTTGTACTCCTCATCGTCTTCGTGCTGCTGCTCGTACTGGGACATGCGGGAAATTCCAGACACGCCAGACATACGCGGTGAGTAGTGACTGGTCCCGCGATGGTATGCGACACTTCCAGTGTCCTCTGCGTAGGCGTACTCATCCTCGCTCTCGTGAACGTCGGTGGCGTCTTCGACCGTGCTGTGAAGGTCCATCTTCTGATGTGCTTCTGGGCCTTCATCGATGCCGTTGTTGCTGGCGCCGCTGTGGTGCTCAAACGACCCCAGTGAGCTGCGTGGACTGCGGTCGCTAAACACATCGTCGTCGTCGGGTTCAGCATCACCGTCGTGGTCATTCTCGCCCTCTTCGTCCGTCGTCGTGTCGTGGTCGGCGTCTTCAATGATGCTACCGTGAGACTCCGACATGGCCCTTTCGATGTCGAAATGGCCGCCTGTGGCATCCTTCTCATTGATTTTGGCCACAACAGCCCGTGCTGCAGCCTGGATCAGAGCTTCGGTGCGCATTGATGTACGCCGGTCCGAGACAGCCGACCGGGCCGAAAATGCCGAGCTGCGGCGCGACGTATGTTCGTTTTCGCCCATGTCGTCAGGGAGTGTGCTGTGCTCCACGTGCTCGTCCTCGTGGCCCCCAACTTCATCGTGGAACTCGGCATTTGACTCCTCGCCGTTAGAGAGTGCGGATGCCGCGATGGGCACGTCTGCCTCATTATGCTCGACGACGCCAGGGGCCTCAGCATCCTCGTCGCCCTCGTCCTCCTCCCGTTCGAGGTCTGTGGCGTCACAGTCCTCTATGGTAGGCTGCGACAATGTTTCACCGAGGGGCCTGGCAGTGTCTTCTGAAGCGTCAATAGTATCAAACTCGTCGTGTTCCTCCTCTTCCTCCATGTCGTTATGCTCCTCTTCGTGCAGTTCCTCAGCTTCCTGTGCCACATCATCTTCTGTGGCTTCTCCAGTGTGTGCTTCTGCACCATTGTTTACGTCTCCCTCGTCGACATTTGGCGCCGTTGCTTCATCAGCCTCGCAATCATCTTTTGCCTGCACATTGTGTTCTATGTGGGCGTCGTGCTCGTCGCTGTGGCTCTGGTAAACGATCGGCTCGTGGCTTTCCTCGCCCAAGTCGTTCGGGTCCGCAAGGAAGGCATCGATGGCTGCAACAACATTGGCCACGCCGTGGTTGTTGCCTGAGCTGGCGTTGTCTTCTTGTGCCTCTTCGTGTGCTGTCTCTTCGGCAGCCGGCGTGTCGAGAATGATGTCCTCCGCCACCCCCGCCTCGTGGCCGGTAATGTCGTCGTTGAGGACGATGTCGTCGGCCATGGTGCGCTGTACGTGGTATAAAAGTTGAAGCCCAGATCGAAGTGGGAAGAAACAGCAGGCTGGCGAGAAAGAGGGTAGAAAAGAACAGAGGTATTATGTCGCTGGTCTGGTCAAGGCAAGATGAAGGTCGTTTCGATTTCTTATGGTGTCTTACTGTGTCTTTGCGCTCTGGCAACGGAAATGCAAAACAAGCAAAGAACGGGATGCGAAATGTTGTTGACGAAAAAAACAGTAAGGGTATCTGGTGAGGTGCAAGGACAAAGAACAAACAGACTGGAGATGAGAAGCCGTAACAAAGAAATAAATTGGACGAACGTAACTCAGGTGCACTTAGGGGGCAGGTAGCCCAACGACGTAGAAGGCTCTCTCGCTCTTTCCTTGTTCTGTTTTCTTTGGCTCGTGCATAATGTTCCAAACTGGGCCATGGGCTCGTAGTTACAGGGGCCTTTGTGGCGCTGGTGGTGGTTGCAGGCGATTGTTTACCTCACCAACCGTTGCCAGGTCAATGGCACCACCCAATTGGAAAGGGAAGGACCCTCGCCAAATGCGTCCATTCAATGGGCCGCCCAAAAGACGTCAAAATGCGTTTCTGCAAAAGATGAAAGCGATGCAACTCTATGAGCATTATCTTTACGAATTTGGACGTCGCATTTCCGCGATGCATTGAAGCGTGACATGAGTTCGACTGGAATTCAATCGACACGTTTTTTGTTAGTCTCTCCGCTGTCCTGACAGGTGACACTGGCATGGCGCGGGCTATCATCGCCAATGTACCTTTTTAGTGCTATTAGTACTGCAAGAGTACATGGCCCGTCTGATCTTTGCCATTGCCAAGGTGTATTAATATTATTCAAGCGCTCGTCTTAAGTTGATTATTTTATAATCTCAACACATTGACGTCACAGCCATAAGCATGGCTTTCCATCAAGATGACAACTTCATAAATGCATAGTCCTTCACAACGCATGAACATAACTACGCGCAGTATAGCTAAAGGATTTGTATTGTCACTGTACGGAGTATATTGCCATCACGCAAACTTCGAGTATATCGTGTCTTTGAAAAATGTCATCATCATCAATTCAAACAGTAAATGGGTAAGGTTCTGCCATTAGGAGACAGCTCCCCGTTGGTAGCCAAGCCACCACAAACATGAGCAAGGATAAAATAGCAAGAAACGATAACACGTAACAAAATGCATCGGCAGCGGAGGATACAAGAACAAAACACACAAATGCAAAAGCCTATCCCGAGAATCATATCCGACCTAATTTCTTTGAATCAACGACGCCGGGCAACAGAAACAAACCAAATGACTTTGTACAACGAAATGGGGTGGGGGGAGGGACGTGTCGTCCCATCGGTATGCAAGAAAGCAGGAGGGCTCAGACAAAGGAAAATAGGAGCTGCGGAGCCGGTCTATGTCGACCTCAACTTTGGTGACCGAGGCCACGACAGAGGAGGGAGTGTTGCAAGGAGATGGAAACCCAAAAGAAAAGTATCGAAACGCCGACGCTGCTTGACGTTACAGCAAAAGCAAAACATGACAATGCCAAACCCGAAGAAACGTTACGTTGCAAACACAAAACACAAAAATGAAGAGTCTCGGTTTACTCGGCGTTCAGCATGTCAAGCCTTGATGCGGTCGTTTGGATGCTGCGGGCGATCCGTGCTATCCGGGCCAGGGCCAGGGACTCCTCGGCTTCAGTCATGATCTCCTCCTCCTCCTCGGACGCGGCACCGACGAGCTCGTAACGGGAGAGAGCCTTCTCCGTCTCGACACCGCCAAAGATGCTGTCAACATCCGACATCACCTCGGTGTTGAGCGAAAGGGGCTTGCTGGCCGCAGCGGGCGCGTCGGCGGGGCCAGAAGCGGTCGAGGCAGTCGAAACGGCAGCATCGTGGTACAGTGCAAAGGCCGGGTCGTTGTCGAACGCGGCGTCCGCGGCCGCAGGAGCAACGGCTGGGACGGGCTCGGCGACCTTATCGGTGACGGGGTGCGCAATGATGGGCATCTCCACCTTCTCTTCCTCGTCCTGGCAGCCGACAAAGTTGGACAGCTTGCCCGTTAGGACCGACGTGTCGATCGAGGGGATCGTGACGTCAGGCGTCTCGAGGACGGCGTACACCTGGGGCTGGAAGGCAAAGGCGGGCTCGGCCTCCATGTGCAGCATCGAGAAGTCAATGTTCTGCTCCGGGATCATGGCCATACCGATCTGCTGCTGCGCCGCATACGGGTTGGCATCCTTGGGGGGCTGGCGCTCCTGGCCCTGGGACGCAACCTGCGTGGAAACCTGAGAGGAAACCTGGGAGGACACCTGGGCCTGGACAGCCTGGGACTGAGCCTGGGCCTGGTTCTGCGGGACAAGGGCGGGGTTGGCGCTGAGGCGGTCCAGGAAGTCGGAGAACGAGGGCGAGCCAAGCAGCATGCGGGTCAGGTCCGACAGGCGCTTGTTCTCCTCGGCGAGCAGACGGTTCTGGGCACGGAGGTCGCCGTTCTCGGTGACTTTGCCAGCAATCTCCGCCTCAAGCTGCGAGATGTATTCTGTTGCTCAGTTAGCCTATCGTATCCAAACGTGTGCATCGCGAAATTCGTCGGGGTGTGCAACTTACCCTTTCTGCGGGACCGGAAGGCGCGTGCCGACACCTTGTTGCGGAGCTGGCGGCGCTCCTTGCTACTCAGCTTCTTGCCCTCCTCACTCGCGAGCAGGCGCTCGTCCTCATCCATGTCCTCTTCATCCTTCTTGAGACGGGAGATGTTGCCCATGCCGCCCATCGACGAGTTGGGCGACGACGGCTTAGCGCGCATCGAGCTCAGCAGCTGGGTGATCTTCTGCTCAACAATGGGGTCCGACGGCTGGCCAGCCTTGGCCCGCTGGGACTGAGGTTGCGGCATCGGCTGCTGTTCGGGCTTCATCTGGCCCTGGCTCGACACGCTCTGGCGCTGGCGCTGCTGCTGCTGCTGGATGACCTGCTGCTGCTGGCGTTGCTGGGCCTGGGCCTTGGCCATGGCGGCCTGCTGGTGCATGCCAGGCCACAGACGGCCGACGCTGCCAGCCTGCGAGCCACCGCCGTTGGCAGCGACGACAGGGGGCGACTGCATCTCCTGGGTCTGGACGATGACAGAGGCCGGAGCGGAGGGGATCTGCTGCTCAGCGAAGAAGAAGGACGGATCGGCGGTGGGCGACTCGAACTCGAGGTCAATGTCCGAGGGGCTGACGGAGGCACCGTTGGGCGCCGTGTTGAAGTCGAACATGTCGTCGGCGCTGTTCATGTTGATAAAGTTCATGTCGAAGCCGTTGTTGTAACCAACCATCTGAGGGTTGTTGTTCTGTGTCACGGCAAACGTGTTGGCCAGAGCGCCCGGGACGAAGCCGGTCTGCTGCTTGTACTGGTCATACTGATGGCTGGGGCCGGTCATCTGCTGGCTGGTAGACAGCATCGAAGACGGCGTCGAGGCCGCGGTGGTGCGAACAAAAGAGTTCTTGGACGTTGCCGTCGACAGGGCGGGCGAGTTGAACTGGTTGGCGTTGTCGTACTCGGACAGGTCAAGGAGCGAGTCGATGGGGTCCATCATGCCCTGCTGGCCCGAGGCGGACGCGGCCGATGACATGTTGTCGGCCATCGAGTTGCTGTGTGCGTCGGCTTCCTGTTTAATGCTCATTGTTGCTCCAGGCGAAGACGACCAGGGAAGACGGTGACAGGAGGTAGCGAAAGCGCGTCGTCAATCGGGGAGGCTGCGAGGTCGTTTCACAACGATCCTCAAGTCGAAAATAAAATCACTGGCGTTGCCGTCGAGGGTAGAAGCCGTACGAAGATAAAGCCACGATGATTCGGAGCCTGCTTGTCGTCGGCAGTGATGAAAACAAGAGTAAGAATCGCCGTAATGCGAATATGGAAATGGTGAAAGTAGATGGGAGAGTGATGAAAGGAAACGGAAAAGGTAACGAAACAGAAACAGAACAAGGAGAATGGGTTGATGGAGGATGAAAAGAGGATACGGGACAATGCAAAAGAGTAGTTGGGCCGGCAGAAATGGATGGAAGTGGGTGCGAACAAGGCCGTGCAGCGATTCTGTGAGGAAAAAGAGAAACAGGAGAGTCGTTTGGGGGAACTGGATGCCTGGCTTGGCCAGAGGGGTGTGTCGGAGGCTGTGGAGCAGTCGGGGGAAGGCGAGGGAACGAGGACGAATGGGCTGGGCCTGGGGCAGGAACGGAAGTAAAGAACAGATTGACGCCGACGGACAATAGCCAAAGGCCGACGGCTGGCAGAGGAGGCGCAACCAGTGAAAATGAAGGTTCCAGGCAGTCCTTCAGCGGACGACAGCGGCGGCAGGCGGCGGCGAGTGCTGTAAAAAGTGCAGGGAAGAGCGGGAAGAGGGGAGGAGCGAAGGCTGAGAGGGAAAGACAGGGAAGTTTCGACCGGAAGGAGCCCTTCTGTGCAGCATGCAGGCTGACCAGGGGCGCGAGGAAACAAGCTGATGACGCGTCCTTCTTTCCTCATTATCCAGCGAGCGCCCTTTCCTCTTTGGTTCGCTGCTCCCAGAGCCCCACCTAATCGTTCTTTCTTGTTCACAGCCCCAAATAGCAGCAAGGACGTTAGGCAACGGTTAAAAGGCCAAGTCTCTTTTTGCGCAGCATACACCAGAAGAGTACATGCACGAAATGGCGCCAAATGTACAGCCAGTGTCGATCCAGCCAATCAACGACACTGCCGCGTCGTTCTCGCTTCCCGGTAGGGCAGGAGAGAAACACACAGATGCGGAGAGTGCCCAGAACCACAAATCGAATGCATCGGGAGAGAATCGGCGCCAGCACCGACTGTGCCCATTTACGAGACACATAGACTGGCTGACAGAATACGGGGTACTTGGGGGAGTACAGAAGTACCGCCAGAATTATGTACCTGTTCCGCTCGCGAGTTCCTTTTTCCACCTCCTCATTCTCAACCTCATTTGGCGCATCGTGCGGAACGGTCAACCATTGTCGGCGAATGACGAC